GATAGATAGATAGATAGACAGACAAAAAGACAAATGGATAGATAAATAGATAGATGGATAGACAGACAGACAGATAGATAGATAGATAGATAGATAGATAGATAGATAGATAGATGTAGAGATTCTAATATGAGGCACCCTCATAATCTTGGGGAATTGAAGATGTTTTGCCAAGAGGAATCAGCCAAACTTGTAAAAGCCTAATTACTTCTTACCGTAGAGGTTTTTAAGATTTAATTACCAAAAAAGGCTTTGAAACTATGTACTAATGATGTTCATTTCTGGTTTCTGAATAGTTTTTTTTTTTACCATTGGTTTAATCTTTTAAACAAATCTTTGTTGATGCCTAGGCTTAATATACATGCTTTTCTGTTCATGTTTTTAAAGTCAAAAGACGTCTGTATATTTGAAATGTATATATGCACTGGAAGTGTAATATATATATATATATATATATATATATATATATATTAGAGTCAGTTTCTCCAATGAGCTCCCGTAATAGTGAATTTGAATGTAGGTGTTTATATAATTACTACGGACACATCTGTGTTTGTATGAAAGGAAAAGGAAGTCAACACTCAAATCAGTGACAGATTAATCTATGCAGGGAAATGCTGTGGAACATCCCATTAGTTCTTCTGTTCTCCTTTCGGTTTTGTAAAAACAAAACAGTTCTCTGGGAGGTTCGGGTGACTACTTATTGATTGAGTCGCTACATTTGCTAAAAATGTTAGTAATTCTTCTGAACTCTCCCAGCAGTGTAATGAGCCTAGTGTTAAGGTGTATTCAGCTAATTATTCATAATTCAATCAATAAGACAGTCATTCAGAGTGGTTTGGTGTGAAATGATTCATTGGTGGAGAAAGTTACTGAATCTTTACAATGGTGGTGATAGGAACAAGGAGTTTCCATGTCTACAACACATTTAATTAAAGGGGAATTCCACCTTTTTTTATCTAAATGGTTAAGACACAAAAAACAAAGTCATTCAGAGTTGTTTGCTTCTATAAAAACTTACTAAGGTGATAGGAACCAGACATCTGAAGGATTCAAGGCCTCTGAAAGCTCCCTCACAGAAAGACACGTGTAGGTTCACTGGATAGTAAATAAAATAGCCATAATTGTGTTGTAGACATGGTGACCCCTGGTTCCTATCACCACCCCTGTAAAGAAATCTGAGTCAGTAAGTTTCTCTACAATGAATCATTTCACACCAAACCACTCTCAATGACTGTTTACATCTCAACCAGTGAATTTTGTTGAATTTTATTTTTCAATTCTGTGGAATTCCACTTTGAGTACTGAAAAACCACCAGTGAACCTACATGTGTCTTTTGAGTTTTTATATATGTTGTTGTTAAGGGTAAAAATGTATTAATTAACAAAAAAAAAAAGAAAAATCTTTGGGATCTATTTGTCTCACCACGCTCTGCATGTACCCCCATCCTATGAATGGGTGTGAATAGCTCTCAAGCTGAAGAAGGCTGTAATCCAAATAAGGACTAGGGGATTTTCACCAAAGTCACTTGATAATCTTGTTTGCACAAAATAAGGCATGACTGTGTGATAAATTCTTTCATTATGACAGAACTGCAGCATTATTAATCCACACTACATATAATGTTGGAATACATAGACAATTTGCACCATAAATGAGGATGTTATGCTTAATTCAGCTTTTTTTTAAAAAAAAGGGGTTTATATATATATATATATATATATATATATATATATAACCTCTTTATATATATACACATATATATATATACATACATATATATATGTATATATATATATACACACACACAGACATCAATATAATTATACATATGCAAATATAATTATACAAAAAAAGCAGAAACAATGTGAAATGTACAAAATTTATTCTGAAAATAGCACATTTCAAAATACACACTCTGTTCATATTAAAACCAGCATGTGAAATTTACTGTAATTTACAAAGATTTAACTGATGTACTTAAATGTCCATGCGGGCTGATGAAGATTATCACTTAACATTTGAAAGATTTTAAGATATTAAGGATATTATGCTCTAACAGGAATTCTACCATCCTGAAAGTGCGTGCAAAAATCACAAAAACTAAACATAAATCCATCTGCGTAGACTTCAAGCGTACCTGGCGCATACTCAGCATTTTAAAGGCGAGTGTAGCTTTAGGTTACATGGAATCCCAACCACTCTGTGAATGTGTGTGTGGACCCAGCATTACAATGAGACAAGTCAAGCTTGTGGCACTATACAGCGACCAGAGCACTGTGTCAGATATTGATTCAGCACTTACAGTAAGAATGTATGGAATGTAAAACAGCATATATCTTTAAGACTTTAAGACACGTCTTATATACAGCAAACTTTAAATCCCTTTTAACCACTTCATAAGACCTTGTTGTACATATTTACATTAAGAAACATATGTAGGGACCATAAAGGCAAACTGGTTATTGTATGTTAGTGAAATTTGATCAAAAGATTATCAGGATAAAGGACAGAATGTCAGCTTTTATTTTTGGGTAGTGTTTTTCATACAACCCACTTTGGATTAACGTCATTAATGTTGCAATCGGAACAAAATTTAGTAAACGTAACACTTTAATTTTTTTAATGTCAGTTGTGATTTTATTGTAAGTCAAACTTTCTTTTGGTCTGCTCATCATAAAACAATGGAAAGGTCAGTTGGCTTTTGGTCTGGGTGCAGCACATCCAGAAAAAACAGCTAATAAAAATACGAGGTGAAAGATCTACAGTCCAAAGGAGCCAAACATTCTCTACAGAATCAACAGGAGAGCCACACTCACAGCAAACCACCAAACGTTTTCCTTTTTAGGAAAACGGTCAACATGCAGCGCATCCCAAAATGTAGCCAATGCAAAATGATGCAAGTACATCTCAAGTGTTATAGATGTGAAGCACCGGCATGTAATACCTCATTTACAATTTTTTTTTATGAAAAAATTTTGAAGGCTTTTGTGATTTCAGTAGCCAATTAAGTCCTAGAAAGCACAAACCTCTTGTGTGTCCGCAATACTCAACAGACTTAAGCCATGTCAGCCGACACAAGGCTGTTTTTACTCTAGTTACTAGAGTGCCAGTAGCTCCCCCTTGTGGACATTCTTGTTTAACGTGAGTGACTGAGTGATTTACAAGCCAGGGCCATGAAGAGTTTTGCATCTAAAAAAACTGTTGTCATCCAAAAAAATGTTGTGGTCACGATTCACCATTCAGAAGACTTCATGCCAACCTCTCTTCAGCACCAAAAACAGAATTTGGGAAGAACTGCAAAGCTGGAGGAATTCTGGAACAAAGCTGTACAGCCAGATGAAGTGAAGATAAACCTCAAAGCTAAAGAATGTGGAGAGAGATACTCCAAATGACCCTGTGCGCTTGGCCTGGGTATGCATGGCTGCCTCTGGAACTGGCTCACTTCTCATGTCCAAAAAAAGGCTCGTAAAGGCACTGGGCAAAGGTTCATAACTCGACAAAATGACACTCCAAACAAAACAGTTCAGTGGAAAGAAAAAGGGGAAAGTTTTAAATACAGCTGAGCAAGTATGCAGGCATGTGTGGGCTGCATGGACTGAGGAGTGAACGATATTTTAACGATGTTTACATCCTGCATCAAACTATTTTATTTCAACATAGCAAGTAAACATTGGTTTTCCATGATATTGGCCCTTTAATGCTTGGCAGAGTAGCTCAGAGAAGATAAAGAGGCAGTTTCTGTGAGGGGTACGCAACCAAACATTTCACTTCTTTAAGTTTAATTAGCTTGAAATATATTTGTTCCAATTTTTATCCTAAAACTGAGCGACTACACACACAAAACACTGTTCCAGCAGTGTTTGACCTGCATGAGAAACTTACGTTAGAAATTAAAGCTGGTATTCTTTACTTTAGTGACATACAAATTTCGTGTATGAGAAAAAATTACTAATTTTGCTTCTCTGTCCCAATACTTATGCTTCTCACTGTACTTATGCTGCATTCAACTGAAGCTGGCAACTCGGAATTTCCAAACTCTGACATGCTTCCTTGTCTGGGAATTCCCAGTCAGAGAGTCAGAAAGTTGACCTCAACTTGTAAGTTGACCTCAACTGCTAACATTGGGCCTTATCCTCCAATATCTTGCTAAATAAAAACTTCGTAAAAACTGCGTAAACGGATTTTGAGAAGAAATGTCTTATTAAGCTTGGCTGGTGAATGAGACCCATTGTCAACAGTAATGAAGTACCACTTCTACTCATTTACATGTAGTAATCAACATACAGACATAGTAGTTGGTTAAATCTGTAACATTAACAACAATTTTTGCTATTTTTGCTATTGAGAAGATTAATATATCCTGAATGTTAAATATCACTAACATTAGCTGGACAGCTTGTTGCCTAAAATACTCAAACACACAGAAATTGGCGTAATTCCGAGCTCCGAATTCCCATTTCCCAGTAAAGTCGAATGCAGCATTAGTACAAGCCATTCAGTTTCATTACATAAACAGCTATTATTTTAAAGGTACAGATCTACAGCTAAAAGGTGATGTATTTTTAACTCAGCTATCTGAGTGATTAAACAATGAGGACAAACACAGACGACATTGGCCTGCAATGTAAAGACAGCTCAAGGCCTCTCCCAGATCAGCAGAGCAAATACAGCAAATGTTGACACCAAGAGCAAACACGGCTCTGAAGGACACAGCGGATAATAAGTCATTTCAAATTTGGAAGGTGTTGATTCTCAGACAAAGGATTTGCTGTTCTATTCTATTGTGTTCAATAGTCCATTACTAAATTACATTTTGAATAATAATCATCTATTTAACATCATATCCAGCCCAAACGCTTCTCATATGTAATTCCCTGTGATTTATTGATCTACGATAAATAATAGTCAGCTTTATGTAGTAACGTATGCAAGTAAACATTATAAGTATGCAAGTAATGAATAATGAATAAAAGGCAATCTAAGAAAACAGCTAACGTATTTTGGGGTAGTTTTACCCAGTTTTCTCTCCCTGTATGTAGTCAAAATAGTCATTGCTAATTCCACCTTCCCCTTATCACACAGTGCTACCAAGCTACAAGCCATGGGTATGGCTAGTGTATGCTTTCTCAGAGGCATCTTTTCAAGTCACACCCCTGTACAGCTCAACACGCTTGGAGGCGATCACTAACCGGCAAATTTTGTTCCATCAGAGAGCCACATAGGGTTGCCACCATCCAGGTTTTTAATTAAAAAATTAATTCCATTCCTGGGCAAAACAAGGACACAAAGTGTTAGATGTAAAGCATGTCATACCACATTTTTTTCTGAATATAATTTGAAAGGCTTTTGTGATTTTAGTAGCCAATAAAGTCCTAGAAAGCACAAACCTCACCACTCAACAGATCAGATCAGATTAATTAGATCAGATTACCCCTAATGAAGGGACAATTTTTGCACTGTTGGTCACATTTTCAGACACTAAGCAGCGCTGCAACAGGATAACTGAGAATTTTAGCACAGCTGCCTGTCCACTGACTTCAGTAAAAATCAAGTAATCGAGTGTCCAGGTATTTTCTAGGGCAAAGGTAGCCACTAGCATCATGCTGATGCTGGGAGAAGGATGGCCATCACCCTCCCAGACAGAGAGGGGACAATTACGGTTTCTTGGGCTGTGGCATCACCGAGGTTCAAACTTGTGAACTCCCAAAAATAAGGCTAATGCTTAGACAGGTTCTACCACTCGGGAACCCAACAAGTTGTGTTCTTGTTGAAACGTTAGCCATTTATCTCGCTTAAAATCACATTTTTGGTCCCAAATCTAAAAGTGCCATACAACAGTCAACACAACAGTACCACTTTACAGAAAGAGTACCCTTATAATAGATTTATGAAAGGTTTATAGATGATTAACAGTTATTACTTATGAAGCAAACACCTTAAAACCACGAGTACAATTGAAAGCAACTGATACAACACAGCAGTTCTGACAATTAAACAAAAAGGGCAACAGTGAGTTGTTGCTTCTGAAGTAATGAGCCCATATTCATCTATACTGTTAAACCTCAGATCAACTTGTGCACTTTGTCACATTCATATTGAAATCAGACAGAACAGCTCACTGTTGCCTTTTTCATTTTTAAGGTGTTTATGATCTAATTAATAGCTGTTAATAAACTCCTTTTAAAGCCGCACTATGTAAGATGTGTCCTTCACCAAGATTCATAGACTCAGGGAATGGGACTGAAACAACCCACACTACAAAATGTTTTTCCACACGTTGTGCGCAGTTACACATTTCAACCAGAGAGGTCTCCAAATCCCCAAAACTTACATAGTAGAGCTTTAAATAATTCATGAACCCTTAAGAGTAGTCTTACTGTAAAGCAACACAGCACTATATTGCTAATTTTTACCAAGCTATTTTTGGACTAATTTTAGAATTAAAGGCTTTTGTAATCATTACAAAAAACAGCTAGAAAACAGCTCTTAACGATGGAAATACACATTGTAAAGTGATCATGCGGAGTAAGTCTAAGATGTTCTCAAAACACTACAGATAAACATCTACTCAGATTCCACTGAGACAGCTTGAGATATAAACCTAACCACAGTGCACGTTCCAAGCAGGGAGAAGGTACTTTCTTGCCTGACTACATCAAGACTTCACTCAGGCCAACAGCAGATTACAGTCTACATCTTTCCTGAGAAAACACAAAGCACTGCTGGGATTGCATCAAGAAACTGGACGACAGTCACATTTGCTGTCAAGGCAGAAAAACAGGACCAGTGTATCACTAAAGCAGACCGAAACGATTTAAGCCAGAAACAAATTTCCACCACAAACAACTGATTTCACTTGAGTATCATTTGTGCAAATGTAGATTCAGTAATGCTAAATGTATAAAACATGCCCTACACTCTTAAAAATAAAGGTTCCTATGTGGTTCTTGGCTTGAATGTACTGTTCTGGGAGGAATCTTTCATTTAAGCCTACAACCCTTATATTATGTGGAGGTTCTTTACACTCTTATGTCTCACTTTTTAAAGATCCATCCACTGAAAAGCAGTTTAGAGAACCAAAAGTGGTTCTCCTGTGGCATCACTCTAAAGAACCCTTTTTGGCACATTCATTTTTAAGAGTGCAGCTTCTTGAAAAACAGGCATTTAGAGGATATGTGAACTGGTCTCTGATAAGTGTCTAATGCATCATAAAAGAAAGAGCTCTTTAAGACAGAACGCAGGACTCTGATGGGTCTTTTGGGATCCTGGGATCACTGCTGTTCCTCAGTTCACCTTCTTCATTAACTCCTTCATTTTCCAACAGGCCTGCCTCCAGATGCCTATCTGGAGTAGAAGCAGGTGAGAACTCTGATGGGGCATCTTCATAGCCACTACTCTCATCATTATCTTCACCATCTGGAGCTTTTTGGCTACCTTCCCCCTCCAGCACTGAGCCATGATCCGCATCAGACTCTCTCCCAGCCTCCTTCCTTTCCTGGTCCACTGAAGTCCCTTCGGAAGAACCCTGGAACCAATTGGGACCAGCTTGTTTTAAAGAGCTGGGGTCAAGTTTTCTGTTCTTGAAAAAGGAGGCCAGAAGTCCCATGATTTTCTGTTCTTGAAGAGGTAGACCAGAAGATCCAGCAGGTCCACCTGCTGAGTCTGACGACTGCAAGACTCCATCTGAGCTAACAGGCAGTTCTTTAAGGGCATCTCCATCTTCTTCGGCAGCTCCAACAGCGTCTTTCTCCTCTTGCGCTGTGCTTTTCGCCGGGTCAGGGGGAACTGAGTTTTTCTCCTGTTGATAAGAAACAAAATAGATGATAATGAAATACATTACTAGGGATATACCGATGCATCAATGTACAACAAATACGTCATCAAACATCAGTCAGATATAATCATCAATACAATGTAATTTTTTAAAAGCAATTATCTGCCGATGATTCCAACATCATCATGCATCCCTAAATATTAGTGCTTGTTCAAATGTGCTAAGATGTGACTTGGTGGTTTGGTATATAGTTATGAAAGTCTTACGCTAAGTTAAAAAAAATGCAGAAACAGAGAATACGTAGTGAGGAGAGCCGGTTTATGAGGAGCCTGGCCACTTCCTATTTCCCTTGTTATATTAAAAACATGACTGCAAAACGCCAGAGGGCGTCCAGGAGCAAGTCCTCACTGAATGGAGGTGAATGGAACTAAACGGCTAAAAACGAAAAGGTAAAACAGTTTCTAATTACTAACCCAGAACTTTCCTTTAATTTTAGAATGTAGAAGGATGTATTGCACTAAAAAAGCAAAGAAAACTTAGCTGTATGTTTCCTTTTTTTCTACAGCAAACAGGTTTTGGGCAGCAGGACTCTAACACTTACTGCTACCGAGTGATGACTGGTTAGCATTACTGCTACTGAGTGATGATTGGCTGGTAAGCAGAGCAGCTCATTGGCTGTTTGCACTCTTTTGTTGTTTTAAAGTCCTATAACTCAAGTTCAAAAGCTCCCTAAAAATATAACAGCAGTGTTAAAACGTTCTATGCTGTTCTGTGTTCAGGAAATGATTGTATTATTTTATATTAAAAATGTTTAAGCAGTTATAAACTATGATTCTGCTCAAATGCTCCATATTAACGCATTCATTTTGGACCAACTTGAGAGCGCCCTCTAGCGTTTGAGAAACCCGGAAGACATTACAGAGTGGTAACTCTCCTCTCTACAAGTTCTCTGTGAGAACTGTCACTTAATAATGTCCTCCAGTTTTGACAGGCACTAGAGGGCGCTCTCGAGCGAGTCCAAAATGAATGTGCTCCAATGGAGCTTGCGCACAAAATCTGAGTTTGTAATTGCTTGTTTATATAAAGAAAAATGCACAAATGTTCTAAACACATAACTGCATGAAATATTTCAACACTGCTGTTATATTTTTGAGCGCTTTTGAGATCAAGTTTAAATACTTTCTAATAGTGTTTTATGTACATTCATGTGCATAAAAATATTGAGCACAAACCGCTTTACTCAACCAAAGAACTGACAAGCTTGCCAATCAGCTCTCAGTAGCAGTAATGCTAACCAATCAGCACTCAGTAGCAGTAATGTTAATCAATCAGCTCTCAGTAGCAGTAATGCTAACCAATCAGCACTCAGTAGCAGTAATGTTAATCAATCAGCACTCAGTAGCAGTAATGCTAACCAATCAGCACTCAGTAGCAGTAATGTTAATCAATCAGCACTCAGTAGCAGTAATGTTAATCAATCAGCTCTCAGTAGCAGTAATGCTAACCAATCAGCACTCAGTAGCAGTAATGTTAATCAATCAGCTCTCAGTAGCAGTAATGCTAACCAATCAGCACTCAGTAGCAGTCATGTTAATCAATCAGCTCTCAGTCGCAGTAATGCTAACCAATCAGCACTCAGTAGCAGTAATGTTAATCAATCAGCACTCAGTAGCAGTAATGCTAACCAATCAGCACTCAGTAGCAGTAATGTTAATCAATCAGCTCTCAGTAGCAGTAATGTTAATCAATCAGCTCTCAGTAGCAGTAATGCTAACCAATCAGCACTCAGTAGCAGTAATGTTAATCAATCAGCACTCAGTAGCAGTAATGCTAACCAATCAGCACTCAGTAGCAGTAATGTTAATCAATCAGCTCTCAGTAGCAGTAATGTTGATCAATCAGCTCTCAGTAGCAGTAATGTTAACCAATCAGCATTCAGTAGCAGTAATGTAAACCAATCAGCCCTCAATAGCAGTAACGTTAATCAATCAGCTCTCAGTAGCAGTCATGTTAATCAATCAGCACTCAGTAGCAGTAACGTTAATCAAGCAGCAATCAGTAGCAGTGATGTTAATCAATCAGCTCTCAGTAGCAGTAATGTTAATCAATCAGTACTCAGTAGCAGTAATGTTAATCAATCAGCCCTGAGTAGCAGTAATGTTAATCAATCAGTACTCAGTAGCAGTGATGTTAATCAATCAGCTCTCAGTAGCAGTAATGTTAATCAATCAGTACTCAGTAGCAGTAATGTTAATCAATCAGCTCTCAGTAGCAGTAATGTTAATCAATCAGCTCTCAGTAGCAGTAATGTTAATCAATCAGCTCTGAGTAGCAGTAATGTTAATCAATCAGCTCTCAGTAGCAGTAATGTTGATCAATCAGCTCTCAGTAGCAGTAATGTTAATCAATCAGCATTCAGTAGCAGTAATGTTGATCAATCAGCTCTCAGTAGCAGTAATGTTGATCAATCAGCTCTCAGTAGCAGTAATGTTAATCAATCAGCTCTGAGTAGCAGTAATGTTAATCAATCAGCTCTCAGTAGCAGTAATGTTAATCAATCAGCTCTCAGTAGCAGTAATGTTAATCAATCAGCATTCAGTAGCAGTAATGTTAATCAATCAGCTCTCAGTAGCAGTAATGTTAATCAATCAGCATTCAGTAGCAGTAATGTTAATCAATCAGCACTCAGTAGCAGTAATGTTAATCAATCAGCATTCAGTAGCAGTAATGTTGATCAATCAGCTCTCAGTAGCAGTAATGTTGATCAATCAGCTCTCAGTAGCAGTAATGTTAATCAATCAGCATTCAGTAGCAGTAATGTTAATCAATCAGCATTCAGTAGCAGTAATGTTAATCAATCAGCACTCAGTAGCAGTAATGTTAATCAATCAGCATTCAGTAGCAGTAATGTTAATCAATCAGCATTCAGTAGCAGTAATGTTGATCAATCAGCTCTCAGTAGCAGTAATGTTAATCAATCAGCACTCAGTAGCAGTAATGTTAATCAATCAGCATTCAGTAGCAGTAATGTTAATCAATCAGCACTCAGTAGCAGTAATGTTAATCAATCAGCATTCAGTAGCAGTAATGTTGATCAATCAGCTCTCAGTAGCAGTAATGTTAATCAATCAGCATTCAGTAGCAGTAATGTTGATCAATCAGCTCTCAGTAGCAGTAATGTTGATCAATCAGCTCTCAGTAGCAGTAATGTTAATCAATCAGCACTCAGTAGCAGTAATGTTAATCAATCAGCACTCAGTAGCAGTAATGTTAATCAATCAGCACTCAGTAGCAGTAATGTTAATCAATCAGCACTCAGTAGCAGTAATGTTAATCAATCAGCACTCAGTAGCAGTAATGTTAATCAATCAGCATTCAGTAGCAGTAATGTTAATCAATCAGCACTCAGTAGCAGTAATGTTAATCAATCAGCATTCAGTAGCAGTAATGTTAATCAATCAGCACTCAGTAGCAGTAATGTTAATCAATCAGCATTCAGTAGCAGTAATGTTAATCAATCAGCTCTCAGTAGCAGTAATGTTAATCAATCAGCATTCAGTAGCAGTAATGTTGATCAATCAGCTCTCAGTAGCAGTAATGTTGATCAATCAGCTCTCAGTAGCAGTAATGTTAATCAATCAGCATTCAGTAGCAGTAATGTTGATCAATCAGCTCTCAGTAGCAGTAATGTTAATCAATCAGCATTCAGTAGCAGTAATGTTGATCAATCAGCTCTCAGTAGCAGTAATGTTAATCAATCAGCTCTCAGTAGCAGTAATGTTAATCAATCAGCACTCAGTAGCAGTAATGTTAATCAATCAGCATTCAGTAGCAGTAATGTTAACCAGTCAGCTCTCAGTAGCAGTAATGTTAATCAATCAGCATTCAGTAGCAGTAATGTTGATCAATCAGCTCTCAGTAGCAGTAATGTTAATCAATCAGCTCTCAGTAGCAGTAATGTTAATCAATCAGCATTCAGTAGCAGTAATGTTAATCAATCAGCTCTCAGTAGCAGTAATGTTAATCAATCAGCACTCAGTAGCAGTAATGTTAATCAATCAGCATTCAGTAGCAGTAATGTTGATCAATCAGCTCTCAGTAGCAGTAATGTTGATCAATCAGCTCTCAGTAGCAGTAATGTTAATCAATCAGCATTCAGTAGCAGTAATGTTGATCAATCAGCTCTCAGTAGCAGTAATGTTGATCAATCAGCTCTCAGTAGCAGTAATGTTAATCAATCAGCATTCAGTAGCAGTAATGTTGATCAATCAGCTCTCAGTAGCAGTAATGTTAATCAATCAGCATTCAGTAGCAGTAATGTTGATCAATCAGCTCTCAGTAGCAGTAATGTTGATCAATCAGCTCTCAGTAGCAGTAATGTTAATCAATCAGCACTCAGTAGCAGTAATGTTAATCAATCAGCACTCAGTAGCAGTAATGTTAATCAATCAGCTCTCAGTAGCAGTGATACTAACTGACAACAAACATGTCTTGGTTGATAGACTGTGTGTGAGTTTCAGGGCCTTTTTTTGCCAAACTATCACTTTCAGTGTAAAACAAAACTTGCACAAGGCATCATTTTACACGATGAGGCTTAACTTCACACTTTTAACTGATGTCTGTGTTTAACACATAAAACAGGAACTTGTGTCATGTTACAAAGTCACTATTGTACCTCACAGTTCACTGTCAGCCCAACCTTTTAGAGAAGTTCAGCTCGGCTTACTGGCTTTTGTTGACATGTATTTCTCTATCCTGAATCTCTGAGCTGCTGATTCACTGTCATGTTGTTTATCAGCTGGAGTCTTTGAATGTTTACTAAATTCCTCCATCTGATGTCATGATAACGACAATAATAGTTGACTAAAGCCATTACATTTACTCTGTGCTGTTAAACAGACAAGAAGTTTAAGAGAGCACTCAATGACTGTTATTACTTATTAGTCTTCCCTTAAACAAACAAGAAAAAAATCTAAAAAAATCAGCAAGGAGTCAGGGCAGTGAACAACCAGTGGTTTTACCTTCTATCTTCTGCTAGATATTACCTTCTGATACTGCACTGTATTGGGTGCATTATGCTTACAAGTATGCTTACATAAGACTACAGGACAATTTTCGAATGTGATTGTGCTTTTCCACCATTCTGTTTCCTTCACGCATCTACACAGGATGTGCTCAGCACACTGTGTCCTCATAACATAATCAGAAAATTAGGGATGCACACATTTCTGAAGCAAAAGGCTACTTTTGATTTTTAGTGGAAAGAGAAAAGGAGTCATAACAAGATCAGAGCCAAATTTAAGACTTCACAAATAAATTTAATGGTAATAAAAAGAAGAAATAATGATAAAAAAACATTTTTTAGCAACACTCTCCTGCATTTGAGCTGTCAAAAAAAGAGAGGCCGAATTGGTTTGAGTTGGTTTCCTGTTCGTGAGCTATTTGGATTTTCCCTTCCACCTTAAATGGTGAAGTGGTTACATGTTAGAAGCTTTCTTGACCAATCATGAATGACCAATCATTCCTGTTGTCAAGGATACTGGATTGCATGGCACATACCGCAGCCTACACACTGTAATCACTTTAATCAGTTTATTTTATATTTTTTATGTATTTTGTATTTTTATCTATCATCAGCTTTTGTCGGTTTTCAGTTTTTGGCCAATTTTGTTTCGGTTCGGCCAAGAATTTTCATTTTGGTGCATCACTGCAGACAATCATTTGCTTAATGAATTGCCATATTGCAATCATATGCCAACTTACAACCAGAAAAATTCATCATTTTTATACTGAATATGTGATTTGAAAGAGTGCTATTTTTTAATTGTAAGAGCTGAAATTTTTGTGCAGCCGAAATTATTAACAATGTTGTGTTGACAAGTTTTAAGTGGGGAAATGTAACCTCATAACACGAAGCTTGAGAACCACCGGTAGATGAGTTGGACCAATCAGAAGCAAACAAACGCTTATGTGCTGTGAACCTGACAACACAACCATAACTGACTGGGAGTCTGGAGCACTACAAACAACGTTCAAGCCTCAAGCCAGAAAAAATGGATGTGCTGGTCATCTTAAACAAAAAACTGGCCTAGAAAATAACTGCAATTAAAATCGAACTTACAATATCGATCAGAAAAATCGTGATTAGATATTTTGCTCAAATCGTTCAGCCCTGCTTTTGTGACTAAATCAGAATTAAGCCAGATTGATCACTGTCCTAACACAAACACAACATGGCAGAAACTTGGACAGAAACTCTGCCAGCTTAGACATCTCATTTTGTGAAAAAGGTAAGCAAAAAAAATCCCCCTTTTTATCCCCCTTCAAAAGTGTTATGTAAGCAAACCAGCCTCCGCTACAAGGCCATGAGTGGGAGGCTTCCCCCCCGTGTGATTATGTAAGCTCGGCCTTTTCTCACCTCTGTTAAACGCTCCACCTCCTGCGTTAGCAACGCAACCGTGTCCTCCAGCTTCTTCCTCCGCTCCCTCTCTCGCTCCAGCTCCTGCAGATCAGAGAAAGAGAGAAACAGAGACAGAGCCAGTATATTTACACACGAATAAGACTTATCTGCCACAGTGTACACGCAACGCAGTGTGCATGTTATCCATGGTCTGTTTCCATTTATTCAAGCCTTTAATATACATATAAACTCATTTCGCTTGCTCAATATTCAGCAACAATGCTAGCTAAAAAAAAATAGAGCACAAAATAAAACTGAACTTTGTTCTCTATAAAGTGAAGCACCTGTGAGAGTCAGTGTTTCTTACTAAGTCACCAAATGACCAACAGACTGACTGGTCACCTTTGTTGTTATAGCACATCAAGAAGTAGCAGGTGGTGCTATAAACCATTAACCACCCATTATAAAACAGATAGTTCTGGCCCTAAAATCTGATTGGCTGAGCCACGTTCCACAATATACGCACATCTATGACCACCTCACAACAACTGAACTCTGTATCACTGCGCCACAGCACGACAAAAACCCTTGTGCTGTTAATGGAATAATCTTTGACTCTCAAGCTGCTCACATGGACCACCGAGTAAATTGATGAAGTAAGAACCAGTTTTTTGCGGGTTGTAACTTAAGTTCTTAATTAGAACTAGGCTGGTCAGTTAGCTAACAGGCTAAAAGATAGCCAACAGCCTAAACAGCTCATAATTAATATCACAGGCATGAATTAAAGTACTTACGGTATGATTAACTGTTAAACGGCAGTATAAAAGTATATAAAGTGCCACTTGAATGGATTACATGTTTCAAACGTCCATGTTTCAGTCAGAAGTTTCAACCCAGACTCAACCCAGGCTGAATCCTAAATGGCTCTGTCCTCCCTAAATAGTGTGCTAACTATGAAAGTTTAGAAAATCTAGCCTCTGCAGCCAAATAGTGCATCATTTATTGAGTATGAATTGAGTCCCAAATCACTGTTTCTTAGCTGTATTTTGCACTGTTGGGCTGCAGGATCCAGTATTTAAATTCCTACATAGTGCACTATGTAGGGAGCAGGGAGCCATTTGAGATTCAGTCCCAGCACAAGAAGAGGAGCGCTGCTGGTTTGCATTAAACAGTGCTGTGTTATCATATGTTCAATGTTATACAACAAAAAGTTAACAAGTTCATGAAATGACGCCAATATACAGCGATCTATTCGACAACCAACATTCTACTTCATTCTACTTCAGTGGTCCATGGTTGCTTAGTAATGATACCATAGTCTAAACGAACTACATTTCTTGGTGGAATACTAGTTTATGTCGAATGTTATTAATAATAACTTAAATTATTTTCTGAACAATTGCGTTTTTTATCATATTTTCTGTTGGCCGCCATTTTTTAAAAGCAATAAGCCACCTGAGGCCGTGTGTTACTGCAATTTTATCACAGGATGGGAGTTTTAGGAACACCCTTCCCGTGATAAAATCACAGTAACACATGGCCTCTCGTGGCTTATTGCTTTATTAAATGTATCGTTCCAAAGCTACCAATATAAGGCTAACAAATAATGAAAGGAAGCAGAGCACATTCATTGAAACACATCATGGATTTTATAATAACGAAGACCCAAGTTTGACTTCAGCTTTATTTAGCTATTTTAACTGTTCAAGGTGAAGATATGGTCACCACGCACTAGTACATGACCGATAAGCGCACCAGAATGTAAAATGAAATAATATTTTGACATGTTGAGTCACTGTTTTTTGGAATTATCACTTGTAAAGTTTATTTGCCAATGTAATGTTAGCCAGCTCAGAGGCTATAATGCTAGCGTCATTAGCACATATGCTAGCAGCTAGAGAGGAGTACTTTTTCTCTTATTTTTAAGAGCAAATATATATTTTGCCTGACTTTACACAAGATTCTGAGTAACCAGACATCTGTGTGAATTAACATTTTGCTCTCTATACAGAGTTCACCGTGTTAACGTCAGCTAGCTCTGAAGCTATAATGCTAATGCTATTAGCATGTATATGAGCAGCTAGAGAACACACCAGCTTTTTTATTATTATACAGTCAACTCTTCACATGATTCCTAATCAAGGAAACTTGATCTACATGAACAGTTACTGAGTTTTACTTATTTTTAGCAGGTATTTTTTGGAGCTTTGGAAGTAGCCAACAGGTTTTCATGTTTTTCACTTTCTTTCTTTTTTGTTTTTTTCACAGATTTTTTTTTCACCAAATATCTGCTTATGTTACTTGTATAGACTAAATAAGGGCAGCATGAGTAGCTGCAGTTCTCTCTGGCGATAATAAAAGCAATTTTATATTAACCCCTTAAAATCTCAGGCTTATTACACACTAAGGCTTATTACTCAGTAACTACAGGGACCTCAAGGCAAACAAATGGAGCTATTCTTTGGTTATAGATGTGTGTAATAGGCTTATAAGGGGCTAAAGGTAATTTTATATTAATTATTTCTCACTTGTAGCTCATTGAAACAAATAGAGAAATTGTGTGCAGACTCCAAACCTTCAACCTAGGCCACATTTATGTTTATAAGTAGAAGAAGAGGTATTTTATGATTTGAAAAACCTGATGAAAAGTTTTATGAGAAGAAAATCAACCTTCTACATTTCTGGCATGTTTTTTGTTTTTTGTAATCAAAACAAATGATAAAAATATATTCGCTGACTGTCCTTATAGAACAGAAATCAAATATAAATGTGTTTCATTACGTAACTGAGAATGTAAGTAACCATATCACCACATTTAAAGTATTACTGAAAGTTAATTTGATGCATAGCAAAATGATAATAACTCTAGATGTCTAAACCCCTCCTGACTGGAGCTGATCTTCTCACTAAGCCTCAGTATCAGTGCGCTATAAGAAGCTGCTGTTTGTACCATGGTGACTTCATGTGCCTCTCTCTGTGTTTCAGCGAGCATCTCCTCAGCTCCCTGGAGGGCATCCTGGAGACAGTCCACCTGGAATAACAACACCTCCTGCCGCAGCTCAAGGGCCTGCAGTTCCTGTAAGCTGTCTTCATAGTTTGCCTGGAGCTCCATCTGAACAAGAAAACAACACACAGACAAAACGAAATGCGCTGTAGTAAATAAACTCCTGGCTTTTGCAAAGATCTCCTGTGTTAATGGAATATTAAGGATTTCAACAACACTTAGCGGTCAGTAGTTGTGGCAGAGAATGTTTGGTGGTGGGCTTCATATACTCCAAGTGGGTTCAGTACTGTGCAAAAGTCTTGGCACCCAAGGAATCTGTTTACCATTTATTTTTGTTTTAACTATTTATCTTGACAGTAAATGTGTTTTTCTCCCAGTACAAATACTATATGATACTATGTTTTTGGTCAAATTATTATAAATTTGGTTGGAAAATACAGTTAGAAGAACCCAGGTTTGGTTCCTGTCTGCACTCAGATTTGTTGAAGTCCATCTACAACATGTAATTTCTTTTAATGAAGGATTTTTGTTCACAAAGGACCAATTTTCATAAACATTTGCAAAACATGCTGAACAATGATTTAAAAAATGATTCAGGATAAATCAAAATGTTAAATATCATACCATTTCTGGTTGCTCTGCATGCTCATCTTCACTCTAATGAAAAGAAAAACAAACCAAACCGTACAGTTAAAACATCAATAAAAGATGTACATGTACACTTTATGTCCAATGGTTTATAGACTCCAATGAAGAGTATTTATAGTGAGTTTGTCTTCCTTTGCTGCAGTAACAGCCTCTACTGTTCTGGGAAGGCTTTACAGTAGATGTTGGAACTTGGGGATACAGCCCAATGCTGGGGGGCTTTATACCCCTCTAGCCCATGCTTGTCATTGATTATGGTGACCTTAGGCTCATGTATGGCTACTCAAGAGTGTCCCATTCTATTTGCAATGCTTTTCTATGGAGATTATATAATGTGGTGCAATTGGTGCACCTCAAACATGGAACTTACTAATTAAATAGGATGTTAATAATTTTGGACATGCAGTGCATTTTTTCACAGCTAGTTTCTCCAGGTCCTACATACTAATCTACCTTCCTTACATCCATGATTCAACCACTGGAACACATGCCTGCTCCATGATTCAGCTGGGTGTGCTCTCGCTGTCATTTCAGAGCTGGGCTGAACTTTTGTCGAGTCAGTGCTGCTCTGTGCTCCTCTGTTTGGATTTTCCATTCTGTTATAAGGTAAACTGTTGGCAGCTTGTGGAAATTAGGGAGCTTGTTTTCCTGTTTCTTTTCTTCCCCCTTTTCACAGCAGCCATAAAATAGAATGTCTGCCATCAAACATATATTCGACTACTGTCCTTATAGAACAGAAATCAAATATAAATGTGTTTCATTACGTAACTGAGAATGTAAGTAAGCATGCCATCAATTATTTTCCATAATTGAAGGTTCAGGCCTGTTTTTTTTGGCCAATTAGACCAGAATATATATTTTCTATAATGAAGGTCAGGCTGTTTTTTTGGCCACTAGACCAGAAATATATTTTCTATAATTGAAGGTTCAGGCCTGTTTTTTTTGGCCAATTAGACCAGAATATGTATTTTCTATAATTGAAGGTTCAGGCCTGTTTTTTTTGGCCAACTAGACCAGAATATATATTTTCTATAATTGAAGGTTCAGGCCTGTTTTTTTTGGCCAATTAAACCAGAATATATCCACCTCTTCTGGTTTGACTTTTTCTTTTCAGAGACAGAGTTTTTTTCTTAAACTATTAATCTTAAAAACAAGCTATTCATCTAAATGAACCATCCACAAAATTAAACACTCTACAAACCCACAGTAACAAACACAATGCCCACAACTACTTATTACTATGATACCATGATTACTTGTTATTCTTATTGACGCCACGTGTGGTTACTGTTATGATGTGATAACACTACTTCACTTGACTTTACGTTCTGTTACTCTACAAGCATTTCTGTGATATTTCAGGCTAGATTTGTTCTAATTTCCTCCAATATCCAGTCCACCACACCTCCTGGCACTGCCCTCATTTCGATTCTGGGTTTTAGTTGGGCCATATTTAGCACCCAGAAATACCCTGATTTCTCTGTGTGCCCTAACTTGGCTAAAGTATGTGAAAAATCCAGTACAGCTCCAATGTGTCAGTGGATGCAAGGCTATGATTAAGATTTTACCACCATCACAACACTAATATCTCTAACAGTTTATTGGATTAACTAATGTTAATCAAATAATCAAACTGTTTACCTGGCTTTCTCTTGTTTCTCCTCTTTTGAGTGATCCGTATCTGCTGTCGCTGCGTGATAGCCGCTTGTTTGTCTCTTCAGCCTAGCAAAATCAACACAGAAAGACAAAGCATATCAACAATAATGGTAACAAAATAAACTATAATGCAGTGTTGCAGGTCTGCAGTGGTTCTCCTGAACGCCCACCAGATGTTTTTGCTCCCAACACACCTGATCCATGCCTTTAAAAACACTGAATAGCTGGTACAGATGTGCTTCAGTGCTAGAGTTTGTTAAAGCAGAAATACAGGCTGGTGAGTCCTGAGGACTGGCTTGTAATGCAAAACACTGCCACATGTATTTGAAAAGGTAGGCCACACTATACTCCCCCAGATGATGTCTTAATGAAGGCTTCCTTTTATTTGCATTTATTTGCCTCAACCTGATGCTCCCAATTCACATTCTGCTTGTTGCAGAAATGTAAGGTCTGTGGAAAATTATTAATTGTGATCATCTTAAATAATTGCGATTAGGCATAATACATGTACTAATTGTGACAGACCTGCTTGGTTCTGCTATAAAGGTACTATTAGGGGTTGAAATTGCTACAGACTACATAATACGATTTATATGTATACATAATAGCTCCTAACTAATGACAAACACATTATTAACACGTTATTAACAAACATCAAATAAACAAACGTTATTCACCGGCGCCCTCTAAAGGCGATATTGACAAACATCAAATAAACAAACGTCACTCGCCGCCCTCTAAAGGCGATATTGACAAACATCAAATAAACAAACGTCACTCGCCGCTGCCCTCTAAAGGCGATATTGACAAACATCAAATAAACAAACGTCACTCGCCGCCGCCCTCTAAAGGCGTTACTGACAAACATCAAATAAACAAACGTCACTCACTGCCGCCCTCTAAAGGCGTTACTGACAAACATCAAATAAACAAACGTCACTCACTGCCGCCCTCTAAAGGCGTTACTGACAAACATCAAATAAACAAACGTCACTCACCGCCGCCCTCTAAAGGCGTTACTGACAAACTTCAAATAAACAAGCGTCACTCACCGCCGCCCTCTAAAGGTGTCAAACAAACATAAAAACAAAAGTTTTCATTAGACTCGTGACTTTTGTCAATAAATGTGTTTTCTGTTTTCTTTTATTTATATGCATTTGCCTCAACCAAACACATTCTGCCTGTTGTGACATAAACATATAATTGTGAGAATTCCTATGGAACTGTGGAAAAATTGGAAAACAATTCCAGTCATCTTGAATAAATGCAATCAGCTCAAATAACTGTGATTCTTCTTTTTTTCTCAGATCTACATTCTTTTTTTGTTGCTGTAATCAGTGTCCAGCTGCATTCTCGGACTACCAGATGAGAGAAGAGATAACAGGCATTAACAGACAACAGGCACTAACATTAACTATGTCAAGCAAGACTGGGCAGTATGTCAACAAACGAGACACCGCTCCCTGTCAGGCGTACATCTGCAGGAACTTTCCTCCAGTTTTATGTGTGTTCTGCTGATTTTCCATAATACTGATGCTGCTGCATGACTAGATAATCTCCTGTAAAGCCAGCAATGCAAAGCTCCCCTGACTCAATCGCTAAAACTCAGCTATGGTGGACTGGAATCCACCTCCACTTTTCAGTGAACAAAACTCTCCGCTGACTTCAGTTAAACACTGTCCCTTAATAACTCATCCAAGATATCAGGGGACTTTTATATTGGGCATCAGCAAAGTGCAAATGATGATTTTTATCCTTAAAGTATGGCTAACTAGCTAACTAGCCTGATGCCTGGGGCATTGTTTTTCAAAAGTCTGTGGCCTAAAATGTATTTTTAAAATATGTTCATGGTGGAGAGGAGCATGCAGAGTGTTTTAAGGCAAAATAGCCCCCGAAAGAATTTTTTGTTTAAGATTTATCACTTCATTAAAACACTGCATCTCTTGGTATTTACCTTTAAATTTGATCTGTATTATTTTCTTATATGGTTTTAAATTAGTACTCATAATTTCTTGTATTGCTGAAGCTTTATCATCCATCTGTATCACACTTTTAGCTGCCACTGGCATGAAAAGTGCTCTATAAATAAAGATTATGATTATTAGTAGAATTATTACATATAAAAACTCATGTAGCTTCACTGCTGGTTTGGATCAAACCACTGTGAATGACTTTGTCTGCAGAAAATAGTAAACCTGCATGTGCTGTCAATACCAAGCAATAAAAAGTAATAATCATTTATTTAAGTTTAAATATGAGCAATAATTTACCACTGTAAGCAAAAAACAGTTCGGCTGTTCTAAACAGTAAACACTACAGCTTTTGCTGTTGTTCCATCTCGTCTCAAAGGACTGTGGGATACAAAAGTGAAAGTGGAGTCTGAATGCTGACTTGCTTCACTAATCCTCAGCTTTCACTGTTTCTCCAACACAGATAAACCGGAGCGCACAGGTGGAGGTGGAGTGAGGGCTTAGAGGACCAGTTGAAACAGGCTATCCAGTGACAAACCAGTATAATAAGTCCTTACTGTTAATGAATAAGTATGACAGCATGTAGGATGGGCACTAAAAACTGTGGAGTACAAAGAGAGAGAAGTGCTGGAAAACAATAACTAAAAGCACTTACTAGTTATTTCAGTAACAATTTACTGTAGGGTGCTGTTTATAAGGCCACATGACACCTACATAAGCTTTTCACGACAACTGACATAACCTGCTTATTTTAATAGGCGTCATCTGTCATAAAGACTACTTTAGCAAATTTTGTAGCAAATGCGCCTGTTGAAATAAGCATTAATAAACGTTTATGTAGGGTTATGTCAGTTGTCATGACAAGCTTATGTAGGTGTCATAAAGCCTTATGACCAGCACCCTACAGTAAAGTGTTACCATTATTTCTTTCCAAATGATTTAAAGGGCCCATATCATGGAAAAACACATTTTCCTCACTTTTTGTGAAATGAAACTGTCTGCTGAAAACATTTTTAATGTTTCAAATCACACCAGTCTGTACGGCCCACATGTGGAAACTAAATGGCAAAAGCAGCCTGGTCTGAATCCACTGCGCCTGTGTAACAAAAAGCAACACGTCTACATTATATCTATTCAGCCTACAGCAGTTCAGCTCCACCCTTTCACACTTAAGTTATGAGGAGTGTCTATACATCTATACATACTGTCTACACATCTATATCTCATATATCTAAAATCTGTCTCTTAAAATCTCTTAAAAAGGGGTTCTTCAATGGTTCTTCAGTAAAGGCAATGGTTACATATATAACCTGACAACAGCATGCTTTCATGTTTCTTCAGAGGGTTAAATGTTTTTGTTCATGGCTACATTTTTTGTATATGGTTCTGTCAAGAACCTTTAAAAAAAGAGGCCTATATAGCGCTGAAACGCGTTCTGCCATAGAACCTTATATAGACCTACACAGAATTAGATTTTTGGTCAAACAATTCATTTAAGGCATAAATTACCCCTTAGAATACCAGAGTTATTGCTGTTGTATTGTTATACACTTAATTTACATTAAACATTAAACCATATAAATTAAATTACAATGTTAATTACTAAGTTACATTTAATTACCAAATTATATTTACATTCAGTTGACATTCTTTTTCAATAAGTTTGTGTTTTGATTATTTTTTGGGTCAAATTTTTACAAAAACATGACAAACGTAAAAGATGTTTTTTTCCTTCTGCAAAACAAGACACAAGAATAATGTTCACTAAATTCAAATAAATAAATTTAAATAACTCCTCTTGTCCTTACAAACACAACTGTGGCATGCACTGAAAGTGTATAACCTGTGCTTTTAAAGAAATATTTAATATAAAAAATATTTCCTTCTCCCCTGTGACTACTAACCCCACTGAAATATCCAACTGTGTTTAGAAAGTTGGATAAAAACCCGAGAGAACTTTCTCCACACAAGTTCTGCAGTTCACACTCCTGTCCTCAAGTAGCTACAGAGCAGAATATCTGGCCACATTAAAAAGCAGGTGCATGTTTGACTGTCAGACTAAAAGCTGAGGGAAGGAAGCAACAAGTCTATTTTTTCCTGTTGACACTAGTGAAACACAGTGAAGTCAGTATCGGTATATAACTGCTTAAAGAATGAGCCCCATTAGACAGACATTCAGACTCCACTGATACTTCAAACCAATATTTGACAACACATACATTTAACTCTGCAAGAACATTTAAATGGCACTGGGTTACTACACTGCAATATCTGCATTTTACTCATTTTACTATATATGTAACCCTACATCCTTAAAAACTTTTCCTTAAGGCTAGTAAAGGGAGTAGTTATACAGGACTGTGCAAAAGTCTTAGCCACCTGAGCACACTATTTAAAACTGTTTCGTTGCAACATGTGGGTACTGCCTGTAAAAACACGTAACAAGGGTTTTTCGTGGCCTAGTTAGAGAAACACAGGTCTGGATTCCAGATTTCTCCTGGACGCCTCCAGACATCACATGAATTTACTGAATTGCACATCTAATTTAACATGATAAAGCCAAAACAGGAGCTGGATGATAATTACAGATAATACTGGGCTTCCTCGAAATGGTTAAACAAACACATCAGCATAAATTAAATTACTAGTTATTGTATTCATGTAATTTTTGTTTATTGTAATATTAGTGCTTTTCTGTGCAAATAAACACTTACTGACCACATAATTCGCTTTTTAAAAAGTAATTTTCTAAATCTTGTGCATAGTATATAGAACTTTGAACACTCAAAGGGCACTTTAAAGGCATACATTGTTCTCATAGGTCATAGAACCTTTTTTTGGTACTGTATATTACCCTTATTACCGACAGTGTATATAAATACATATTATATATATCTATATGTATCTTATATTTATATATGATCCAGGTAGTTGTAGTCCCAGTTTTTATCTATGTTTACGTATCTGCACCAGCATTAGCAGGTACTTATGTAAACACATATACATTGGATTTCCACAGTGAGGGCCTTTACATGCACTTGGGAAATCAGAATCCAGAAAATCAGATTTTGTCAGTAATCCGTTCAACACATTTACATGCACTGGACTATTCAGATAATGGGGAAACTCCAGGTCTTTAGACGTCAGACAACAACTGGATTTCTGCTTTGCAACCAGCCAATAAACTCAACAGAATAAGACGTGGCGTAAACGTGAAACTGAAACTTTCAGTGTCTCTCTAAAAGTGTTGTGTTGCGTCTTGTGGGTGCTGCGTTAAACACTGATTGCTGTTTCCGGGACAGCGCTCTGTTCACACATGCGCAGACTGACAGAAACGAAAGAAATCAGAGTAAGGGTTCACATGCACTGAAAAACCCATAATGGAGCTCAAATCCAGCCTCTGAATCAGATTTTTTAATCAGATTTCTAGGACTTAATCTGATCTAAGAAATCAGAGCGTGATGTTTACTCGACCACTTAAGTGATCCGATAAATGCCGAAATCCAATAAGGATTATTAGGTGCCTGAAAACACACTGGAAAAATGTGTGACAGGTCCAGGATTAACCCCTTAAAACCCCAGGCTTATTACATACTAAGGCTTACTATTCAGCAACTACAGGGACTTCAGTGCAAACTGGCTAAGCTGTTTGGTTATAGAAGTGTATAATAAAACTTTGGGGCTGGCCATGAAGTGAGTTAACAAACATAATAAAGTTTTGCATCCCTGGCTGAAGCTGCATGTGTTACTGAAGGCTTGTACTTTTACACCCAACGACTTGTTAAACCTCTAAAAACTGTCAAACTGTTTTGCAGTAGCCTGAACATTTTCTTCAGTGAGCACTAAACTCCAAGTACTAAACTGAAACTGCAAGTTTCATTACAAAGAAAGTAAAATTAGTCCTGTTTAATTGGATCTAGTTCAGTGCAGCAAGCAAAATGTTGAATAAAAATGATTGTACTCATCATTTTTATGGCATTTTATGAATGTAACACTAATGCTACCTTTTTAACTGTTCCAACTAACTAAATCTCAAAAAAACTACATGTTGTGATACATATTGTGTATCATAAAAATGTCTTCCAGCATCGTGATGTTTCACCCACCCTTAACATTCATTTTGTCCTTCATTTTTGGAGACTTTTTAACATTTTTTGTGTTTAATTTTTAAGCTCAGTCGAGTGTCAGAGCCATAAGCACTTGCAAAACCAGACGAGTCAGCTCTGCAGATACAACAGCGTTTAATAGCCAGTCTTGAGTTTCCTCAAAGAGCTCATTGAAAATACATGGTGGCCATTTTGAATGCTGAGTCAAGCACTTATGAGTCAGTGGTGCTTTATCATAAGAGTACACAGGCTGTGGTCATGTGAACAATGATCATGGATATGATCTCAGACAAGAACTAGAATGACGTATTGTTCCCGTGGCAAAGTGGACAACAGAAACGAATGCAAGACCACTACTGCACACCAACCAGTTATAACCCCAGTAAACCAAAACAAACAACAACATAAACAGATAAATCAAATTTAGCACAGCTCACAGTAATGAGACATTTAAAATACAGTGCTCTGATCATCTCTTCTAAAATCAGGTAATAACAGACTAACAGACTAAGCTCTGCTAATCCACACTCGCATAACCACAGTCTTTTACTCTGAGAATGTTTAGTCTGGATAAACAGTTACTACATTTCTGCAGATAGCACAGCAACCAGGTCAATTCAGGCTGACATTTTTTCTATTCTGTTAAAGAACAACCATTAACCCCTTAATATTCCAGGCTAATTACATACAAAGGCTTATTATTCAGTAACTACAGCGACTTCAATGCAAACTAATGGAGCTATTCTTGGGTTATAGACGTGTGCCCGCCGACAGGCCCATGGCTTGTTAAGGGGTTAATAATGACAACTATTCATAATTGATCTTTTCTGAAAGTCTTATCCAGCCAGCTCTCCCACTCTTGGGACTAGATGCCCCCTCTCTCTGGCGAATTTCACATCAATTTGTCATCTGTGCTTTGCAAACTTTGTTATTAATTAAAGTAGAGCACTGCTGTATTTTGAAATTAAATTGGAGCCTCTTTTCTTTATTTTAATAATCTGACAAAAACAAAATACAACAAAATAATACACTTAACATGCCAATGATGTTCATAAGGAACACATTTTATGAGGAGGAGTGTAGGTGCCCTATCAAAACCAAACGTGCAGCTCTCATATTGACAAAAAAGAGTATCAACTGATCATCACAGGAATTCAAGATTAGTTTGTTAGTAGGCCCCATCATTTGATGAGAAGAAAAAATAAAGGCGGTCACATCTTACCCTGGAGGCTACACAGTAGTGCTGTATAATATAGTACAGCATAATATAGTTAAAATACGTTATTATATAGCTACAAAACATTTTTATATAATAAATATAATAATATAATCTTACCTTGGGTTTTTTTTTTCCACCATGTTATCCCACCCCAAGATTAGCAGTGAATTCATTAGCACAGTAGTGCAGTATAATATAGTGTAGCATAACATAGTTATAATACATTATTATATAGTTATATACATATTATATACACATATATGTAAACTTCACACACACAGTGAAAGACTATGGTGTAGTATACGCAACAGTGCGCCCTCTAGCGGTTCTTCGAACACGCATAGTTAAATTTCCTTGGAAAATATGTGGCAACACGAGTTAATCACGCCGACGTAACTCTGTCCCCTAAAGGAGAGGCTGTGTGGGGAGTGGTGTTGAGGTAAATCTCAGGAAATCTCTGGGAATTCATCTGAAAAAGAGTTAATCAATATCATCCTCTCAAGGTCCCAGATACGAAGGTATTCCTATGTAGCTAGGTTAGCTAGCTAGCTAACATACTGGAAACGCAAGAGTAACGATTTGCCTCGGTTTCCATTCATAACAAACGGTGACAGAAGTGTATTTTTGAACATAACAGTACCGAACTGACTGTATTTTCTTAGTCCGAACCGAACAGGGAGAATGAGCGGCTGAAATTGTGTATTCGAATTTCCAGTTCCACCTTAAATGAGGCAGCCAGACACTATTGGGCTATTCTGATGCTTCTGGTGTCAGAATGGAACTGCTGCCCCATTTAAGGTGGAACGGAACATTTGGAACAAAGTCCTCACCATCTTCATCAATCACATCCCCACACAAAAGAAAGACATTCCGCTTCACGGCCAGTGTAAAATGCGTTTATCACCCGCTGATGAAAAGCGGAGACTTCCGAGAAATGACCAAGCATGGACCTCGAACATATCTCCTCTTTTCAACTAACCTCTTTCATAATGTGTCGCAGGGACTCTTCCTCGCTCATCCCCCGAGAGAGGACCCGTTTCCTGGGCGAACCAGCTTTCTCCACCGTCCCCGAGTGCATTCTGAACACGGGAATAACTGCGCACACCACGACTTCAGCAGATAAGGAGAAGACGCGAGGAAGAAAAAGCGTTTCCAGCAGTTTCGTGATTCGTATTTGGCAGAAAGGGAGGCGGTGGTAGAGGCTCAACTTGAGCCCGGAGGCAGGAGGAGCTTATCGGACAGCCCAGACATCGCTGGATCATAACACTGCTGAGAGGAGGCGCTCCGCGAAGACTGGGCTGCGTCTCATTCAGAGTCAAACCCTCCTGCCTCCCCTCCTCCCCGCGAGATACACTATTATACGAGTTTTTAGACAGTGTTTCTTGTGAAATGAAGGGTATTAATAGTGAGTTTGTGCTGCAGTAACAGCCTCTAGTCGTATGGGAAGGCTTTACACTAGATGTTGGAACATTGCTGTGAGGATTTCATTGCATCAGCCAGGACTGCATTCAGCCACAGGTGACGTCGTGGTTATTTTTTAATAAGGTGTGGCCACGAATTAATATATTGAGGCGAGTTCAATTTCTCTCAACTCGTGGCTTCAACGGAATAATTTGTGGCTTCAGTATATTAATTAGTGGCCTCATTATAAAAATTAGTGGCCTCAGTATAGTAATTAATGGCTTACATATATTTATTTGTGGCCTCAATATAGAAATAAGTGGCCTCAATACAATTAGTGGTCTCAATATAGAAATTAGTGGTCTCAATATAGTATTAAATGGCTTCAATATAGTAACTAATGGCTTTATCATATTCATTTATGGCCTCATTATAATTAGATGTATTATTAGTGGCCTCAAAACAGTAATTAGTGGTCTCAATATAGTAATTGGCGGTTTCAATATAGTAATATGTGGCCTTAATATAGTAAGAGGTGGCTTCAATATAGTGATTAGTGGCTTCAATATAGTAATTAGTGGCTTCAGTTTATTAATTTGTGTTCTCAATATGGTTATTAGCAGCTTCAGAATAGTAATATGTGGCCTCAATATAGTAATTAGAGGCTTCAATATAGTAATTAGTGATCTCAATATAGTAATTGAGTGGCTTCAACATATTTTTGTGGTCTCAATATAGTAAAGAGTGGCTTCAAAATAGTAATGAATTGTTTCAGTTTATTAATTTGAGGTCTCAATATAGTTATTAGTGGCTTCAGTATAGTAAATAGTGCCCTCCATATTTGTGGCATCAATATAGTACACACACATCACTATGTGGTGATAGGAACCAGACGTCCAGCTCTAAAAACTCCTTCACAGAAAGTTACTACATTAGATGGTTGTGAATACACTGCCTGATGTCTGAGACACTGTTTAATGAAGGTGTTGGGATAAAACTTATTTTAAAGGCTTCAATATTGATGAATTGTACTGAAGGCAAAAAATACATAAAGAAAAGTTTGTAGATTTAACACTATTTTTCCATCATTATCATTCTACGTTCCAGAAGACACGTGTAGGTTCACTGGTGGTTTTGGGTAGTAAATAAAATGGCTATATTTGTGTTTTAGTCATGGCGACTCTTGGTTCCTATCACCACCACTGTAAAGAAATCTGAGTCTGTAAGCTTCTCTACAATTAATCATTTCACATCAAACCACTCTCAATGACTCTGTTTATATCTGAATGATTAAATTTTGCAAAAAATGTAAAACATCAGTGGAATTCCCCTTTAACTAAAGCGAACACCATGAAGCATGAACTGAAAGGAAATAGGCCGCAACTAGGCCACTGCACTGCCAGCTGACTCCACAAGTACGAGTGCGAGACTGAATTAGATATAAACACTGGCTTGCAAAAGACCCTTTCAGTTCTCCATTTGGGTTTAACTAAAAAAAGTAAATAAGTGTAGTTACGCATAGGATTGCAGATGAATTAGTTCTGCTTAAATATTTGTAAAAAAGGGAATGTATTTGATTACAGAGTAATATATGTGTGACTTTGAAAATAATACTTTTTGTGAACAGTTCTGTAAAGCTGGGCTGAATGTGTTGGTCATGTAAATGAAGCAGAGCTGAACGTGTCCTGCAAGTACTGTATCTGAACATTAATCTCTTCTCACATGTCTACTGTCTATAATTTATACTTTAAGATGCATCCATTGCTGACACAGACCTTCAGTTAATCATCCAGAACTGACCATCCAACATCAGTACCTGACCTCACTAATGCTCAATCAAATCCTCAAAGCAATGTTCCAACATCTAGTGTAAAGCCTTCCCAGAAGAGTAGAGGCTTTTACTGCAGCAAAGGAGAACAAACTCACTATTAATACCCATACAGTTACAAAGTATATATACAGTTTTGTTGATTTTCTATTTGAAAATAAGTTAACACACCCCTCACAGGGAACTAAGCCAATAAGTGTTCTCTTATTTTCACTCAGAAAATCAACAAAATGTCATTTGACCAGTGCGCCCACACTTTTTCATTCTACTGTAGGTATTCTTCATAACTGTACACACTAGAAATGACAGCTGTAAATGAACGTAACGTGTTAATTCTTAATATTTGCATTATGTTACTTGCCAAAATATAACATGAAATAATGTAAACGTATACGAATGACATAGAAGCAATTAAAAATGATGCTTCTTAGGGTTTGGTCCATTAAGGTCCATCATTTCCCACACTGTAGACCCGAGGTGCTGGACAGAGCCTGATAATACTGTATAATTGAAGGAGTGCCATCTGGTGGAGCTTTAGGAGCAATACATGTGGTGCAGGTGGAGTCAGAATGAAAAAAGTCACACTCAGTTCTGTTTTTCTATGAGTTCATATCAAAAACGGCATATATATATATATACACACACAAATAAGCAGGACGTCTGATGTGTGACAAAGACTTCAAGAATAAACTATTAGCAGAGTCAGTTAATGAGGATCCTGGCCACTTTCTATTTCCCCCGTTATGTCCAAGACGTGACTGCAAAACGCCAGAGGGCGCCCGCGAGCGATTCCTCAGAGAATGGGGGTGAATAGAGCTAAACGGCTAAAAACACACACGAACACACGTTTTCTCTCTTTGGTTGATGTGTTGTTTGGCTTTAGTTATTTTAAAAAGAATAAAGTCAAAGTCAAATATTATATTATTAATTTGATCATTCTTTTGGCAAAATTTCATATACATAAATGTAAATTTACTCATGCCAAACTTAAATTTATTCAAATACATAACTTCTATTACCCTCTCCAAAAACAAACAAACAAAAAAAAACCTGTCAAAACAATGAATATATGCACTTATTTAATTTGTTTTTGTAAAAACATGTTTTTTCCCTTGGCTTTTTTCTTTCTTTCTTTTTTTGTTTAAACTTTGTTGTTTAAATTTGTTTTAAATTTTTACATTTTAAAATCTTTTGTTTATGCAGTTTGTTATCTGACTTAACTATATCTGTTCTGCTTTATACTGGTTTTGTACAAATATAATTATCTAATAAATAATTAAAAAAAACAAAACAAACAAACACATTTTCTAAGCTGCTTATCCTCCTGGGGAACGTCATATTAAGAATAGATATATTTGATATTTTATTTTATTAAAGACTCCAATAAGGACATTTGCTACTTGCTTAATCTGTTCATTCTACTTGGTAAATACTTCATCCATAAAATGAAATTTGCAAATGTCTCCTCAATCCAGTATATGTATTGTTAAAGAACAGCTAAGCTGATGAATGTATTGAGAAAATACAACTTTGTTTGAAGACTTGTTCCACTACCTCATGCAAGATGTGATATCTGCTTTTCAGTTTATGAATGTACTTTATTCTTCATATATAGATATGTATGTCACTTTTTTATATTATTCTTTATTTCCTTTATTTAAACTTTTGACTTCTCATTGTGAACTATTCTTATACTGAATCCCTGTCTCTGATAATTGCTTATTCCTCTAGCAATTAAAAAAAATCCTTCAGGGGTGAGCTGGAGCCTATCCCAGCGGTCAAAGGGGCGGAAGCAGGGTTAGGGTTAGGGTTAACCCTAACTAGCTTCTGATCACTTTTCCAGGACCTTCCTTTTTTGTATTTCACCAATAAAGCAAAGAAAACTTAGCTGTACGTTTCCTTTTTTCTACAGCAAACAGGTTTTGGACAGTAGGACACTAACAATACTGCTGCTGAGTGCTGATTGGTTGACATAACTTCTACTGATTGCTGATTGGCTGGCATTAGTGCTGCTGATTACTCATTGCACTCTACTTGAAAAACCTAAGCTAAGCTAAGAAGACGGCGTACTGTATTCAACGTTTATGGCTCCAAATGACTAAAAGCTTTTTCCCCCCTCTGCATTTGTAGACGTCTAGCCTCAATGTTGTTGTTTATTGCTGTATGTGTTGTGTAGTGTATCGCTTGCTCTATATGCTCTTCAAAAAGTCCTATAACTGGAGTTCAAAAGCATTCAAAAATATAACAGCGATGTTAAAATGTCTTCAGGAAATTAATGCATTCTTCTGTATAAAAATTGTTAAAGCATTTACAACCTATGATTTTGGGACGACAAAGACTGTCAGTATTTAAATATCAGCCCATACAGACTTTTATATTGGAAACGCCGTACTGGTGCGGTGTTTCTACTTCCGCCCATGCTTTCCCTTAGTTTCATCATTTCCGTATCACGACTTCTTTTCCAGCATCCCGGCGGTGGAGAGCAGCGCGTGTAAGTCCTGTTTGAAAACATTCCGGATTTTCTGCTCTTTAAATTTACCTGATGGGGTTTCGACATTCATGAAAACAACCTTGACATCAGATCTGCGGCGTTAGCGCTTAGAAACTTTAGCGCGTTCAGGAGTCTCAGTGAAAATAAAGAGCCGGCGAAGCTACTTTTTGACAGACGACGTCAAACCCGGCGAGTCTAATGTAACCGAGATCACTGCAAGTCAGAGCACTGACACTTATCTTCCTACTACACGCTCTAAAATATGGCTCTTCAGGGTTCTATGGGTCTGTTTAGAACCCTGAGTTCTATATGTAACCGTTTGCATGCTTAAATGGTTCTTTGCATGGTGAAATGGTTCTTCAGATTGATGGAGAATGTGTTGTATATGGTTCTGTATAGCATCAAAAAGGGTTCTGCTGTTGTTTCAAGCTTAAGATCGTAACAACAGAAGAACGCTTTTTGGTGATATATAGAACCATTTTAAAAAAGGTTGTATATAGAGCCATATACAGTACTTTCTTCATCAGACTGAAGAACCACTTCACCATGCAAAGAACCATATAAGCCATTTAAGTGGCATGGTTTATATAATTATATGATTAGTTTTAAGTAGAACCATCACCTTTAGTAGAGAACCCTTGAAGAACCTTCTTTTTTAGTGTGTGCTTTGTTTTGAAGAAGTTGCATAGTAGTGTGTTATTAGCAAAGTGAAAAGGTTTCTGATGTGGAGGGATGTTAGGTTATGTTTTTAAAGCAAAAGTGCTCTATTTTAAAGTTGAATTCCACAGACTTCAGAAAAGTTCTACATATTTCAGTGGGTGACATGTAAACAAAGTCATTCAGAGTGGCTTGATGTAAAAAAATTTTTGTAGAGAAACTTAATAAGTCAGATGTCTTTACAGTGATGGTGATAGGAACCAGGGGTCACAGTATGTAGTACACAAATATAACCTGTTTATTTACTCTCTAAAATCACCAGTGAACCTACACAAGTCTTTTTTGTAATGCTCTGGCAGTACCGCTCCACCCTAAGAGTGTTTTAGAAAATATGTATTAGGCTAAAACCTTCTCAAAGATATGATATAGCTATATATTAGTCATATTATTCAACATATTCTAAACCATTTCATGTAATAGCTTTCTGTGAGGTAGCTTTTAGAGGCATTCAGTCATCAGATATCTGGTGCCCATCACCACCCTTGTGAACAGGTCTGGCTTGGCAAGTTTTTCTAGGACGGAATGTTTCACATTAATCCTCTCCGAATGATTTTGTTACGTCTTAATGATTTAATTATGCATAAAATTTGAAAAATTATGGAATTTCCCTTTCATTTCTGGCAAGCTGTATCACTGCACAGTTTAGTGCTGGGGGGTCACCAGTCTCAGCCACAGAGAGTTGATGTTGGTGCAGGTTTTCATTTAAAACAAACATGAGCACATGTGATTAAACAAGTTTAGTTAGGTGTGCCACTGTTTGACCGGAATGAAAACCTGCAGCGATGCCAGCCGTTGTTAAGACCGGTGGCCCTTGTTTTAGTGGTTGTGCTGCTCTAATAAGCCTAATTCAAAGCGACGTGTTAAATCCAGGCAGAGAAAATGCACACAAGTTGCCTTCCAGGGTTAGAGCTTGAGTCATAGTGAGTGATCTGTCCACTGCTCTGCATTGTATTTGCACTTAAGTGAATGACTTGTTGCTTCGTTTGTAGGCGCCATGGTGGAACCAGTGCCAGAGTCCATCCACTTTCCTTCAGAGGAGGAACGCATCCTCCAGTTCTGGAAGGAGAAGGACTGTTTCCAGGAATGTCTGAAACAGTCCAAAAACAGGCCAAGGTGAGAGAAAACCTTTTTACTGATTACTGATTACAGAGTGATGTACAGAGTTCAGTTTCTGATTAATCCAGTGAGTGGTGATGCTTTACTGGACACTCTCTGAGTTACCCATTGCTCGTGATGATGTTCTCATAGGGGCCTTTTTTACACTGTAGAGCCAAATTGTTCCCACAGCTGTACTGTCTTGTTTCATGTGAGACTTGTGAGACCGGTTACGGTATCTTTTTCCATCTACAGTGCTAATCGTGTAGTATCTGAGCATCAGTTTGCTGGAATTGAGACTGTACTGTGGTTTAGCCTGCTAACTAGGCTATGTTTATCTTAGCACGGCAGACTTAGGCTCAAAACATTCGGTTTTTAGCTTTCACTTCAGCGCCGGTCACTCGACTTTTACTGCGTCAGACATTAGATTTTATCATCTACACTTGATTTAGCAGAGCGCCAATTAGTCCAAATCAAGCGTGTTCTGTGTGTTGTGGTGCTCGTTGGATCTGTAACCCACTAGCTAAGATAACTAGGAATGCAGCTGACTAAAAAAGATGAGCTAGCATTAGCCTAGCCTAGCTACATCAGATTTAACTCTTAAACTACAGGCTTAAGTGTTAAATCTGATTACAAAGCCATGTCATGGTTAGAATAACATGTAAAATGTATTGAAACTTCATCTTTAGCATGAGAATAGGATGTTCTTACAGATGAAAGAGCTTTTTTAATGGGAACTGATGAAAGTAATGAAGCTGAGGTATTTAACAATGAACAAAACTGAAGAATTCTTAGTAGCTCCACCTTCAGTGCTCCAGTATTTATGTTATTTAAGACTGTGAGTTGTGAGACTGTAAGAGCATAGATATTTTATGGAGAGTGACCAATACATGTTAAAGGGGAATTCCAAACATTTCTGCATTGTTAATTCAATAAGTTATAAACAAATTCATTTACAGCGCTTTAATGTGAAGGGCAAGCCAGTCTTGTCCACTCGTATTGTAATGGGGAAAAGAGTAAACAAAATGAAACAGAAACTGTGCAGAACGCAGTCATCGGTCAGCCTTTGTTAGGGCCAGTTCTTCCTTGTCCAGTTGGTGTTTTTGGGCCCTAAGATTGTTGCGCTATTGTGGACCTCAGTATAAGCCAACCTATCTATAACACAGTAACAGCAATACAGGCTTAAGTGTTAAGGGTAGCTCCACCTGCAGTGCTCCAATATTTATATTATTTGAGACTGTGAGTTTCTGCTGTTTGTTTGAGTTTAATTGCTGACTGTTGGGAACTGAATCATTAAGTATTGTTTAACCAGAGCATTTGGAGTATAAATGAAAATAAAAAATAATGAAGTGAAATTATCAGTTGATTATCAGTTGTCAGAATTTTTAGCTCCTTAAAATCAGTATCAGTATAGGTCACAATTTTTTTTATAGTGACTGGGCCCTAGTTTGAATACACAGCTGGCTAAATACATGATATATCTCTACTGATACATTTGGTGAAATCAGATATAAACTCTCATATTTTTTTATTTTGTGATAGAGATGTGTGAGTTTGGCGGAATGGGCAGTAAGGCTGGAACAAGCCGTGGCAGTGGTGTCTGCAGCTACTCCATACTTCTCCGTTGGTTTTCTATGCACTATAAGTAACACATTCTTTGTTTCACTATGCTAATTGTTGTTTGATTTGCAGATACACCTTCTATGATGGACCACCCTTTGCTACTGGTCTCCCCCATTATGGCCACATCCTGGCTGGCACTATTAAGGACATCGTCACCAGGTTTGCCCATCAGAGTGGCTTCCATGTGGACAGGAGGTTTGGCTGGGATTGTCATGGCTTGCCTGTGGTAAGAATCAAAAATGTCTTTTGCAGAGTGTGTTCTGTAGTGTTTTTTTTCCTTTTCCGTTATTTGAAGCTGCCTTTAATGACCAGGACCAGCAGTTTTTTTCCTTGCCTTTAGCTAAGTTTCCCTTATTACATGATGCTGCCTAGCTGGGAGGGTAAAGGCAAGTATGTTGTCAAACTGCGACTAAGGGTGCCTACACACTAGACAATGCAAGGACGGAGCAGTAGACACATATGCATGCAGATCTTGTCTGCCTTGAAGGCGTGTACAGTTCGAAATCCAGCAGGAAACAGAGCATTTGGACCAGAAACAAAGAAATATGGGCCATCGAAAGAAAGTTTTGCTGATGGCCATGTACAGAGTGAAGCAGACAACAGTCACAGAGGCAAAGTAGTTGCTACTGTCCTCCATCTTGGATTGTCATCCGTTTTCTGCATGCATGTTTCTACTGGTTGATGTGCCCCCATGTCAGAATCTGTTGCAACAAAAATTGAAATGCTTTGACCTTTTTGACGCTTGATGATGCCTCAAAAAGCCATGTCACAAAACGTTATGACAGGTTGTTATGAATGTAGTGAATAAAACGAATAATACATTGTTTTATGATAGCTTTTAGAAGCTTTTGCTCTAGGGTTTGGGTTATCATCATCAGCATGACATATAGAAACTCAGACACGTGTAGGTTCACTAGTGGTTTTGGATAGTAAATAAAATATCTATATTTATGTTGTAGTCATGGTGACCCCTGGTTCCTATCACCACCACTGTAAAGAAATCTGAGTCTCTTTAATAAAACATTTCACACTAAATCACTCTGAACAGCTTAGTTTACATCTCAGTGATTGAATTATGCAGAAATGTTGAGAAATTGGTGGAATTATCCTTTTTAATTAAATGTAATGTTGATTATGGCTATTTGTGTTTTAAATATCTTTTCCTTGTCAGTGCTAGATACGGTCATTGCAGTAAAACAGAACGCAAGTAAGCTGGGTTTTGTGATTGTAATAGAAAGCTGGTCTGGGCAGCGGAGCATGGGACCTATAGAGTATTTAGACTCATGGTTTTTAGACTGGGGGTCACAGTGTGCCTCTAGAGGGGCTTTTGTTTTCTTAGTGTCTTCAAGTGTCATGACATATTTTTATCCCATCGTCCGTTCTGAGTGCTGGCATGCTAAGCTAGCTGATGACACACATCAAGGCACATTGAAATAAGATGTGTAATGTCCAGCTAATAGGAAGGACATGTATTAATATGTTCTTACAGATTAATACATGTTCATAAGCTAAGAGCTGAATGGATTACACAGTTGTTGTCTATATCTTAGTATTTTTTAAATATTTTATTTCACAATCTCATTATGCAGTGCAATACATGTGTTATTCTTTTATTATGTTATGTTATTGCATTTCTTGACTGAAAGAACAATAATAATAAGTAAAGTGAACTGTAATCTTACATATTTAAAGACGTTTTGACAAGTTTGACGTATTTTGTTTTCACTGTATATTATAGTTTACTGATGAATGTGTGAATAGTTTAAGAACTATTTAGTTCAAACATTTTGGTAGCTTCAGATTGGCTACATAAATTAAGGGCTCTATGTGAAATACAGGTAATGTAGCACTCATAGTGGAAAATCTGGCAGACCTGAAGTTCCTTATAAGGAAGATCAAAGAACAGAGCGAAAAGATGGGACTTTCACAATATGAAAAATGTCAGTATGAAGTTGTGGCATCAGGAAAGATGCTAACTCGACCACTGATGCAGAAGATGTGGAGATGGTGGACAGCTCAAAAAAAAAAACACAGATCAGCACTCAGCAAAACAAGAATGAAGGAGATCGAAAAGATATTCAAATGCAGCAGTTTGTCTCTACCAACAAAGATCAGAATTGTCCAGGCTGTGGTCGTCTCTGTGGTTCTTTATGGATGTCAAAGCTGGACAATAAACAAGGCAAGACAGGAAAAATATCAATGCCTCTGAACTTTTGTGTTGTAAAGACTTTTGAGGGAACCTTGGACGACGAAGAAGACAAACGAATTGATCCTCAAATGAATCAAGCCTTATAACAGCGGTGTTAAAAGGTCTTAAAAATGATTAATCATTTATAAACTATGATTTCGCTCAGATTCCCCATCTTAACCCATTTATTTTGGACTCGCTTGAGAGCGCCCTCTAGTGTTTGAGAAACGCAGAAGACATTACAGAGCAGTAATTCTCCTCTCTACAAGTTCTCTGTAGAGAGGAGCACTTAATAATGATAATATTGGTTAGCTCTCTTGTTGTGGTTGCATTTGATGGTTTGTGTGATTCTCTCCATCTCACAACCTTCTCAGATTTGCTACTTTTCATCTTTTCCAGGAATATGAGATTGATAAAACACTTGGCATCAAGGGACCAGAGGACGTTGCCAAGATGGGGATTGCGGAGTACAACAAGCAGTGTAGGAGTATTGTGATGAGGTATTCCAACGAGTGGGAGGTAAGCAAGCGCGCGTGAGCCTTGAGTGTGATTTCTGACTGGGTTATTGAGTTCATCACAGACATGGAATCAAGATTTTCAGTAATATAAAACCAATTTGGATGCAGATATATAAAATGGACTAATACGATGCTAGTAACCTACAATTTCAAGTGTCAACTAATTAGTAGGAAGCAGTACAAAAAATGTTAGATGTGTCCAAAATGATGAACAGAGCTGTAGATAATCCTAAAATGACAGTGAAAGCTGTGCAATATTAAAAAGGTGTTAATAAGCAAGTATGCAGAATGCTTCATATTTCAAACATGGTGATCTCAAGGCAGATACCCTGACAAGAAATGACTAAAAATAGATAATTATAAAATGTGTTTTATCTTTTAATATATACAGTTATTTATATTTTAACCTGTTGATGCTTCCGGTTTGATATATGGAATAAAACATCTAAATATATCTCTAATATTTTATTTAATTGTAAAAGTGACACTGTATTGAAGAATATTATTTGTGCTGTTCCCATGCTCAAAGCTTTTATAATTTAGCAGTATTTAATTCAAAAGTCTGCATATAATGTGATCACCAGCACATTTAAGACTTCAAACCAAACCAAGTAGAGTGTCTAATCCAAGGGCTGTGTTTACATGCAAAGATTTTTGCCAATCTGATTGAATACATTCCGATTATAGATTAAGACTCAGGTGTTTTTATGCTCCATTTCGTGCACGCTGCAAGTAACCCAATCGAAAATTACACGCATGCGTAGTGCACCACTTAGTGTAGTTGTTACTGTGACGACCAGCATCACGTGAGTCCAGTTGGAATGAGATGAGCAGCAGTGAGCAGTGCTTGTGTTTTTAATACTTTAAATTGATGTCAGACTCAGGAAAAACGTGCTTCACATGTACTTGTTAAAGAAGGCCGAGAGGAAGACGTCGTGTTCTGAGACACATAAGCTGGACGTCCGTCCCACCACCGTCTTTTAAAGATCAAAGCATAAACTTCGTCTCCTCTGCAGACCAGTTTCTGCTCCCGCCATTTTTAACATTATAAACTTTCGCTATTACATGAACGCACATGCGCAGAACATACTTAAACTTTCTGATTGCTAATGTAATCAGATACGGTTATTATTCTTCTTTTTAATGGATTATTTACAGGATTACCCACCTCGTTCAATCAGTTAGAAATTGTATTCTAAATGGCCTCAATCAGACTAGTCTATTCTGATTGAGGTGTTTACGTGGGCGTATTCTAATCTGTTTGAGCTATTAGTCGGATTATTAATGGCTGCATGTAAACTTGGCTAGTGTTGTTGATAATGTAAGCAGCTCTTGTGATTTGAAAATTTCTCTCTCTTAAATTGTGATTTTTATGAAAAAACAATTCATCATTTAGCCCTTGGTCATGCATTTTCTTGGGGGAAAAGATGAATGGCAGTAGTGGTTGTGGAATCAACGCTCACCTTTAAGGGAGAGTTAGGGCTGAATGATTGTTTTTTATATTTAAAGCGCAATTCAAAAGAGAGCAAATTTCTAATTGCAGGAGCTACAATCTGAAAATCCTTCATTCTTCAGTGTTGTAAATTTTAAGTGAGCATACCTGCACTGACTACACTAACTTTAATTTAGTTTTGAACACTTACGATAACATTTTAACATTTTACATTTGTGTGTTTCTGTGCACCAGACTTCAGTAACGAGAATGGGTCGCTGGATCGATTTTAAGAACGATTACAAGACCCTGTACCCCTGGTTCATGGAGACGGTCTGGTAAGCCTTCCTGCTGTAGTCAGTTTAACCTGGTCATAGTTTTAAGTTGGCCCTTTTTTTAGTTTAAACATTTATAACTGGAGTCTAAGAGTCTCTATTTAAGTGTGTTTACTTGGATTGGAGAATAAATAACCTGTTGCATCTCCAAGAACAGTATTTGTTAATTCAGTTTGAAAATACTGTCAGAAGAGTTTTCCAGTGCAATATCACAGACAAATTAAATGGCTCGTGCCAATCTGAGTGAATGAATTGTTTTGTCACAAGTGGACCTCAACCATGTCCTTATCTGGTGGGCAAAGGCTATAGACTATTAGTTTCATCCCATTTTGAATGTGTGTAGTGGTCCGCTTGGTCTGTTTGAGTTTAATGAGCTACTTCTCTATTGTAGCTGGCCTAATGGCCTACTGCTTTTACTCAGCACTTGATGTAAAGGACCAGTATTTGATGTAAAGTGTTTCATAGTAGAGATACTTACTGACTTACTGATTTCTTTACAGTGGTGGTGATGGGAACCAGGGGTCATCATGTCTACAACACAAATATAGCCACTGTATTTACTATCCAAAACTACCAGTGAACCTACGTGTGTCTTTTGAGTAATTGTATGTAATATTGATGATTGTAAAGTAGCAGTAAATCTGAAAAAATACATTTACCTCACATCCAGCATGTACTTCTCCACCATGATTAGATTTTGAAAAACGTATTTTAGGCCAGAACTTTCTCAAAAGTATCTTAAAGCAGTGTATCAGACATCAGGCAGCTCTTTTGTAACTACAACGTTCTGTGAAGGAGCTTTTAGAGGTGTTAAACTCTTTCAGACATCTGGTTCCTGTCACCACCACTGGGAACAATCCTGACTCTGTAAGTTTCTCTACAATTAACCATTTCATATCAAACCACTCTGTATGACTTTGTTTATATCTCAACCGTTTGATTGTTCAGAAAGTTTGAAAAATCAATTAAATTCTCCTGTAAGGCTGCTGTAATAACTAACTAGACTAATGTAACACTGTATATAAAGAGGCATGTTACCCTGTCATGGCAAAACCAGTCTTCCATAATTCTTGTTAAGTATGTTACATATTAACTGAAAATGTGTTCATATTATAAAATTGTAATTTTATTTAAAAAAAAGAAACATTCCCTTTTGACCAGATTACGCAGGCGAGCATGTGTTGCAGGCACTCTGATGCCCACAAGCACAGACTGGGCTGTGGTTCACAGAAACAGTGGGCAAGCTAGCAATATGCAAAATGAGGAAAAAGCTGCTGATTGTACTTTCAAATCACAAAAGACTGAATTCTTCCCTTAAAAATGATCTCCAATCAAAAGAGCAGAAACTTAAGCTTTCTGTCGTCAGGGAGACATTAATTTTCTATCACTTATAGTACTGAGCGACTGTCCTTTTCAAACTCACAGAAACAAGTGGCATGAAATATCACAAATAATGCATGTTGAAGGGCGAATATGATCGAAAACTTTTCTCACTTATTTTAAAATAGGAGTTTGATATGATATGTAAACATTGTTAAAATGTAAAATTATACTATTTACACCTAGTCTATATATGGAAAATACAGGATAGACAAGTTTAAAGTCAAAGTAGGTGTTGTTGATTTAATGAGTGGAAATACGTGTCCAATATGTTAACCTCATAAATAGAAATTGCTCATAATTCTTGCAGAAAAATGTCATATTTAATTGTGTTTGACCAAGGGCGCTTATACTTATGCTGCTTATGACTGAACTGTTTGGCCCAATCCCATTTTTTATTTGTACCCCTATCTCTTGTTTTCGAGTGTCACTTTGCCCCTTGGAACTGAGTTACAAGTGGTAGTGTTTGGATAATGTGGTGTTTGGAGAATGTAGTGTTTGGAGAATCATGTAGCCCTAACGCTTCACCCTACCCCCCCTATCTCAACAAAAATCTGGACACCTTACCCCTAGGCCTGAACACGCAAAATGGAGGGCTAAGGGCTAAGTGGTAGGGGTGAGGGTGAAATGGAATTAGACCTTTTGTCTACCTGTTCAGCCTACAGCAGTTTAGCTCCTCCCATTAATGCTGAAGTAAGGGGTGTTTCAGCCTGGACTGCTTTTTGAATGAGGCATGATACCGTGCAGCCAGTTAGAACAGCTCATTTACATATATCAGTCTTAAAGGCTAATTTTAAGGGATAAAGAGAGAGGTTGGAAATGGCTGTGTTATACAAATGTTATAAGTGGCCCATGTTATATCTGCGCCTCGAGGAAAACAAGTAGATTAAATTGCGTTATATCTGACGTAATACTGTAAAACTAAAGCATGCTTTTCTAATACTGTGACATCACTGAAACAGCCTGTCATTTGCTGTTGTATGTCTTGTGGCAGGTGGGTGTTCAAGCAGCTGTATGATAAAGGCCTGGTGTACAGAGGAGTGAAGGTCATGCCATTCTCAACTGCCTGCAACACGCCTCTCTCTAACTTCGAATCTCATCAGAACTACAAGGTATGAGCAAACCAGAACTTTAGCACCTTTTCATTGCCACAGTCTCACTATGTTAGTTAGAAAGATAGTTATATCACAGTATAATTAAAATTTCTGACAGCTCCAGTATATGTCAGGGTGTAGGTACATATTCAGATGAACTGGATGCTTATGTAAACCTGTTTTTGTAGGTTAACAATGGCTCATTATTCTGGAAGGTCCCTTTACTTTTTATTAAGAACCATTTATATTTAAAGTTGTTAAATAACAAGTTGTCACATAAGTAAATCTGAAATATTTGTATTCTGCAAAATAAGAAAAGCAAATCTGAACAATATACGGACAAACCTACATCAATATTAGCTTCTTATTCTCCAGCTTTTGGTTTGAATTTTCCATTCCACCTTAAATGGTGCAGCGGTTACATTCTGGTGCCTGTACAGGTGCTGGAAACTGCTGCATCATTTAAGGTGAAATGGAAAATTCCAAAAGCAAACTTCAGCTTTGCTGAATGTCTCAAGCCGTGCGTCGCACATACTGGTCAAACAGTGAGTGCGTTTACATGCGCTTAAAAATCCGATAACTGCAGAAAATCAGATTTTGTCAGTAATCTGATCAATGTGTTTGTATGCTCTTGGGTAATCAGATGAAGGAGAAACTCAGAGTCTACATGAGTCAGACAGTAATCAGATTTCTGCTTTGCAACCAGCCAATAAACTCAAAGAAGAGGACGTGACGTAAATGTAATGTAAAGTTCTGAAAATATGAACATACATCATCTAGAAGATGAAGAATGATTAAATCTTTCATTTCCTCGAGAATGTAATTGGTTTCAGCGTCTCTCCAAAAGTGTTTTGCTGTGTCTCGCGGCAACGATGGTCGCTTGTTTCTGGTTTTGCACATGCGCAGACTGAGAAATCCAAAAGAAATCAGAGTAAGAGTTTACATGCACTATGAAATCTGATTACTGTGCTAAAATCCAGCTCTCTTTGTTGGATTTCTTAATTTCTTACTTTCTTCTTTCCAGACCTTTCCAGACATTGTTCTAAGAAATCAGACTATGCTGTTTACATGACCATTTAAATAATCAGATAACCGCAGAAATTAATCCATTATGATTGGATTATTGAGTGCATGAAAAAAACACACACTCATGGAATTTCAGTCATTCAGGATTCAATACCAGTTCGTCCACGGCTTGTTTTGCGCACAAGACCCCTGACGTCGTCTAGTGCAGCTGGTTGAGTTAATCGACTCCTCTGGCAGTACAAGAGGAAACAGCATCACTCTGGTGTCCATGTTAGACTAAGGCCAACTCTAAAAAATTACCATTCATTTATATCTGCTGCCTTGAAAACAAAGTGGGCTGTTTCAGATGAAGTGGACTCGACAGCAGGATGTGATCAAGGGTCAGCTGTGTTTTTGACAATGTTAGCATGGTTGCACTGTTTGTATGTTGTGTTATCTGAACTTATACCATACCGGTATAACAGGTATGACAAATTTCATACCTGAGGAAGACTTTTTACTGCTAATCACCCACTGCTGCTCAGCAGCACACCTGATTTAATTTAATGTAGGACTGTTTAGGTGGTAACTGTAAATACAGGACAGCTTTGCAGCCAGTTAAACAAACACCTTTACACACAAAGCAGTCACACCTTTACATAGCATTTTCTCAGATGACTGGCGGTCTAAGAAACAACGCCTTGTATCAAACAGTACAAGCTGCTAATTTGCTAATCGAATGTTCCAGCCTAACACTAACCCTGGTCCTAATCCTTAACCCTGACGCTGTTGAGAATCAGTTTTACCAGATAGTTTAACTATTTGAGCACTTTCAGATAAGCTACAGGGGACCATCAAAATAAAGTCTGACCATTAACCAAAATGTGAAACGTGGAAAATATCTCATAATTGACCTGATAAACTCCAGATATGAGGCATTTTTGCATCCCAAACTTGAAAAACCTGGTTTTCCAAGTAACCATTGTTTTGTCTTGATAACAGGATGTTCAGGATCCATCTGTCATCGTGAACTTCCCTTTGCTGGACGACGAGAGCGTGTGTCTGATCGCCTGGACGACCACCCCCTGGACCTTACCCAGCAACCTGGCTCTGTGCGTGAACGCAGAGTTCACGTATGTCAAGGTCAAAGGTCAGCATCCGTCCCTAGATATCAGTAATGCTGCCAGCGCTGAGTTCTTACAGACTTGTCTGTGATATTTAATAGAAATGAAAATGAAGGGAAAATCTGATCTCTCAACTTCTCTTTCTCTTGCATTGGAGCTATGAGGCTATAAAAAGGACTTTAAAGAATCTATAAAGAAGAATATGGAGAATATTCAGGCTTCAGTGCTGCTGCCTCACCGTTTAAGGGAAATATGTGATTATTTAGGTTTGCAGATTAATTGTTCCATTACTTGTTAGCTACATTAATAGCCAGTGCAAAACTAAAGAAACAACAAGCTTTGGCTGAACATTTGGCTGAGGGGGAATAATAATTTTTTGTCAAATTATTTCAGTCTGTTCTGCTATTCTGCTCTGTTCTGTGTGTTAAAATGATTATATGCAACATGTGGATAACAGATGATTACTGCTGTTAGCTGCTCTGTTGGACTTGTTTAACTTTATAAATCTGTTAACTTCATAAATCAGTTATCAGTGATGATTATGGATGTGCTGAAATTTGGCCACTGAAAAAAGCCCATAGTGGCATTTCCAGCTTTTGGCCGAATGAGAAAAAAGGCAGAAAATTTCAACAGTCAAAATCCCTTAAGAAGCCATTTGAATGGTAATGGAAAAAAAAGAGAAATCATTATTAAAGACTAGTTTTTCTTCACACTTCTGTGCTGATCAGACACATTCAAGCAGTTTGAGCAGCAGCAGATCAGCAGTGAAACACAGTTTGCTGCAGCTGCGTTCTGTATGATCTGTAGCCTACATGCTTTTCACTATTAACTGATTTAATGAAAAGCTTTAATATAGATAACATAAGTAACACTGAGTAAGTCTAATATACTTTTGTGATGAACTTTTTCACCACTGCTTTTGAAAGTTGTTGGAAATGTGTGCTTTTTTAGATCTTCTGATGTGGGCAGAGAAATTGTAGAGAGGAGAATTACCACTCTGTAATGTCTGTCAGGGTTTCTCAAACACTAGAGGGCGCTCCGGAGCAAGTCCAAAATGAATGGGTTATAATGGAGCACATGAGCAAAATCATAGTTTACAAATGCTTAAACATTTTTAATGTAAAAGGACACAATCATTTCCTTAACACAGAACAGCATAAAACATTTTAACACTGCTGTTATACAAAAGCATTAAATGCTTTTGAACTCTAGTTATAGGAGTTTAAAACGACAAGAGAGCATGAACAGCCAATGAGCTGCTCCGCTTGCCAACCAATCAGCACTCAGTAGCGGTAATGTTAGCATCCTGCTGCCCAAAGCTCGTTTGCTGTAAAACGGACAGGTTAGTTTTCATTGCATTTTTAGGGAAATACATCCTTCTGCTTTTGGGAAAGTTCTGGGTTAGTGATTAAAAACTGTTCTAACTTTTCATTTTTAGCTTCATTCACCCCCATTCCTTGAGGACTCGCTTGCAGTCCTGTGTTTAATATAACGAGGGAAATAGGAAGTGGCTCTGATGTAGGTTCATGGCTGTTTCTTCGCTAACTGATGAATTCTTGAAGTGACTTGTGTCCTAGTAGCTCCCCCTGCTGGAGATGACTAGAGTAAAATTTTATTTAAGAATTTTCATTTTGGCGCATCCCTAATGATGAAGAGGCATCAGCACATGATGCAGCAATACATATGAATACAGTAGTCTTACAGCCAAGACTCTGCAGTCCATATTTGGAAACTAAGCTGCAAAAAATCCAATTCACTCACATAAAAACACCTATTCAGCCTTCAGCAGTTTAGCCAGGCCCACTCACGGTGAAGTTAGAACGAGCATTTCAGCTTGGACAGCAGCCAATCAGAACAGAGGTCATTTACATATCGGTCTTAAAGGGACAGTAACAAGAGCCTGTTTAATTCTAAGGTACAAAGAGAGATTGAAAATGGTCATGCAAAGATTAATTATGACTTTTTTGGTGCATAAAACAACAGAAATGTCATAAATTGAAAATGAAATAGAAAAATATGTAGGATATGGGTCCTTAAGTGAAGTGCTTCATTTTAAAATTAGGTCATTTTAAAGCTTAGACGTTTTCAAAGAAAAAATATCTGTATCAGCCCTGCAGAAAAGGCCACTGCTAGCCTGCGTTTAGCTTGATGAACAAGTCCACAAATGGACATGCTGACATCCAATCAGAGTGCATCTGATAAAATCCCGATAGTTGTGGCAGGCTTAGCGTCAGACGGCCCATGTATGTGTGGGCGGAGCGTCTGGGAATACAAAAACTCACGCCAGTGTCCTCAGCGCCCTCCCCACAATGCCTTTCTGCGTTCCCCTGCGAAGTGAACAACGTGTGGAGATGTGGGTTGAAACAACTCTCGAATCAGGTCACTTTAAAAAAGCCTAGTCCTTGTTCATGTACAAAAATAGTCCCTCTTCCTCTTCTTCGTTTTTTTAAGCATCACCCTGGATCCCATATGAAAGCTGCCATAGTAAATGGTTGACCTACTTTGGCAGGCGGGGTGCTGTGGCTGCTGGCTGGCAGCAGGGGGCACTGTTAGCTCACTGTCAGCTCAGCGGCGGCAGCGTCAGGTCGTGCTGCATGGGAGAGATGTGTGGAATACTAATGGAGAGAGAGGAAGCTGTTCTGATGCTATCAGCCATCCAGCCCTGCCTGCTCTCTCTCTCTGTCTCTCTCTCTCTCTCCTTCTTTCTCTCTCTCCTTCTCCTCCTCCTCTTCCTCTCCGCAATCATTCCTCACCCTGCCGCGGGGAGTGCCATCTTTTATTGATGTTCTCTCTCTCTCTCTCTCTCTCTCTCTCTCTCTCTCTCTCTCTCTCCCTCCCTCTCTCTCTCTCTCCCCCCTTCTGTTTTGCTCTTTTACATGCTCTCTCTTTCCTTCTGTCTCTCTCTCCCCTTTCATTCCATCCATCTCTTCCTCTTTTTCCACTTGCGTCTCTCTCTTTCCCTCTCTCTGCTATCTCGCTCGCGCACATGCTCTCTCCTTCCTTCTCTCTCACTGCTCTTTATCCTTCTTTCTTCTTCTTTTTTCTGTTTCTCTCTCCTCTTTTCTCTCTCTCCCCTCTCTTGCATTCTGTCTGTCTTCTTCCATCTCTCTCTCCCTCTGTCTCTCACTTGCACTCTCTCTTTCTCCATCCTTTTGTCTCTCTTACTGTCTTTCATTTCCTCTCTCACACTCTTTCTCTATCTCTCTTTCTATCTTGGTGTCTTGGTCTCTCTCTTTCTCCTTTCTTCTTTCTATTTCTATCTCTCTCTTTCTCCCATCCTCTATCTATCCATCTTTCTGTCTGTGTATCTGTTTGTCTGTCTATGTATCTATTTGTTTGTCTGTCTATCTGTCTGTCTATGTATCTATTTGTCTGTTTATGTTTCTATTTGTCTATCTGTCAATCTATCTATCAATCTATCTATCTATGTATCTCTCTGCCTCTCTCTGCTCTGTTCAGAGCTTGTCGTGTTCTGCTGTATTACAGATTCATTATGGAGGCAATAACTAAACACAGCGATTTCAGCAGCTGTTGGAATGAAATTCGGGATGTAAAGCGGAGATTAAGCTCTGCTCTTGTCAGCTGATTTGTGTATTATAGGCAATTTTAGAATCAAATCGATACTAAAACTAATTTACAGTTTTCCCCTTATCCCAAATGTTTGGTGTCTGAAGTTTGCTTCTTTAGTTTTACACTGGAGCTACGAGGCTAATGTAGCTAACAGGTAATGGGAAGTTATACCCCATCAGTTAGCACTACACTTACTTCAAGCCTGAATCAGACTTGCTTTAAACTGTGCTGTTCCGGATCTCTAAAAGAAATGATTGTGATGGTTGACACTGTAAGATACACTGTTATCTGTAAACATGGACTAAAGTACAGACAAAAATCAGGTACAGATACAGCACCTAACACCGTATTTGTGCTTTGTTGCAGTGTATTAACGTTGTTCTGTATTTGAGCTGATTTGTTAGCTCCACGTTGTTGCGTGTTTCTTTTTTCCTTAGATGTTGTATATTGTTGTATTGAAGTTTTGAGCCTTATTTCAGTTGCTACTCTGTGCAAATACAATCTATAACCCATGTGTCAAACACAAAGCCCATGGGCCAGATCAGGCTTGTAGCATGATTCTGTCCAGCCAAGCAAAATTATTTTCATTTTCTTTTAATATTAGCCCATTTCACAGTGTGCTGCACTACAATCCCCAGCATGCACTGCAGTGTGAAGTGCACTTCGCCCCCACTAACCCCCAGCAGCAATCGATGGGACAGTGGTTACACCTCAATCCTACCACACCAATCACATTACCAGACACACTAGCTGTGTTTCAGCAGCAGTCCAACCACTATAAACACTTATCTAGCAAAAAAAAACCCACATAGTTCGTTGGACAATGAATGCTGGGGATCTTAAGATGGTTGGGAGTTCAAATACCTTTTTACTTCCAATATCTGTCTCGTTTGCAGAGACGGTGTGGCCGTAATGAAAGAATACCACATTATGTACGAAACACTGGAGAGTTGGATAGACAGCAGCGCCAACGGAAAAGTGGCAGAGATGAAGAGGGGCGTTCTCTGGCTCACAGATTTGTTGAGACTTTTTAATATGGTCCCTTTTAACGGTTAAGTTTGACATCCCGATCTGTAAGATTCAATTGTTCGGCTGCCTCTCAGAGAAAGCAAGCTCATTTTGGGATGTCTTCTTTATCTCTTTAGGGCGTGTTCTAGATTGTCTTCCTGCACTGAATCATTTATTTCCTTTATTCACTGCTCCTCCTTTGCTCTTAGCTGTAGCTCTTTGCTTGGTTGCTGATCTCTGCTGCAATCCAGATCTAACGATTAGAGCTGGGTGATTGTATCACTCATTCCAAATTAACTGTTTTTAAAGCAGTGTGCAAAATGTCAGGATTGAGGGTTTGATGTAATTAATAATAATGATTTTTAGCAAGAAAATATGGTGCTGATTATATTAAGATGCTGGCGATGCCGTGTTTGTAGAAAAGCCAACTGCAGCTAAAATTAACTGCACTACAAGTTTATTCCAGCACTTGCAGCTATTTTGACAGCCTTGAAACTGCGGCTGTTTGTTGTTCTTGCAGTATTTGCTCAAATTTTTAATAGAGTTGAATAAATATTCAGATGCTCCCCATTCTAATAAAGAAAAACCTAGAAAAATCATGTGTAGTTTTTTATTTGTCTTTAGTTGTATGTTTATGTTTTATAATATTTCACCCACACTGGCTTCTCATAATGATTATTTAGCTTATTTTTCCTCTTCGCTCACTAACTTGTATGCAATTGTTCCTCTGTTCTTCTCGTTTATAGATAATGCTACTGATAAAGTGTACATCATGATGGAGGCCAGGCTTGGAGCGCTGTTCAAATCTGAGAGTGAATATACCATCCTCGACAAGTGAGTGTTAAAGACCTGTGGGTGTTTTAGGAATCAAGTGTTTATGTAATTCAACAAAGCTAAAAAATAGTGGTGAGAAGCTGCTACAAGGCTGCTATTTTCAGGTTCAGGGCCAGGTTTTTGTCAGAATCTTCCTCTTCAGGTTCAAGGCCGCGGTGATGTGATCTGATTTTCAGCCTGCGCATACTGAGGTGCCCACACCTTAGATTTCCCTTTGTTAGCCAGCTAATCAAAGGTTCTGCATTTCAGTTGTATTGTTAACAGAAAGCTAAAGTCAACTTCTAATTCGCCAGCTTCTTATTCGATTTTTGTTGCACCTTAAATGGTGCAGCAGGTGTTATAATAACACTAAATTATTGAATATACTGTCAAATGAAAACAATAATTGTTATTTAAAAATAAAGATTTACCGTCTTATCATTGGCATTGCCTCCTGTAAGTGTCAAGAAAACTGTTCCTTTCAGTTTGAGTCGGCTAGCAAATCCGGAGCTGAATTCAGCTCTATTTCAAATGAGTCAGCAATAAATGTTTACTGTGTGTCACTGTAACCTCAGAAAGAAGTTTGAGCCGATTTGATTTGGTCTGGTTATTTGAAATAGAATGTAGAGAGTGACCATTCTTCCTCTTGCGTCCAAAAACTGAGCATTGGTAAATGAGTTCCAACCATGTTTCATGCCGTTAACAGTTTGTCTTAATTTTCAGAAGGAATGGACATGAATAATTGTGTCTCATCACATAGCTATGAGAATTTAGATCATGTTTTTTAATGACATTACCTAGGGGCAACAGGCATAAAGAGAAAAGCAAAGACCCTAAAATAGAACCATGTAGAACTCCACAAGAAATGCTACACATTTTTGAAAAAGGAAAATCCAAAATTATGTTTTAAAAGAATTTGCCAAAATTTGCATTCTTATATATTTTTTTAAAGAGAATTTGCTTTAATTTATTGTAAGACATACTGCATTCAAAATATGTAGCAAAATAAAATCTCGTTGGCCCTTGCTTTTCAAAGCTGCGTATGTTCAAATCTGATCATTAAATGAGTGCTTGTTTTGTTATTCATCTATTTTATCTTTGGTGTGTCTGTGCTGTGAAACTCATCTGGTAGGAGTGTGAGTAAATTTAAACGTGAAAGTTCAACAACCAGAAAAAATGCTTGATTTGCAGTTGATTAACTAAAATGATAAATATTATCTATAACTCAAGAATGAAAAAAGAAAAATAACAATAATACTAATCATTTGTGCACATGGCAATGCAGTACAAAGGTAGATATACTTATTTTACGAACACATTGGTATAAACAAATGCTGAATCTACTTCATATTCCGTTTAAAGACATATTACACTGTGCTTCGACTACTGACTCCGCCCACAGAATAAACAATACAAAACACAGATAGCGCAGAGGCATCTCATAAGCTGCGATAATACAGCAATTAAACGTGTTATTTTTGGAAAATAATCACACTGCATAATCATATCAAGAGGACGTTTTGTTTTTCATGTTTTATTCTTTCCGGTCGCTGTCATTTTAACAATATAAAGTCTGGACAGTAGAGGGAGCAGTGCGCTCACTACTCGACCTCAAACTCCGCCTACGAGCACAACCACTGGCTCACGAGGCGCTGAAGGTTGTCATTTTATTGGCTTCTTAAAAATAACATCTGCATGTGTTAGGGTGTTCTTCATGTAAATGATATGTAAATGAGGTGCTGGTGGGCTGGCGCTTGATTTCACGCACTGCAATTGATTCGTCGTTTGTGCTGAACTCTCCACTTGACTTTCCACGTTGTATGAAAGTGTAATTAATTAGATGCAAAGCAGTTTGCACGTTATTAAAGCCGATCAGCTCTGTGCTCATCTTTTGAGCATTTTTGATGAATAAGGACCACTATCAGTGTTGGTCTATATTGTGCAGTCCTAACCAGGATCTCTGCAGTATCATATAACATGTGTTTATGACTTTAGTGGTCAGGCCTACCATTTCAAAAGAATCACCACTAAATGACTGTGACACGTAACTTGAAAATTAGGTTTCTGAGTTCCACCCAAACCTTTTAAAAGAGAATTAGCTACTTTCACAGTGCATTCTCTCTATCCTGTATCGTTTTCAGTCTCAGAAGGACTGGCTTTCTGACCAACAGATATGAAGCGAGGAATTCAATTGAGTCTGGCAGCATTCCAGGAGCCAGCAACAAATCAAAGCACTTTCTGATATCGCATTGACTCTTTTGAGAAACTTCTGATAAAACAACTTTGCTTTCACCACACATACTTTGAGATCAGGTCTGCGGTTTTTCTCCACGCCAGATTGCTTTGCTCTAATGAAACCATGGCTGTAATTTAAAGGTAAAGAAGTTGCAGGGCTCGTTTGAACTGCATTTGTTGTCAGTGAAGTGTTTAATCATTATTGGTTGCTTGAGACCAGCAATTTCTTGAGCGAATCCGTATGAAAATCAGCGATCAGTGGTAGTTTCCTACCAGGGAGCCTGTTTTACAGCTGTATAAACACATTGGTGGCTACTGTGAAAATGTAGTCAGTTAGTTTACTTTGGCAAAAGAGGAAATGGAGTGGGCAGTAGAAGGTCACAGACTCAGGGGCTTGAATGTTCAAGTGAACTTTATCTTATAAGTGCCATTGTGATGGGGCTTCGTGATAGGGCTTCAACATTGGTCCACAAAGGTCATTAGCATGTTCATTTGAAAAATTGTTGGCATGGTTTGTTGTTGAGGCATTGTTTACTTCAAAATAATGGTCAAAATATATGACATTTTAGAGAGCTCCATAAAGGCATGGTTTGACAGGTTTGTTATGGAGGAACTCTAGTGGCCTGCACAGAGCCCTGAACTCAACCCCACTGAACACCTTTGGGATGAACTGGAACGTCAGCTATGAGCCTGACCTTTTTGTCTAACATCAGTGAATGACCTTACAAATGTTCTATTGACTGAATGGTCACAAATTCCTGACACACTCCATAATCTTGAGGAAAGAGATCCTAGAAGAGTGAAACTCCATGTGATGGGATGTGACCTGTGCAAAAGTTGCAATTTAGTTCAGTTCTTATTTTACTAAGAACATCAACATGTTTGGTGCCCAGTGTCTGTTTATTTGCCACATTTAATGAATTTGTGAGAAAAAAAACAGAAAATATAAATTGTAACTTTTGCACAGGTCACATCCCATCTCATGGAGTTTCACTCTTACCATACCAAACCCGTCAAACCATGCCTTTATGGAGCTCTCTAAAATGTCTTTGTGTGCTGTATAATTAACATCACCCTTCACTGGAACTAAGAGGCCCAAACCCTGAAAAACAGCCCCAGCCCATTATCCCCCCTCCACCAAACTTTACTGTTGGCATTGTGCATTCTGGTGGGTTCTCCTGGCATCCACCAAACCCACATTTGTCTATCAGACTGCCAGATCGTAAAGCTTGTTTCATCACTTCAGAGAACACATTTCCACTGCTCCAGAGTGTGCTTTACACCACTCCAGCCGACAGTTGGCATTGCACATAGTGATCTTAGGCTTGTGTGCAGCTGCTCAGCCATGGAAACCCATTTCATGAAGCTCCTGTTGCACATTTTTTGTGTTGTTGCTTCCAGGGACAGTTTGAAACTCCGTAGCTAGTGATGCAACAGAGGACAGATGATTTTTTTGCTCTGTGCTTCAATGCTCAGACGGCCCTGCTCTGAGTTTGCGTGGTCTGTTGCTTCATGGTTAAGCTGTTGTTGCTCCTAGACACTTCCTAGACCAGGGCAGATCTAGCAGGGCAGAAATTTCATGAACTGACTTCAGAGATGGCATCCTATGACAATGCCACATTTGAGGTCAGTGGGCTCTTCAATATGATCTCTTCTACTGTCAGTGTGTCTATGGAGATTACATGGCTATGTGCTTGATTTTGTGCACCTGTTAGTGAAGAGTGTGATTGAAACACCTGAACTCAATCATTAAGAGGTGTGTCCAAATACTTTTGGCCATATAATATATATTAACAGTGCTGTGATAGGTTAATCAATTATAGAAATGATCATTACTTGTGTCCCTGCTTCGTAAGGAATGGCAGCACCTTTTTTGTGTGGGGATCAAGTGAGGTTCACGCAGTCACGATGAGTTCAGCTTGCTGGTTTCCTGTCTGTATGCGTGAACAGTGAGAAGAGCATGTGCACAGCTTGCGTAATGAGTCAACTGATCTCACTCCTTCCCCACGTGAGCTGCCTTTCGAGGCCACACTGATGACTCCGGAGAGTCTGCAGGTGTTGGAGTTGATTAATCTGCGACTGCTTCCGTTCCTCCGCACCTTTGGCGCCAGCTCCGCCGCTGTCCACCGTAGGTGTGCTGAAACGTGAGTTCGCAGTACTGAGGCATCGTCCCAGCTGTCGGCTGTCGTGCTGGTGGAAGGACGCGACGTTAAAGATGAGAGCGTTTTTGTGATGGTTTCAGTTTTTTTTCCCCAAATCCCATTTCAGAAGTTTGCGTTTTGCAGTGCGCAGAGTAGCCTAGTCTGTTTTGACACCCATGATAACGCAAGGGCAGATTAATTTTACGCTGCTGTTGCATCCCTTAAGCTGATTTGAATTCCCCGGTTGAGTTTCAGCCAGTGGTTCTGCTACGTGTGACAGGACAAATAGCCGTCAGCAATGGAAGAGCTAAGTTGGGCAGATGGGCAGAGAGGACAGTGAGAGTGACAGAAGTCATTACACAGATCAGTGGCTCGCTTGAGCAAGTGGAGGAACAGAGGAATGAAAGGTAGACCACAGCTCTTCACATGAAAGGCCAAGCTGCTGGTAAACCTGAGGGGGCAGTAGAAGTCAACAGTAAACATTTGAATTGGATCAGGGTGGACGATACGTAAAAAAAATTGCTGTACTTGATGTTATTTTCACGATACAAATCACTGTTTTTTTGTTTTTTTGTTTTTTTGGACTGATAAGATATTTAAAGAATAATGTCACAAACTTTGAATACAATTTTAATTCAGCGTGACACAAACTGCAGTAAATTACGGAATTATTTCACATACAGAGCCAGTTACGCTGTCTTTGTAGTGAAACGTGCAGTTGATCAGAGATCTTTAAGTACAGATGATCCACAATATGGCGATACTGATAAATACCCTCATATTACCCACTTCTGTCTTGTATTCCTTTGTACACTATATTGTGTTAGTTTATTCACTGCCCTTCATTTCTCTTCATTTGTTATTTGCTCTCACTACAGGCATGTGTTAAGTAAATCACCTCTGTTCTTACTGGCATTGAAGTGCAATGAGGCACACCACACTCAGAAAGCAGTCAAAGCAAAGTCAAAAAAATGTTAAATATAAACTGGTAAAGTAAGGCTAGTCTCTTGTTTAGGATGATGTGGATCCTTTGGAAGGTTGCAAGATCCATTTGCTTCCCTACAGCCAAGAACACGACAACATTTAATCATTCCACACTTCCACACTGCTATAGACAGTCTTCAGAAACTGAAAATAAAGAAACATTTCTTATTTTTACCCCTACCCCTTGTTTTCGAGTGTCACCTTGCCCCTCGGAACTGAGTTACTTCCCCTACAAAGTGGGACAACCCTCAAATTAAAAAGAACATTCTTCATTAACAGGCTATTAGCAGAGGAGGGTAAAGTTCAGCAACCTTGCTGCTGGGCTTTAGTTACGTTTAGGGAAGCATATGCCTTCAAAGAGGGGGATGAGAGAATTATTTATCGCCCACCCCTAATTCTTCAGTGATATGAAGCTGAAGTCAGCTATTCACCAGCTTCTTGTTTGAATTTTACCGTTCCACCTTAAATGCTGCAGCAGTTGTGACACCTGAGGCGCCAGAAGGTAACTGCTGCACTATTTAAGGTGGAATGGGAAAATTAGCTGGCTACCGAGACATCAGGATACTAGCGATTTTTGTGCTTATTATAAATAAAAGAACCATAATCCATTAAAACGACTTTAAACTAAGATTATACAATAGTTGTTGCAATTCTTTAACTTTAAGAAAATATTCAAATTTGTGGGTTTCTTTGGTCACTTGTGCACCAAAGAAACCCACTCGCCGTTTTTTCTTTTTTTTTTCTCATAACGCTCAGCCTCAGTTTGACGGCCCATGTAGCCCTTACTCTTCGCCCTACCTCTCTTTCTCAACAAAAATTGTGACACCCTACCCCGGGACACCCTACCCCGGGACACCCTACCCCTAGACGTGAACACGCAAAACAGAGGGGTGAGGCTAAGTGGTAGGGGAGAGGGGTGAAATGGGATTGGGCCATTACATCACTTCATTGTGAATGGATAAGGCTCACCTACTGTGGGCTGAGTGACTGGGGCTAAATGGATGTAGGTTAAATAGGTGGGGCTAACTTGATTTAGGCTTAATGCACAGGTCTAAACTGCTGTAGGCTGAATGAGCGGGGCTAAACTGCTGTAGGCTAAAGGGGTAAAATGTGTTCATGGGCTGTTTTTGCTGCTTATTTTCCATAAATAGCTTGTAGAGTGAGCTAAAAGCAATGTAGTTTGTTAACAGTAGACTCCAGTGGCCAAAGAGAAAAGATTATTCCATGAACAACACAATGATTTTTAGTAATTTGGCACATTAATACAGAATGCAGGTGATGCATGTGGTCATATGCATGTATGTTCAGTAAGTTTTTGAAATCAGATTTTCTAATGAAACTATTGGATATTGCATATTTTCAAACCCTGCTGTTCGTAAGTGTATAAGAAGCTGTAAAATGACTACTCTAGTGGTTTTAAAACTTACTTCATGTAACAGCAAAAGTTATAGGTTTAAAATTCCAGTGTTCGTTCGTATTTTGCACACACAAAAGTTTGTTTTAGTAGTTTTAAAGCCACTGGTGAACAAGACTGTTTGGGATATTTAGATTAATGCTTAGCGTCAGCCAATTTAAGGATTCTCATTTGTCTTTTAGGTTCCCTGGCAAGACTCTGAAAGGGAAGCGTTACAAGCCTCTTTTTGAGTACTTCATCAAGGTAAGTGTTGATTAAACTGTCACAGCAGCTCTGATGGTTAGGAAGGCCTGCTGTCTGCTTCACCACCACCATGTTAACAGTTCAGTAACAGTGCAGAAGGTTAGAGTTAAGGGGTTGTCTGATCAAACAGAATGGAGTACAGTAGGGCTGCAAATGACAGGATATATTACAATCAGGCAGCTCATTGTCATGTTGTAGCTTTCCTCTCAGTTGTCACACACACACACACACACACACACATATAAATATATATATGTGTGTGTGTGTGTGTGTATATATATATATGTACGTATGTGTAGATTAATGTATTAATCTAATTGTTGTTAAATTATATATATATATATATATATTAAATTATATATATATATTTTTAAATTATGTAACCAGTTTTATTAATATTTGTAATGACGTAACAAACAGTGTAGTTTTAATTAAACAACTGTAACCTTTTCAGTAAACTCTCAACAGTCAAGAACCACACAAATATCTGCAAGACCAGATACATTTGTTTATAATAATAATAATAATAATCTTTATTTATATACCACTTTTCATGCTGGTGGCAGCTCAGAGTGCTTTACAGACAGTTGATAAAGCTTAACAGTAAAACAGTAATTTAAAATCATTTAAAAAATGACACATGTTAGATGGCAGCTTTTCAGACATACTGTAAGTCATAGGTACACTCATAGGTCTAATATGTAATAGTAATGATGAAATCAACCAAACAATAAGCGTTTAACAGCTGCTTCATGACTACTGCCCTGTGTATATACAGTCATTTTGTATAATTAAGCCTCAAGGTTTGATCACTGTTTTTGATATGTGAGGCATTCTGGACATTGTGTCAAATAGTATAACTAGCTTCCTGCTAATAATTTGAAACTTGTGAATTTGCACATAAGAAGCATATTAGTATCATTTTATACATTGATCTGCAGCTGAATTGGTTTTACGTTGTAAAAACATTGATTCCAAACCTTTGAGCCGTAGTATATACCTTTTAAAGAAGAACAGTAAATGCATTGCAGCCTCTCTGCTGTGTTTTGTGCAGTGTAAAGAGAATGGAGCCTTCTCTGTCGTGCTCGACAACTACGTCCGTGAAGAGGAAGGTACAGGAGTGGTTCATCAGGCACCGTACTTTGGAGCTGTAAGTCTGCACTGTAAAGGCATTTGCACTTTTCCTGGGGAGTGTGGGTAAACTTCTCAGAGTATGCTTGTCATTCCAATACTGTATTACATCTACATCTTCATGTTAAGGGTTCAGCGGCAGCTGATGTCTGTGTGGATGCTCTGCTGCTTTATCATGGCTGGTTCTACATGTCCATTTCTGTTTTTAAAGTGAGGAAAGAAAGTGTGTGAGTTCTAATAATCATGTGGCTTCACAGTGGAACTGGTCAATATGGTCCTCAGTCCCATCACAGACTTTTTCATATCATTGGGTCAATCATTAGTATTAGTATTAGTGGATAGTTTTAAGTCCGACAGATGTTTTGAACCCTGCAGAAATAAAAATCTTATTCTGGTGTAATATACAAAATTATTTGTAATTAAGATATGGGGAAAAAAGAAATAAAAATAATGAGAAAAAAATCTAGATTTCAAGGACGTGACACTTTATGTTCAATAAGCAGCATTTTTTATTTTTTATAAAAATTAAGAGTCTGTCAAAGTAGAACTTAAAATAAAGGTTAAAGTTGGTCTGTGCTGTCGTGAGTGAACGGATAGACTTCTCCTCCCTGTCAACCAAGTTAAAGGAGCACGTCACCACCTACACACTTAAAAAAGATGGTTCTTCAAGGGGTCTTCAGTAAAGAACATTGTTCTATATAAAACCATGAACATTCAAGGAACCCTTTGCGTGATGAAATGGTTCTTCAGATTGATTGACAGTGTGTTGTATATGGTTCTAAATAGCAGCCATTTTGAAAAGCGTTCTATATAGCACTGAAAAGTGTTCTTCTATTGTTACAATGTTGAGCAAAGCAGAACCCTTTTTGGTGCTGTATAGAACCCAAAAAGTTCAAAAAGGTGCTACGTAGAACCATAGAACAAACACATTTTACCATTCAAAAAACCCTTTAATCATGCAGAGGGTTCTTTGAGTGTTCTAAATATCTAAATAGAATCATTAACAATGTTCTTTACTGAAGAACCCTTGATGAACTTCTTAAGTGTGTAGTGTACTCTTCAAAGTTCAAACCTTTGCTGCTAATGCTGGATTTAAGAACTGAATGGCATAATGAAGTTTTTGGCAGTATGTCAAATGTGCATTATCAATGTGGAAAAATGTTAATTGATTTTTCAAAGATTTATTCTTACAATAACAAGGTATCAGTCACCACACCAGTAACAGAACGCGGCTGTACAATAGCAAAAGACAATTAAGGACAGATTACATTATAGATACTGATTGAAATAAATAATCAATATTTGAATTATGAATCACTAAATTACCAAATAACTCTTATTTTACTATCAGCTTTTAAATTTAGCTTGAGGTTGTTTTGTGCATTTGCCAACTAACGAAGTAAAATTGAATAACTTCTTCAAAAATTCACTGCTGTAATGAACTTTCCTGCTATTACAAAAGAGAAATAAAAAGATAAATCTTTTTCCTATCAAAATTTCAAACCAAGGATGAGCAAAGTAGCAGCAATAAAATATAAAAAACCAAATCAGTTTTCCCTTAATCAAGTAAATAAAAAAAAACATCTACATTAAACAGTGCACAACTATCTTATCGAGACGAATTTTCATACAGTGAGCCGTGGTGTTTCCTATTCAGATGTTCCAACATGCCTGCTAAGTTCAGCTTTACAAATAGTGCAACTGACAACCTTTTTTCCAGAGTTTAGTGTGAAATGCTCCCTGCACTTTTGAGAATTTTGTTCTTGAGGCTGCTGTCCGCTTTTGTTAACTGTCCAGTAATCAGGAATGTCAAAACATTCCTAGTTAGCGTGAGAAACGTGTGATGGCTTCACCAACTAATTGACTATTAAAATAGTTGCCAACTAATTTCGAGGTCGATTTTAGTCGACTAAGTTGAATAATCGTTGCACCCCTACTGATGACCAGATTTTGCAAAATCTTTGGTATCTATGCTGAACTTCAAAAGTGTTTTTTTTTTCCCAGTGGGAGAAGATTTGGATCTCTATCAACCACATAGGAAAAAATGTTTTAACCATTTTTGTTAGTTTTATCACCAGAAGTTTTTTTAGTGCTTGTTTGTGTTTGTGGTTTATGTAATCTTACGCCTGGATGTGCGGTCCATTGCATACTCAGCAGCTCAAAGTACATTAGAAACAAGTCTTTAGAATAATGTGTATATCCTCATATAAACCACCACATATTCAATTTTAATATACATTAACCTGCAGTCAGAGTCTCTGCATGAAGAATAAAATGTGTTTACGTAATATTCTGTGCACATACAGATATTTTCCACTTCTTAAAAGGAAGAACCGCCAGTGGGGACACACAGAGGAGAGGACTCAGATTGGTGTTTAGGATTAGAGCGTGAAACACAGCAACTCTTTTATCTGGAGGGAAGATGGCTGCCCACATAAACGGACTAATCCCTCTAAGTGTGAGAGCTTTTGGATGCGCTGAGGGACAGGGCGGCCTCTCTTACTGTGTGAGGGGTCTTGGCCTGCGTTTAGATTGAGGAGGAGGGTGGACTTTGATGGCAGCGGCACTAATAGCATATTACAGTGAGTGTCAGCCGTCCGCCTTTAGTGTAGAGCTTGATGATCAAACCACTTTGGACATCCAAAGCCAGGGCTGTGCAGACTGAGAAGTTACGTCATATCCTGCTATCAGTAACAAATAGAGGTTTTATGTGTTTTCAGGTTCACCACGAGGTCAGAAATCAGTTGGATATTTTTGTGGTAAAATCTTCAGCAGATATTTAAGTGCAATGTTGTGCAAAAGTCAGAGACCAATTTTCATATATTTCATTTCTAGTCCAGACAGCCATTAAATACAAGGTTCATTTCTCAGGAGATGTTTTTTGAGGAGATTAGATATAAGATAATACATTTGCATAAGGAAGGAGGAAGCCAAAAGAAAAAAAGTAGAAAGAAAAAAGTTACAGAGCAAATGAGACTCCTAACAACCACCAATTTGTTTTCACTTACAACCCAGTTTCCAAAAAAGTTCATGATATAAACAGCACTTAAAGCTCTCATCTTTGAGAGAGAGGAGAAAATCAAGCTGCTTCAGATCTGAAAACATCCACAGGTGTTTCTGTCCATCCTTCCACTGTGAGAAGACAACTCAGCGCTATGGGTCTGAAAGGATGTGTAGCTGTCAAGAAGCCTCACTGAGAGAAGGAGACAGACACATCAAACAAATAAAGGGTGGTCTCTAAATTTTGCACCACTGTACTGTAAAAACTGCAGTTGAAGTCTTCCAGTTGAACTTTTTTGATTCCAGACAAACCCCACAAATTGCAAGTGTCAGAATTTGCCGTTTGCTGCGTCTTCAGAAAGAAAAATTTCATTCGACAAAATAAAAATTCAGTCGGTGACTCTATAGATTGTTATAAATAACCTTTACGTAAACAGTATGTCAGTATAAGCTCTATAGTACTCTACTTTTGCATCCATTTATGGTAAACAAACAGATGATTTTTCTATTTCCAACTCTCCCAATATATGTGTAAGGTAAGTATGAGTGCACATTCCTGCATGGAAAGCAAAAACCTGCCTCTGTTGCTTTGGCTAACCTTCTCTGCCTGCTAAAGACGGTCAGTGTTGATTATGCAGTGGCATCTCTGCAGTTCTGACCTCAAACGGTTGTTAAAGTGAAGTGGAGGTGCAGCGTCAGGACCTTGGACAAACATACATGCACACAGACTTTCTGCCATGACAGCACTGTTCATGTTTGCCTGATGTAGTGAGGCGGGAGAACATGGCTGCGTTTTTTTACTTGTGCCAAATCCCTGTTGAAAATGTGTTGTCCTTTTCTCGGCTAGGTTCTGTGATGAATTGCTATTTTCGGTGTTTTCACTTTTCTGCTGAAAAAGTGCTGATCTGACAGCCGCTGCCCTGTCGCCTCTCCCTCTCTCTCTGCAGGATGACTACCGTGTCTGTATGGACTACAACATCATCCAGAGAGACTCTGCACCCATCTGCCCGGTGGACTCGTCTGGCTGCTTCACCCCAGATGTCACTCACTTTGCTGGCCAGTATGTGAAGGTACAGGTTTTTCCATTTTCTTCCTTTTTAAAAGCCTTTGTACCAAACAAATAGCTGTGGCAACATCTCAGTCCTTGTTTCTGCATTTTGATCAGTAGGGAACAACCCTGAGGTCCAGTTCTGCATTACTGGTTTACGGTAAATCGGTCAGTTTGGACTTCAAAAGAGGTTTAACATAAAACCATCACTAAGCTGACCACCAGCCTAAAACACTTTCCTCACTTCTGTCAACACTGATAACTCATCCTAATTATAACATGGTCAGGGATGGGCCTGTCACAATTCTCACATAATCACCTAATCGCAGTTATTTGACCGGATCGCAATTATTGTTTACCACAGTTATTACTTTAACATATGCCTAATGTGGCAACAGATGAAACATAAATTGGGTGTATTTCCATCTGTTAAATTGAGGCTAGAAATACGCATTTTGGCAAATACTTTTGACTGGTAACTGACTGTTAATAGCCAGTGATTATTTATTAACCTACAGCCCAGCAGTCACTGTCGTGACAAAGGAAAAAGTAAAACAAATTCAAAATGGGCATAATTTTTTAAAAAAAAATCTAAGTTTCAACATTTTATATGTTGTCTTTGTACTATTTTCAGTGAAATATAGGGTTGCATTCTGTTTTTATTTACATTTAGTGCAGCGTCCCAACTTTTTTGAAAACAGGCTTGTAGAAAATAAAGACCCAATCCCATTTAACCCCTTGCCCCTACCACTTAGCCCTTTTTTGCGCGTTCATGTCTAGGGGTAGGGTGTCCCGATTTTTGTTGAGATAGGGGGGTAGGCCGAAGTGTTTAAGCTACATCGCCCTTCAAACGGAGGTTTTTCAGATACTCATTCTAAACAGAGTGTTATAAGAAAAAAGAAAAACCGGCAAGATGGCTGTGCAAGTGACCAAAGAAACCCACAAATGTAAAAAAAATTTCCCATTACAATTTTTAAATGTTTTTCAAATTTTAAAAGTTTCAATGTATTATGGTCCTTTTCTTCATAACAAGCACAAAAAATTGCTAGTAGTATGCTAACGTCTTGGTAGCTAGCTAGCTAAATTTTTTGTTCCACCTTAAATAGTCCAGCCGTACTGGTGACTGAAACGCCAGAATGTGACTGTTGCTCAGTTTAAGGTGGAACGGGAAAAGTTGAACAAGAAGCTGGTGAAAAAAATTGACTTTAGCATTATATCACCAAAGAATTAGGGGTGGGTGATGATAAATAATAGTCATATCCTCCCTCTTTGAAGGCATATGATGCCCTAAATGTAACTAAAGCCCAGCAGTGAGGTTGCTGAACTTTACCCTCCTCTGCTATCACTGCAGACTGGCAGGGTCACTAACAGAGCAGCGTTAGTAGCCTGTTAATGAAGTAATGCTCTTTTTTATTTGAGGGTCCCATTCGTAGGGGAAGATTTCAACCACTACCCATTGTAACTCAGTTCAGAGGGGCAAGGTGACACTCGAAAACAAGGGGTAGAGGTAAAAATAAGAAATGGGACAGGGCCAAAGACTGGTATGAGCTTTCATTACTACATTTGCTATACAGCGCCAGTACAAAACGTCCGACGCTGTGTGTAAATCACAAAACTATGACATTATGTTTCAGAAGGTCTGCTTAGAAAGTCAACTTTCAGACTGAAACACATGTACAGTGTAGTTTAGCCTGTGACTCAGGTAGCAGGGAATAACAGTGAAGTTAGAGTTAGCAGAGCTGTGTGAGAAGCAGTGTCAGCAGTTTTGCCTAGGCGGGGGAGGACCCTCACCGGGACACAGAGCGGTTCCCTGAGGAGAGTCTTCTATGAACAACGAGTAAAGGAAGACAACTGCTCTCATCATCGCTCCATACCTTCAGCTCACATTTTCATCACTTCCTGTCACTCGGACATGCATGTTAACCCACACACACCTCAGAAACCCACGGAAGCCCTAATGGGCAGACTTCAGAACACTGACCAGTCTCACAAAACACTTACTGTAGCTGCCACCCACGACTCGAAAGTGGAACTGCTTATCTTCAGGAGGAAATCTTATCCCTGTTAACCAGCAGAAACTGGCTGGAGTTTCAGAGCTAATATCAGGGCTACATTATAAATTGCATTGTATTGTTATTGCGATATGAGTTTCTACAACAAACACATGGTGATGAGAGAACAGATCATACTGCCTCACATTCGCAGCGCCAGAGTGAAACGTACATTGTCAGGAAAGTCGCGTTAGAACCCCAACAGGTGTTTCGCTGCACTGGCTTGAACCCTGCTAAACAGTCAGTTGCAAAGCATGTGAACAGCTCAGAAACTTCCTGTGATGAACTACTAGACTGTATAAATACTTAAACTGTGATGACTATTCTCACTCTCAGTCAGTGTTGTGTGTAAATAGGCTCTATGGTAAACTGTGATGTAATGACTTACTGTATGACTAAACTGTAAAGTAATGACTACACTACGAACACAGGTTTGTCACAACAAACCTGCATCATCATAAATAGCTTTTTAAGGAATTAAAAATATATTTATTTGTTTTTGTAGGCTTTTTGAAAATAATTACATACATAAATCTTAGTGTTTGTAGCCTGCCTGAATAGGCTCTTCAGGGAATCCTCACTGTTTTAAACTGAAGCACACCTCATTGATCTCACTCACATTTCGCAGGCTACAAGCTCCCCACAAGGGGGCGGCATTAGAGTAAGAGTATTAGTCATTAGTCATAAGAGTAGTGCTTTATGTCAAAGACACTGTGTCCTTGTTCAGAATTAGCATTTCATCGTTTTTATTTTGCACAGTAGTAAATGCTACTTTTGCCGAAAGGGAACATGGCTAATTAAGTGAAACAGTGAATGTATTGCTTTGTTTTTTGCCCCTTTTTGTGTTTTAAGTGTACAGTGGCCTTCATGCCTGTTGGCACTGTTGGTAAAGATGAGGTGGGGAAAAGGCTTACCTCTAACTTTTCAGTGTAAAGTTATTTAAAGAAAACAAAATCCATGTAAAAAAAAAAAAAGCACATTTTTTGCAGACTGTAAGCTTATATATAGTTTAAATAATTGTGCTTTGTTCTTTTTAAGGATGCGGACAAACACATCATCAAGTTTTTGAAAGAGAATGGACGTCTGGTCAACGCTAGCACTTTCACGCATAGCTACCCTTTCTGCTGGAGGTGAGTACAGACAAAGTGGAGAGGCCCACTGTCGTCTATGAGGGCTGTTTGCTTTTAGTATATCCACTATGCTATTAATATGGAGAAACTGAGAAAGGAACTCCCCAAATGTATAATTGTGCACAGTTAGTACCATCAAAGCTATATATGTGTGTGTGTGTGTGTGTGTGTGTGTATTATGTATGTATTGTATGTATTGTATGTATGTATGTATGTATGTATGTATATTTGTATATATGTATATATGTATGTATGTATGTATGAATATATGTATATATGTATGTATGTATGTGGGATTTGCACTGACAGAATATATTACCCAGCTAAGCATCTGCGTGCACGTGTTTGTCTTATGAGGGTGAAATGGGCCAGGATTTAGGCTGCGGTTTGGCTTAATAAGCCTGTACCATTATAACATTACCTGAAATAGTACAGAGCTCCGGGGAAATGCTCAGTGGTGTAGGTTTGAGAGCAACGCGCTGCTCATACCACTTCTCATGCCTTTAGTGGGAGATTCAAGCTGACGTCTGGTCGCTAGCACCAGACACTGGACACCGGGACTCAAAACCGGGTTCTCTGATTGAAAACTGGACACCTGGCTTAACTTTTAATTGATTTTATATTCAAACCACAATTTAGAGGAATGTCATTTTCAAATTGCAAGAGCTGAAATTATAATTGTACCCTACATTATTTAATGCTTTCTTAAAGGGGAAATTTATTCAAATAATGCAGGGCTTGTGAACTGTGTGCCTGACAGATAGGTGGATGGACTATGTTAGCTATGCCTACCCATGAATCCCTTTTCTACATCGCAATGCAGATATTTTTGTGTGCATCTTCGCTGAAGTATAAATCAGACTTTAAAAGCCCCAAGCCTGAAAAATTGCCTGTGTTGGTCTTAATAAAAAAAACAAAAAAAAAAAACAGGCTTGATGCTTAAAGTATAGAAAGTAATCACATTTTAAATACAGTTGCAATATTGGTCATAAAATTCATTTAGATATTTCCTTACATTGTCCAGCCCTAGGTGTTAGTTAGGCATACATAGGTTACACTGAGACAAAAGTACAGCTTTAGATGTAGAAGCTTTTTTCTAGGTTTAATGAAGTGAATAAATCTGATAGACCTACTAAACTAGCTGGCTAGCTGGAGCTGGTCAGTGTGCCACAATGAAGGAAAATGCTGACTGTATATGACTGTTTGAGACAGCATGGGGGCATAAAATATGGATTTAAACCCAAAATCCTCAGTTTAAGGCATTGTATGTTAAAAAAATTGGTCAAATTTAACAAGCAAAAGCAAACACAACACACTCTTAAATGAAAGTTAATTTCATCTCCATCCAAACACTGAAGAGAACACGTCCTCCTCAGCCCGTTGTGCATATTGTACTGTGAAAAAATATTGTGAAATAACATTTTTACCATATCAGTCACCACTATTATAACCTTCTGGATGTACTTAGTGGATGGATTAGTCGCAATGTGGTATGTGTCACTTTATGAAAACTTCACTTTATGAAGATCGGAAAACCTTTGCACACAATCATAACTTGGAAATTTGAATTTGATATGCTGTGTAAACTGTATTAAATTCGCAACATTATCGTAATCTCCGAAGGTCATACAGTCCATATATAAATAGAAAGTAAGCTTCAGAAAGGGCTCGTTTTTTAATTAACATATGTTTGCAGCTGGGTAGAACAGAGCACATTTACAAATTGGTCTCAAAGGCACAGTAACAGTTTTAATTCTTTTATTTTTGGCTGCTTTTTGTACATGAACCCACAGAAATGTTATAAGTGGGCTTCAGGGAGAAGAAGTAGAATACAACCACTCTGGTGTCATTTGCAAGGGTCTTCGTCACTACTCTCCCAATCCCACTTTCGAATATCCTGGCAGAATACTGTGTGCTCTCTGCGCTCCTCTGTGACCTCGGAGGCTTAAAAGGCATTAAATCAGTGACACGCTGTATAACGAGAGGGTGGATGGAGGGCACTGGGGCTACAAGCCTCTCTAACATTAGCATACGGCGCTCAATACTTCGTCAGCTGCCTCAGCACTCCTGGCGGCCCCAGAGTCTGTGAGGAAGAGGTCGGACTACCTGGGCTCAGCTTTGCCTGGCCGGGGTGTTTAGACTGTCAATAACTTGTAGCTTGGGAGAAAAGATAATGTTTATTGGCGGTGCTATCCTTTCTGTAAGGGGCCAGGCTTTGTTGACCGTTTGATTATAATCCAATAGGGATATTGTGAAGCAGAGGAATGACTCTTCTACAAAATACAATATAAAATGCTGTCTGGCTAGAGCAGGGGTTGGCAGCATGCAGCTCTTATACTGCTCTGTTGGGGCTCCACAGCAAATTTACATTTTTAAGGTAAAAAATAAAATAATCATTCTTTGCAGTAAAATAAAGCTCTGCTGATCGTTCAGCACAGTTTTATCAATTAAACGCTGGAGTTAATGTAGACTATAACTGTGAATTCGCCAACCTTTTACCATGAAATGCAAAAAACAGTCTCGCCTGGCTAGTAGCTAACGAAAAGAGAATGATTTAAGATTATTGATAATTTGGAGACTAATGGATATTATTTACATTATTTGCATTTATAATCACTCCAGCTGGTTTACTAATAGGTTTAATCTGCAATGAGAAACTGTCCAACACAAAGTTGCGAAGCGGAAGTCAGTTTCTTGTTTGAATTTTCCTGTTCCACCTTAAATGGTGCAGCAGTTACATTCAGCCTCAGGCACCATTTAAGGTGGAACTGGGAAAATTAAAATAAGAAGCTGGCGATTGAGAAGCTGACTTCAGCCTCGTAGAAAGTCGAACGTTAAGAGAGATTTGACAAGAAATTATTCCACTTTTGAGGAAAAGCTTCCTGCCGGAGATGTGAGAAAATATATAGCTGAGCTAAAGTTTAAAGCAGAGCAGAGTAAGTCTGTGTTTTCGTTTTTATTATATTTTAAGTCTATACTAGTACCTTAGCACATACTGAGACATATTTACAGCCAAGATGTTAAAATGGACATAAAATGTTGTGGCTTCCAAGGTGGTTTGATTTTTGTTTAAAGAGCAAAAAGGTTCTTCTCAACCTTTGGGTTGCCGACCTCTGGCCTAGAAGAAGTGAGACATCTGATATGTAACCAGAGGAGGAAAGCTTTTAGCAGGAGTAGTCAAGTGTACTTTTCAGCTGTTAAAGCCTTTATATAATCTTAGAATAGTGATTTTTCCGTGTGTGTGTTTGTTTTTTTTGGTTTTTTTTTAAATAAGAGTTTGATGTAGTATAGAGATGCATGAATAATTGTATTTTCATTGTCATCGTGTTATGAGTGTCGACTACAAGCACATCAGTAAGGGATGAGATGACGGAATGGAAGAGTAAAATGATTAGATTTGTCGGAATGTTTATGTTTAATGTTTATTAGTAAAGCTGTGTACCCCCGAGTAGAGCTTGGACCTTGGTCTCCAGTGTGCAGAGCGAGTGATTTAACCACTGTTATACAAAGCCAATTACAAATCGCACACAATTGCACAGCTACTCCATCCTCATCCATCTCAGACTTCAACTGTCGTGCTAACACTCAACAAACATGAGCTCCTATAAGCAGGTAGCTGAGGATCTGAAAAATGAAGTGTATTGATAAAAAAAAAAACAGGAAAAGGACATAAACAACAACATAAACGCTTCTAGCTCACAGTTTCCACTGTCCAAAATGTCAATAACGCATGGCAGTTAAAGAGAACTCAAGGCGACATCTAGAAGCCCAGACTAACAGACTTTGTTTCAGCTGCTTGGCCAGAAAGGCAAAGCAAAACCCCCATATGACAGCAAAGGATCTGCAGGAAGGTTTAGCTGACACAGGAGTGGTGGTGCACGGTTCTTCTGTGATCTGCATGGAAGAGTCATCAGAAGGAAACCTCATTACAAAAGTCAATGTCTGAAGTATTCAAAATAACTTCCAGATAAGCCAGACGCATTTTGAAAGGGAGTGCAGTGGACTGATTAATTAAAAATGTATCTTTGGCCTCTCCAAGTGTTTGGAGAAAAGAGAAGCAGCAGCATTTGATGAAAAGAACACCTTGCCAACTGTTAAGCTTGAGGTTGAATCTACTATGCTTTGGGGTTGTGTGGTAGCCAGTGGCTCAGGAAGCATTAAGCAGGTAGATGGAAGAATGGACACCACTAAAAATCAGTAATTCTGGTAGCAAATGTCAATCAACAATCTGAAGCTGAGAAGAGATTGGGTTCTACAACAAGACAATGATCCAAAACATGTTTGGGGAAAAAACTATGGGTTTGTTTTTCTTCAGCAGATGTTGCTTACTTCAAAAAGCGTAAACATGTTGGCCAAGGGTGCCACACTTTTGCACACAGCTATATGTATTCTTCGAAAAGCTCTGAAAACAGCCCATTTTGAATCTGTAGGTCCAGCTGCAGTTGAAATACTCTTTTTCATGCATAACCTTTTGTGATCTAGAGATTTGTTGTTGCTGCTGCTGCTACAACTACATATAACTACATGCTGTATTTTGTTATGTGTAACAGGTCAGACACGCCGCTGATCTACAAGGCAGTGCCCAGTTGGTTTGTGAGAGTGGAGCACATGGTGGAGAAGCTTCTGGATAACAATGGCAAATGCTACTGGTAAGAGAAATTCTAACTGTATAACTTTATTTTGTTGCAGTTAGATGTAAATTGAACTAGACATTTTGACATTGCCATTTACATCATTTCACAGCACTGCTTTTCCAAGTCTTTCAGAATGACAGTGTTAACTTTGACATTATTTCATGGTTTACATAGATGCTCTTTTGCAGTATGGGACTGTAGGTGAATGTAAGGTTGGGAGTGGCATTCCTGCCACAAAGAGCCTTTTTTTTTGTGTTCGACAGTGGTTTTATCTACTATGCTTTGTTGAGTATTTACTTACTTTAGGTAATTTTATTAAGTAAAATGATCTCATTATGGCTGGCAGATAATTTTGCTTGTTTTAAGAAATGTGCTTGCAACCAGGAAAATTATCAGCCGGTATACTTAGATCATTTTGCTTAATAAAATTACTTAAAACAAGTGAAAAGTGTCTAAAAATGAGCCAGATAACCTTACAATAAGAGAAATATTGACTAGATTTAAGATAATTTCACTGGACAAGATGCTTTTTTTTTGCAGTGCATATGTGAAAATCCTAATATAATATTCATTTTTTTAAACTTTCATAACTTTTTAAAAATAATTAAATCGTGATACTTAAGTCATACCGCATCATCATTAATCTGTGAAAACACTACATTAGGATGAATTAGGATGTTTTGCTAAGTATCTGGTAAATCTGTCATTTTAGAGTTTCTGACCATTTTTTTTTCCATAATAAAAATCTTAAATACTTCCATATGCACTATGTGTTTAACTCTAGCTGACACAGAGTGACTGTACTACTTTTGCAGAGTAGTTTAAGCTCAGCTTGCCCAGTCTACCCCCTACTATCATGGAGCAAGTTCATGCTGCACTACAGGTGCTGGGCAGCGTCCTCCAATTCCCATAAGTCTGCAGCAGGGGCGTTCTGCGCTAATGTGGCTGTCAGTCTGAGACAAATCACCTGCAGGCATAGGGGACGGTGGAGGAGGAGGACTTATGGGAGACTGTAATGTCGAGACTGCGCTGCAAATTTGGCTTCTCCATTTATATTTCATGCACTGTAGCTGCACTACACTGCTGAAGAGATGTGTAAGGTCTCTTAAATGGCCTGTATCATGAATAAACACATTTTCCTTGCTTTTTTGTAATAAGTATTTGATGTATTATGCATGCATTATTCATACAGCAGAGACTGCTCTGCAAAAGAAGCCAATTTTGACTTGATCGTGGTTGTGATGTCACATCAGCAGTTTTACCCCCACCCTTAGACTTACTGTCAATAAGGAGTGTTGTTCCTGCAGACACTGTGTAGCAGAGTTATTGGACTGGAAGATGTGTGGAGAAACACAGTTAAATGTTGTACTGTTCCTGGCTGCCAGGAAGCAAATGGATCACTGCAGCCCTCTAGTCCACTTCCAGTTGAGATTCCAACTAGTACGTGGTAGTAGGTGGTATAAATGGTTTATCTGGTATACTGGTTGAAATTCATGATGTGAGCACTGTCATAACTGCTATACCAGTATACCACAAATAAACACAGAAAATGCGACATACGAACAGTACAGAACGTGCTAACGTTAGCCCGTTTGGCTGAACGGCTGAGCCAGGGATGTTTGTCATATTTCAAATGAAGATAAACAGCAGCAGTGTCTCGGTCACCTCCTGCAGTCTAGTCCTGCCTGACTCAGCCATCTTCATCAGATGAGGCTGCAGACTTGTGGACCAGCTGGTGCTGGTAGTGAAAAAGACTGCAATGTTTCCAAATTCTAGCAAACAGTCGTGGGGGTGAGTGTACGGGACGCAAGTGTAAGACAAACGACGAAAGAAATCGAACCAATAGTTGGCTTCTAATTTCCCATTCCACCTTAAAAGGAATGCAGTAGTTCCATTAAAGTGCCTGTACAGGTGCCAGAATGTAACCGCTGCTCCATTTAAGGTGGAACAGAAAACTTTAACAAAAAGCTGCCGACTTCATACCTGAAACAGCACCGCTTTTGCTGGCTGGCTGCGCTAGCATTAGAAAGTAGGACAAAGGACAAATTGGTTGTTAAAATTAGCCTAAAAATTAAGTAGTGTACCACCAGCTAAAAAGTTAGTGCCTTATTTCGCTTCTGAATGGGTCGGCACGTCAACCAACAGAGGTCATTTACTTAGCACATGGTTATTTATGACACTGACTTTTTAAATTTTGTATTTTCATGTTGTACGCAGACACTCTTATGCAGTATGGTAATGTTGGTGAATATAAGGTTAGGAGTGGCGTTCCTGCCACAAAAAGTCAAATTTGCTTATGATTTTAAGGCACAGTAACAAACATAGCCTGTTTTATTATAAGGGATAAAGAGGTTGGAAAATGGTCACGTAAAATGAATATTGACTATTTGTGGTGCATAAAACTTATTAGTGGACTTAAGAAGAATGAAATAAAATTCAAGAAAAGGTGTTTTTAAAGGCCCACTGCATCTGTATTTACATTTTTGAGCTCACACTTGATGTCTCTGGCTAAAAAGCTGTGGTAGCTGTTTTAGTTACTGGATAATTAAATTACTGGATAATTAGTAACTTCTTATTAATTATGCCTGCTGTATGATTGAGCTGAATGGATATGCTGTAGATCAGTTAGATATTGGCAGTATATCCCTCTTAGAACTGTACATTTTTAGAAGTATATAAATATCTACAGAGAAATTAGCCTTGACAAAACAGTATGCTGTCTAAAGCAGAGTGGGTCTTTTATTATGTAACCGCTAGCTTTGGTATATTTAGCAGACTGCCTTACTGTGCAGTCTGAGGGAGTCGGTATTCTGAGAGCGCAATTAGAGCTCTCCGTCAAGTCCAGCACAGCGGCAGCGCTGCTCTTGGAACGTTCTGAAGAGCGCATTGCTCATTTTGGGCTGTGTGTGGGAGTGGGAGACTTTACCCATCCTGAGATCCCACACTTAGAAGAGCTACTTTTAGTCAAGGCTGTGTGCTGTAGGTTCATGCTGCCTGAAGATAAACACTTACTTAGTTCTCAAAAAATACATATGTGAAAGTACTGAAGCTCACGTGCTCCGAGGGCATTGTGTGTTTTATAGAAGATTATTTCTGTCTAATAAATGCATATAACAGGTTGTGATAGGTTATAAGTGGATATTATGATTAATTTTATATGATGTGTGGCAGTTTGACCAGAAAAGGCTTTCACCCATATTACTACAGTTTGTACATACTTACTGTCTCTACCCTGCGTTCACAGCAACGGCAATAAATCTGACAAAGCAACCAAAAGACATTGGGTTTCAATGAGAGCCAGCAACATTGAGCAGTGTAGCAGCCGTTGTGGATGATCTCAGCTCAGCTTTTACTGTGGGTTAACATTACCACACCACCTCCTTTCATCTACACTCATTGTCCATTTTATCAGCTCCACTGACCATATAGGAGCACTTTGTAGTTCTACAATTACAGTCTGTAGTCCATCTTCATCTTCTTCTTCAATGGTCAGGACCCCCACAGAGCAGGTATTATTTGAGACGTGGGTCATTCTCAGCACTGCATTGACACTGACGTGGTGGTGATGTGTTAGTTTGTGTTGCGCTGGTGCAAGTGGATCAGACACAGCAGTGCTGCTGGAGTTTTTAAACACCTCAGTGTCACTGCTGGACTGAGAACCAATACATCCAGCCATCAGCATCCTGTGGGCGGCGTCCTGTGACCACTGATGAAGGACTAGAGGTTGACCAACACAAACTGTGCAGCAGCAGATGAGCTATCGTCTCTGACTTTACATCTACAAGGTGGACCAAAAAGGCAGGAGTGTCTAATAGAGTGGACAGTGAGTGGACACAGTGTTTAAAAACTCCAGCATGTCAGAATGGATGGGCTTAAACAAAGCACCATGCTTTGGCTGTGGTGGTAGTTTAGTTCTTGGTGGACAGAACCTGTTTGTCAGAACGTTATGCAGCTTTTATTGTGCTCTAATATTGTGACGTCTTGTCCTTGTAGTTTCAACCCTGACGCTTCTCATTGTCTTATCGTCACTGCTCTGTATGTTAGCCCATTACACCATGAACTGCACTACAGTTCCCAGCATGCACTGCAACATAATATGTGCTCCCACCCCCTCCCTAACATCGGTCTATGGGACAGCACCATCAAAACAAAACAAATCTCAGGTCTCTAGTTCAAGCGAATGGGCAGTTAAACTACTGTACATGGGGGGACACTTAAAGAGGTTATCTGCAGCTAATGTCTATTATTTTATATAAAATTAAAATTGTTTTTGAGTAGTTTAAGTATTCAGTGCCTATTTTTTGCCCTTTGTAGTTTTGGCGTATTTTGAACAGACAACGGCCAGTTGGGGTCATTGCAGAATGTTAAGTAAAAATCAAATGAAAACACAGCTGGCCCACAGACTTGTTGAGATTTTTTAATATGGCCCTTTTAGTGGTTGATTTTGACACCCCTGACCTAAACTGACCCAATGGCTCATCTGGGTTAAAAGTGCCCCCACCATCAGCCCTTTGGCTTATTATAGAAGCACATGGATGTTAAATAGCCTCCTACTTCTAGCATAAGACAGAACGCTTAAGATTCTACCTTTAGTCCAGGGAACAGAGCGAGAGAGAAAGAGAGGGAAAAAAAATCATTAAATTGATGTATTGGGTGCCTGAATAGAAATGCCTCACACAAATGGGAATTGATGAACTCGTTGCTCAGCTGGTGGAACCTGAGCGCGATTTATACCAAAGTATGTTCTCTGGGGATGGTGCCGTGTCCTGGAAAAAAAACGGAAGGAGGGTTTAACCTTTGTGACTCTACATATTAAAGAAAGCATGTTGTTATATATTTAGAGGTGAAATGGGTTGATAAGAGATGGAGGCCAGCTAAATAAAGCAGCGCTGTCTTTTAAATGTGACTTTAATGATCTGAATCGCTCTGCGGCAGAGAGCGAGTGATGAATTTTGAATTGTTCTTGAAGCTGGCTGTTGGAAGACAGTCTAATGTTTTGTTCTTGCAGAGCCGTTCATTTGACATTATTACAGTTACTGCGCTTGCTAATGATGTTCTTTAACCGTGTCATGCTTTCATGTAAGATGTGCAGTTGTTGTTAATGGGGAACTCCTCCAACTTTTCAAAAATTCTATGCAATTAACTGGTTGCGATGTAAACAAAGTTATTCAGAGTGGTTTGGTGTGAAATGCTCTGTTCCAGAGAAGCTTACCAAGTCAGAATTGTTCACAGTGGTGGTGATAGGAACCAGAGATTGACCTCTAAAAGCTCCCTCACTGAAAGTTGTTATTAAAGTGGTTTGATATATGCTGCCTGATGTCTGACTTGTTATTTTCTAAAGTTTAAGTTTAATCCATTCATGGCGGAGAGGTACATGCAGGGCATTGTAAGGCAACATAGTCCCCCAAGAAAACTTATTTTTTCACATTTATGACTATTTTACTATGATCAACATTACATATAAAAACTCAGAAGACTCCTCTAGGTTAACTGGTGGTTTTGGATAGTAAATAAAATGTCTATATTTGTGTTGTACACATCATGACCCCTGGTTCCTATCACCACCACTGTAAAGAAATCTGAGTCTGTAAGTTTCTCTACAAAAAAACACTTCACGTCCAATCACTCTGAATGACTGTGTTTACATCTCAAGGACTGAATTACTCAAAAATTGGTGGAATTCACCTTTAAGGGGATTTGGTAATGTGTAGCTGTTCTGAGATCATTGTAGGGAAGCTAAGTGGTGTCAACCCGTCTCTAAAGGTCAGCGTACACTGGAAGAAATCTGACTTTGGGGAAGTTGGGTGAATCTAACTTGCTTTCCAGGCCCTGAACTTGAATAACCCCAAAAAGACTCATCGTTTCAGAAGCTGACTGACAGCACCTGGCAGGATGTGTCATTCAAGGTGCTGGAGGCCTTCAGCATGTCAGTTCTACCAGAACGTTGGCCCTCTACTGGTCCATATATTTCTCCATGAATTTGACAATATGGAGTCCTGACTTGACGACTCCAAATTGGTTGTTCAAGTCAGGTCTCTAAATTGGATCTGCAGTCGGCGTTTTTCTATTTGGAGTTATTTGGTTGCAGAGGATATTATGCTCTCTCAGCGTCCCATTACCTTAGATAGAAAAGAACCCCTGCTGTTTTAAAAGCACTCATCACATCTTTTGCATTGATTAGGAGGAAGTTAAGAAGTAAAGAGACTCTCCTCTCTGTCTCTCTCTCTCTCTCTTTCTCTCTCTCTCTCTTTCTCTCTCTCTCTCTCCCTCTCTCCCTCTCCCTCTCCCTCTCTCCCTCAGGGTTCCAGAGTTTGTGAGGGAGAAGCGTTTTGGAAACTGGTTGAGAGAGGCTCGAGACTGGGCGATTTCACGGAACCGGTACTGGGGGACACCCATTCCTTTGTGGGTCAGCGATGACTTTGAGGAGGTCAGTGGTTGTATGAAAGAAATAAGTAATGATGAGTCTTTTCAGAGATATTTGAATCTTTTTAGAAACAGCAGCTCACATTTTAAAGTAATAAATAAATAATTAAATAAATAGTAGATACAAGATTTTGTTCTGACAGCAACAATATGTTCAATGTGAGTGGTCACCAGCCCCCTTCTAGTTGAGCTTTGAGGTAAATCTTTGATCTTGCCATGGCTTTATGCCCTAAATCTTTCCACCCCCAAGTGAATCATACAGAACAGTGTGTGAGATTCGAATCCTGCTGTAAATACCTTACTGCCTTAAAAAGAACAGAGTTGATGTCCCTAGGAGGTGTCATAAAAGACAATTTGCTGTAACCGTTCAAACCATGAGAACAGAACAGTTGCCTTCCCAAGAAGACTTGTCAGCATTAACACGCTTACCATTGAATCACAACTAAAGCAAAGGAAAAAGAACCCTAACCTAACCCTAGAAAATAAAACAATTACCAACAGCTTCAACCCAGAGCTCTAAAGCCCAAAACCACCTCCTCAAGCTCATGAAGGCCCTCTGTACTCAGATTTAGAGCTTGAAATATTTGACCAAATCTGATGGGCCCCGCTGCTCACATCGGCTTTGTACATTGTTTTCCAAATATATTTCAAACTGTTTGGTTTCACATTTACTTTTATTTCACAAGAACAGCACTTACAGTTGACTGGGGCAGATCTAGCAGGGCCTGACTTCTGGAAAAGACGGCTTCCAGTGTCAGTGTCACATTTAAGTCAATGATCTCTTTAGCTCCTCAGAGCTCTACTGCCCTTATGTTGTCTATGGAGATTGCATGTCTATGGGCTTGATTTTTTACACCTGTTAGCAATGGGTGCGGCTGAAACACTTAAACTCAATAATTCGGAGGCATGTCCACATACTTTACATACCGCATATAACAGTGTATAATGTTCATACTGTGTATTATGTTCTATGTGTAGCAGTAGGAATTAGACTAAAGGCTACTATCTTGTTATAGCAGCGCCGCACAGTGTGAGAACAGCACACTATGGAGAGTTCATCCAGACTGAAGAACTTTGCGATATTGTACAAAAGTGATGTTTGATTGATTAATGTTGGTTAAAATGTAATCTAAACTTAAATTAGTTCTCAGGCTGTATTGGGGTTCAAACCAAAATTTCTCCCATTAAAGCCCAGAATTTCCCCCTACTTGCCTCATTTGGAGCAGGTGTGGCCCATTAGGGTTGGAACTAGCAATGAACAACATATCGTTTAATTTTTTTTTTTTTTTTAATTATTTTCGCGTCATCAGCCTTCCACAGGGTCCTGCTGGTGACGTCCTGTATAAGTAAAAATAATCCGTGGCCACAACTTAGTAAGGCGTGGGAACGAGATAAGTCGTGGCCACGACTAAGTAAGGTGTGACAACGAGATCAAGCCTTAGTTAGCTGCGGTCAAGGCTTAATTATCTCATTCCCACACCTTACTAAGTCATGCCCACACGTTATCTTTATTTATACGTGAAGTCACCAGCAGGGCTCTGTAGCCTTCACAAAACTGATTTTGTGCAGAATAGTGCGGTATGCGAATGAGCCTTTATCCAGTTACTGAATCTAGTCTGTCCAATCACAGATGGTTTGTGAGTGTTCGGAAGAATCGAGGCACTCACATGATTCAAGAAACATAAATAATTTGGACAAAAATAATGCTGACGTATCTGATACCTTAAGGTTTTGATTCGTGGCCGTGTGACCTTAATGGCCAAATCAAAACCTTAAGGAATCAGATACGTATCCAAATCTATGACCACATATGAAAGTGGCTCAGGTCGGATTTGAAAAGATCAGATTTGCGTGTCCACACAGCCCTGAAAACATCAGATCTGAGTCACATTAGGGCAAAAAATCTGATTTGTGCCACTTCAATTTGGTAATGTGAGGGTAGCCATGATGTGGTCAGCATCAATTCATGTGCTTTTTCTCCACTGCGCTTGCGCCATCATTCAGTGTTACCATGGCAGCAGCGCCAAACAGAAGTCAAGGCCTGTAAATGGTAGAAAAGCAACACATCTCACCTTTTTCGCCTTTGTCTCGCTCTAATAATGAACAGCTGAGAGCTGATCAGAGTTAATTATCTTCGGAGAAAAGGCTCGTTCTGCTCGTTAGTTTGTTTGCTGATGATGCACGTGACACACGTGATTCATTCACTTGACGTTACTGATTAGAATGTGCGCTTGTGGGTCATTTCAGGGCGCTGGTTCGTTTACATTGATGACAGATTTGAATCACTTACCTAAACGAGTGTCGACCAACGTGTCTGAGAGATCGGACTTGAGCAAAAAAATCAGACTTGAGCAGTGAGGCTTGTAATGTGAATGTAGCCCATATCAAGGGTTCACTAATGTGTTTTTTAGTATATTGGATGGTACGTGTCACATATCATACAGCTCCAGACAGAAAATTGAACTACTGCCTTAATCCTCCCTCCCTTTAGTTATACAAGAGTGATAATTAGCTTTTTGTGAATAATTTATTCAAAAATTATACTGTTTATCCCAAAAACCTAAAAAAGTTGCGTCTTGACTTTTTCCCCAGTGTTGTTCAGCCCTAGTTGGAACTACATTTTATAGGAAGGTACCTCTCCAGTATCCAAGTTTGGGGCCACTGCTCTGTAATATGTTTGATTCATATCTAGATCCACTGTGTCCACACCTGCCTATCCAGCATTTCTTCTGTAATGAAGGGTATTAATAGCGAGTTTCTCCCTCTCTGCTGCAGTAACAGCCTCTGTTCTTCTGGGAAAGCTTAACACTAGATGTTGGAACATTGCTGTGAGGATTTGATTGAGCATTATTGAGGTCAGGTACTGATGTTGGATGATCAGTTCTGGATCACTGCAGCTCATCCCAAAGGTATTGGATGGAGCTCCATCACTCCAGAGAACACAGTTGCACTGCTCCACAGCCCAATGCTGGGGGGCTTTATACCCCTCTAGTCCATGCTCATTGTGACCTTAGGCTCATGTGCAGCTGCAACAGAGTGTCCTATTCTATTCATCAGTGCTTTTTTGTGGAGATTATACAAGCTGTGTGTGTGCAGTTGAACACCTATGCCAGCAATGAGTGCAGCTGACAGTAGCTGAATTCACTAAGTAATAGAGTCTGGATACTTTTGGATGGTGTATTCTCTGTGTATCTTTATTGGCCAAACCATCCAAATCTGAACATTTACCTCCAAGAATCTAGCTGATCACCTTTCCTGAGGTGGTAATGACTCCCAAGAATCCACTGTTTCATAAAACTAATCATTATCAATTTGTTCTTGGTTACACTCGTTGGCCCACGGCTCCTGAAAGCCCTGCACAGCGGAAGTCAGAATTGGGTTGTTGGCGTCTTTGCGGGCTGAGACAAGCCTCTAGAAAATAAGGACAGCGACCTGCTTCCTGAAAATAGCATAATGAGTTGTTTCCAAGCTCCAGTCTCTGGAGTGCCTTCTGACTCCCAGAGCTTTCGCTGGGGCCAGAAAGTGGAACTCCCTGGCTCTCTGGCGAGGAGGCCCTATCTGGGCCATCTTACCTGTGCCCAGCATGGAACGGGGACAACGGCAAAGGTGTAACATACTTTCAAGTAAACTTCCTCGCCCACCTGAAGTGGCCTGGTTTAGTATTCCGTTTAGCTGTCTTTTCCACACCATATGTGGCCAACTATAGGTAACATCTGAACAATTAAATATGTATTTCCATTTGGGACAGCTGTGTGGGCCGACACAGGGCACACGCCACACCTTGTCTAAGCATTGTCTATGCTCCATATTTAACCACAGGTGTCATAGGGACCTACTGATACATGTTACGTGTGTTTTATACATGTGCTACTGCATTCTGGCAAGGTCACATACCTACTTTTGTGTTTTTCCAGAAACACCAAAACATGGACCTTTTGTTTACTCAGCAATAATACTTTAATCCTGGGTTTTCTCTGAAGCCAATAACATTTCAGCTCACTCTTCTTGCTACTGTAGCTCTGAAATGTCAAAGTTGAGAAAATGGCTGGTTTTATTTTATGTTGCTTTTTTTTTTTTTATTCACATCTAGCCTTATTCTATATAAATACGGTTAAAGAGTAGGTTGGGATAGCTTATTACCTCAAGGAACTGATATTGCGTTAATTTATTAACATTTTATGCTCTGTATCACTGTAAATGTATGTATGTATGTATATGTATGAATTTTTGTATGTATGTACAGTACCAGCCAATGATATGGACTTAATTGGTCAAACAATGACATTTTAAATGCTTATAAATAGTAAATTGTGAAATTGGTAATTTAAACTGAATATTATCAACACACAGTCACTAAAATATCTATCATTTGAGAAATATCACAAAGTTCATCCCTTTTCTCTCTCAGAGCGACGCAGAGAAACTTCTTCATGCATTTGTTACAAGCAGAGTTGATCACTGTAATGATCTTCTCACTGGACTTCCTAAAAAAACAGTACATCCTTTACAACTTGTGCAAAACACGTCAGCATACTAACAAAAACAGAGCAGAGAGATCATAAAACTCCTGTTTTAAAAGAACTGCACTGGCTACCTGTCTTTTAAGTTAGCTACTAGTTTTTAAGGCTGTAAATGAACTTAAAGCACTACTTACATCACAGAGTGTCTGTTTAGGTTACAGCACATGATCTTAGATCTGCAGATACTGACCAGCAAACACCTTCTGTAAATTACAAAAAACATGGAGAGACTTTTTCAGTTATTCTGACAAAATGCAACAGAAAGAGGTTTGCAATGAATAATAGCTCCCGTATAATGTCAAAAAACACATTTTTATTTCTGTAATATAGATGATTTTCATCATATTGTACCATTTCATATATCTTGTGTCTGTGAAACCCACACTCAACAATATATTTCATAAGGGGTCAAAAGGAAATTCATGAAAATGGAGCTAGAGAGATTTTTTTTCCAAATGTCCCCATAGCAAGTAGTAAAAAATGAGAATCTTTCTAGACGCCGATATATTAAAACTTGTTACAGGTACTGCAGGTACATATTTATCAATGTTACCTTTTTTAAGAGAAAAACTTTTTAAAAACCCAGTAAAAGTTGAGGGAAGGAAGTGAGCTTGCAAAGCATAGTTTCAGTTACGAGCTACCGCTTATTATCAGTGGAAAAAAAAATAATAATAATTTTAAATAATTTGAGTTTATTACAGTACCAACGCCTAGCTTCTGTATGTCAGACTGTGCTCAGGAACCTGAACAAAAAAACTAGATCAATTTCCTCTGCCTACAAGGACAATTAGAGGTTTGTAGCCTTGGCTGCCAAAAAGCCTGGTGGAAAATGAGCTTCCATGAACGTCACTATTAGAGCTCCCTTCACGCAGCCCATCGATCTACAGCAGAATGTCCACTAAATGTCCAAAAGTTTCTGATCTTCCAGTGTTTCTTCTGAAATGAAGGCTATTAATAGGGAGTTTGTCCTCCTTTGCTGCAGTAACAGCCTCTACTCTTCTGGAAAAGCTTTACACTAGATTTTAAAACATTGCTGTGAGGATTTGATTGAGCATTATTGAGGTCAGGTACTGATGTTGGATGATCAGTTCTGGACACTCCAACTCATCCCAAAGTTAGTGGGATGGAGCTCCATCACTCCAGAGAACGCAGTTCCACTGAACCACAGCTCAAAATTGGGAGGTTTTAAACCCCTCTAGCCCACGCTTGGCACTGAGCATGGTGACCTTAGGCAGTGCAGCTTCTCCAGAGCGTCTCATTCTATTGCTCAGTGCCTTTCTAAGGAGATTATGCAAGCTGTGTGTACAGTTGAACACCTGTGTCAGCAATGGATCCAGTTAAAAGTAGCTGCTTTCACTCATTGGAATGAGATGTCTGGATTTTGGATATAATGTTCCTTATCAATCATTTTAGAGAGATTTTTGTTTTTCTTTTGCAGTGTGCCCCATGCTTATTCTCGTTTGTCAGTTACGGTGAGATGCTGAGTGAAGGGTCTTTTGTTTTGTCTCTGTCCAGGTGGTTTGTGTGGGCTCCGTTGCGGAGCTGGAGGAGCTGACGGGAGTGAAAGTAACCGATCTGCACAGAGAGAGGTGAGTCACTGATCTCCACGGCGATTAGCCACACTCCTCTGCTCTTCCGGCATGATGGAGGCTCGCCCTGACGGCCTCGTCTGCGCGTAACGGCCAGATTTGTTTTCACTCCCAAATTAAGCTGAATTATTTGTGAGAACACTCTGGTCAGTCTGGTTCACCAGGCGTGGAATCAGTGCCCGTTGGTTGAATCTCCAACGCTGGTGCCGCTTAACACACAGCAAAGGCATCTTGCTTCAACTCAACATGTGTAGTGGTGGGAAAGCACTAAAGCTATGTGTGCCTAAATGTTTGATGGCTAATGTATCATGTAATATACCTCGGCAAATCAAACATTTAGACACACATAGCTTTTCAAACGTTTTTTGGACATTTTATAACTTGACAAATGAAATAAGAAAAAAAAATTAGGGTCTCAACATATTTCATTGCAAGAACTGCATTATTCACATCATTTTAAAATAAAATGAATGAAATTCAAATTAGATTATCTCTTCTTCTGCTTTAAAATATGAGGTATAGATTGAGAGTTTTCTATTTTTGTCCACTCGTTTCAGTCAGTGTATGCTTTTGTTATCGCCAGCAATAACTGCAGCTTCTTAAGAAGTCTCTGTAATCTATTAGGTATATAAATTAATATGATGTGGTGCATATCAGATTTTTTAATACTTCTGGACAAACAGGGCTGCACAATACAGAATTTAATTGTTCTCACAATTGTTGTCGTGCTGACGACACAATAGGCTGAAAAATGCAAATGAGCCTTTTTTGTAAAACGGATAGTTGCAGTCCTAAAATCTGACTGAGCTGCCTTCAAAGTCATTGTAGAATCCATGATATACGCACACCTTTGACCCTTGAGCTGTTAATGGAATAATCTTTGACTCTAATGCTGCTCGCATGGACCACTGAGTATATTGATAAAGTAAGAACCTATTTCTTGCTTAAACTGAGGGGCTGGCAACTTATGTTCTTAACTAGAACTAGGCTGGTCAGCTAGCTAACAGGCTAAAAGATAGCCAACAGCCTAAACAACTCCATCATTAATATCACAGCCTTGAATTAAAGTACTTATGGTATGATTAACTGCAAAACTGCAGTATAAAAGCCTAAAAAATGACGCTTGAATGGATTCTGCACTTCAAATGTCTGTGTTTCAGTCAGAACCCAGACTGAATCCCAGACTACTCTGTGCTAGTTATGAAAGTTCTATTTTCTATGAAAATCATTTATCGAGTATAGATGTGGCTGAGTCCCAAATGAGTGATTCTTAGCTGTATTTTGCGCTGTTGGGCTGCAGGATCCAGTATTTAAATTCCTACGTATTGCACTATGTAGGGAGCAGGGAGCCATTTGAGTTTCAGCCCCAGCATGAGAAGAGCGGCATCACTGGATTGGTGTTAAATAAGACTCAAGGTGGTAATTTGGTGACCAAAAAGTGCTTATAAAGAAAAAGTTTTTGTATTAAACAGTGCTGTGTTATCATATGTTCATTGTAATATGACAAAAAGTTAAAGTTTATAAAATGACTGCAATATACAGCAATGGGCGACTGAACGTTCTTCTCCTCATTCCGAGGTATATGGTTGTTTGGCAACGATACCATACTCTGAAGGAGCTACATTCCAGTCTCTTGTGGCTTATTGCCTTAATAATGTTTCCCAGATTGCTTTTTTTCTTATATAATCCAACAAATGTAAATTGTTTTGGTTAAGATAAGTCACTCATCAGTGATTATTGATTGGCTGATACATTAGTAAATTAGTGAAGCATTGCCCATGATGCAGCAGTATAATCTCAGTACTGTTCTTTGTCTGTTCTGTGCAGCCCTGAGAGGTTGTGGCCATTTCTTCAAAGTCCTTTGCCAGATCCTTTGATCGGTGTCCTCATGCCTGTTTCTCTTTGTGTCTTCACAGCATAGATGGTCTAACTATTCCATCTCGCTGTGGGAAAGGCCAGCTGAAGAGGGTCTCCGAGGTGTTCGACTGCTGGTTTGAAAGTGGCAGCATGCCCTACGCCCAAGTGCACTACCCGTTTGAGAACAGGCGGGAGTTTGAGGACACCTTCCCCGCAGACTTCATCGCGGAGGGCATCGACCAAACCAGAGGATGGTGAGGAGCTATGTGCTCTTTCTGCTGCATATTAGAACGCACACTCCAAAGTCGTGGGCATGACGAGAATCAGCCTCAAATGTATTAAAATACAGGCAGCGAGCACTAAGATAATCACATTTACACATTTGATTCAGTTTTGTGTTGCCAGAATTTTTGATTAGTGTAGGCCAGGGGTGTCCAAAGTCCAGCCCCAGGGCCAAATGCTGCTTACTGCCTTGACTGTGGAGTGACCATACTTTTATGGTACCGTCTATATCACTTTTCAGCGATAACCAAGCACTGAAAAATGTATTCGTTGTCATTCAATATCTTATTTCAGTACAAATTCAGTAGGTACAATTAAAGGAATATATATGATCTGTCATATATATGACAGAGGGCAGAGTATATTAAGTGAGAATCAACATGCTTATTAGCTCACCGATGCTGAGATCGGTGAGCTAATAAGCATGTTGATTCTCACTTAATATACTCTGCCCTCTGTCATATATACCCTTTAATTGTGCAGTCATACATTCTTAATTGTGCAGAGTCATATATACCCTTAATCGTGCAGTCATATATACGCTTAATTGAGCAATCATATATTCTTAATTGTGCAGAGTCATATATTCGTAATACCATTGATATTCTTAATATAAACCCTTAATTGTGCAGAGTCATGTATCCCCTTGATTGTGCAGAGCCATATATACTCTAATTGTGCAGAGCCATGTATCCTCTTAATTGTGCAGTCATGTATACCATTAATTATGCAGACATATATACCCTTAATTATGCAGAGTCATATATACTCTTAAGTATGCAGTCATATATAACTTTGATTGTGCGCAGCCATATATACCCTTAATAGTGCAGAGTTCTAACTGACAATAAATACGTGGTTAGCAAAGTAACATTTTTATATCTTGTGTTTTAGGTTCTACACTCTGCTTGTGCTTTCGACCGCCCTGTTTGGTAGACCTCCATTCAAGAACGTGATTGTCAACGGGCTGGTACTTGCAAGGTAAGTATTTCACTCATTTTCGTTTTAATATGTAAATGTGGTTTTTCACCAGTCGAGTGGTATTTTTCTCCTAATATGAACTCATTCATCTGATCTGTGCATGTTTATATGGGAGGCGAACAAAACATGGAAGATATGAAATGGTTGTTGTAGTTTACTATCACATTTGGCCTGTTCGACTGATGTTTTTGGTCACAAACAATGCAGAAATAAAACATGGGCTAATTGTACGTGTTTACATTTACTTTACCAATACTGCATTTTTGTATATTTGCTTAGTGTTTGCTTAACATTGGTGCTCTGTTCAGTTCTTTTGTCTGCCGCCATGAAAAGTGTTGTTGTCTCGACTCGGCCTATTTGTGCTGCGTTGAAAATGTACACGTAGCCCAGTTCGTCTTCCGACTTTGAAGGGTTTATGTGTTGTCTCCTGGTGGGAAACTCATTTTTCAAATAAAACAAGACCATTTGAGAGCAGCACTGCACATCGTGGTGGGTGTTCTCTTGCCCAGTGGAAACATCATATTCTCAATAGCCGCTTGCTGTCTTTAGGTGAAAGCAGAGTGCTGGTCGAGCATGTGTATTGATGACCTAGCCCAGGGATTGGCTCTTTTACTGCCCTGTTGCAGCTCCACAGCAGAATTAGATTTTTAGGTATAAATAAAACAATCATCCTTTGCAGAAAAATAAAGCTCTGCTGATTGTTCAAACAAAGTTTTAACAATAAATGGTCTTAAATGCTGGAGTTAATGTATAACTGCTAATTCACCCTTTAACGCTGAAGATCGGCGCGCAGACTGCTGATCACCATAGCAACGCAGTAGTAGTAGCTAACGAAAAGGTAAAGATTTAAGATGAACATTGATAATTTGGAGATGAATGGACTTATTTGCATTTATAATCACTCCAGCGTTTGTCAGCGAGAAACTGACAAACACTGAAAAGTCGTGAAGCTGAAGTCAGCTTCTCATTTGCCAGTGTCTTTTTCAAATTGTCGAGCAAGAAGCTGCAAATGAGAAGCTGAGCTTTGTAAAAAGCCAAACGTTAAGAGACATTTTACAAGAAACTTCTACTTTTGAGAAAGAGTTTCCTGCCAGAGATGTGAGAAAAGCAGCTAAATCTGAGCTAAAGCTTAAATCAGACCAAAATAAGTCTGCATTTTTGTTTATATTTTTAGTCTGTACTTAGACATTAGCACATACTGAGACTTACTTACAGCCAAGATAGTGAAACATTACTTGAAAATGGCTCTGGTTAACATTTGGGTTGTGACCCCTGAGCTAGTGACACTGAAAGAACTTGGCTTGGTTTTCATTGCACATGTATTGTGTCTTCACAGCGATGGCCAGAAAATGAGCAAGCGCAAGAAGAATTACCCAGACCCCAGCTTGATTGTGCAGAGCTATGGCGCTGACGCACTGAGGTAAGCACCTTGAGTGTAATTTGGAGGCGTAATGCAGTAATGCAACACTTTCAAGCAAAACATTTTCAAAATCCCTGAAGCGCTGTTGTGGCGCGGCCATATGGATAATGAATAAAGTAATATTGAATCCATCCATATGGTTGAATTGGTCCCAGCGAATGCCTGATTAAGCATTGTCTACACTCGATTTGAGCCTTATTGTTTCGGCTTCTTTTTAATTTTGTTTGTTTTGTCTTTTAGTTAATTGCAGCACGCTGGTATTGATTGGCGCCCACAACAGCACAATCCAACTGGCGTTGACGCTTGAGCGCAATTACCCTTTAACAGAGAAAATGTTATCTTCTTAATAGGATGAGGCTTGTTTATGAAGTAAACTGTGCTTTTTCTTTCTTCTTTTTTAAGTCCTTTGCGTCCTGACCATTGAACCTTCCATCCGTTCATATATGCTCTAACCACCTACAGTGTACACCTACTGTAAAAGCAAAGCACAATGAATTTGTGTTGAATACTTGCATGTTTTAAACCTTTGACTTCATTCAGGTTGAAAGAACATAAATCAATAGTTCTGCACGCAGCATGAACTTCAGAACAGCGTGATGCTGTGTAGCAGTTACTCTTCACAAGCCTTTTGGGCCAGAAAATTCCACGTTTGTTCTAGAAGCTTCTTGGCTCTCCCTCCCCATCTGTCCGTTATCCCATGCCAGTTCTTCCATGAGCACTTCAGGAAAAGGACAAATTGATGCTCTGCACTAGACAGGAGAAGATGAAGTGTTCTTGTTGAGGTGCCGATCCTTGTGGTTTGATTAGTTTATGGTGAAAATGGCATCATATTTCTCACCAATGACCACCTTTTCACTAGAAGGACACAGCTCTAACAGTCCAGCATCTGACCCATTTTCTGGCCAACACGAATAAGCTGAGTTTATGTAACGGTGACTCAGTAGCCAATCCGAAACGAAAATCCGGAAGCTTCTCCTCAGCTCAGTTTGATGACCCTGCCTTCCCTCACAATCAATAGCCAGTGATTTTCTTGGGCATAAATCAGTCGCTGCTTTCCAGGAATTCATTTAAAAGGGTTTTATAGGTGGCTGAAGCAGGAAAGGAGTCGATTGTATTTTGCGAGCGAGACTGCAGGACCAGAGATGGGAAATAGGGCTTATATATTTATTTATTTATTTTTTATCTATTTTAAGAGAGACTGGAAATTAGAATTGAAGAAATGTGACCAAAGTGTGCATCGGTAAAGCACGGCCTTTTAACAAAACCTTGCATTTTACAAATGGTAACTTGGTAGAAGTAAAAAATCTTCCTAACTGTAATGGATGTTAATGTGTGTTAATGTATTGTTAATGTATTGTGTGTCATTTTATATAAAGCATTTTTAATTGGTCTACTCATCATGAATTGTTTGTTACAAATTGTTACAAATGATTGTCTTTTTCAAATGTTTTCATTATTATTATTGAGTTTGTCATTGTTTATATTATGTACATTTATATAATCCTCATTGTCAGGGTAATTCAATGGATTTATGTATACATTAGTCCATGATTTTGTTCATATTTGCTCAAGTATGCCAGTTGTTTTGTATGTAATTATTTATGGTAAATTACCGCTAAATCAAGATTCTTACAAATAGACAGCAGATCAAATGCATTAGGAATATTTAGTGAAGGAGCGTCCAAACCGTGGCTTGCTGGCCGAAGTTGGACCATGAGGATATACGATTTTGCCTACCAGACAGTTAACCATAACGCCACCCCCTCACCCAGTGAGAGAACAAGCATGTTTTTGTACTATGTATAACTTTTTCTAGATTTTTTTCTGCATTTTCTCTATAAATTGTGTAGATACTTTTATCCATTTAATGTTGTTTTCTATTTTAAAGTATTCTAGTATGAAATATTGTGTAACATTGTAATTTTAACAATTTATTGATTTTAAGAACTTAATTTAAAACCTACCTACCAGCTTTATTTGTATATTTTTCCCCTCTGCCCACCCCAAACATTGCACTATGGGCCCCCTCCCAAGACAAAAAGTTTTGGCACCCCTAGCCCAGTAATATATTTGTGTTATTTGGTTATTTACTGATGTTATATGTGATCCGATCTGCCTTGAAAAAGTACTCAAACTCGGTGGAACTGCCTGATGAAATGTAGAAATGTGCCCCAGCATGTGCTGACAGTTATATAAGCTCAGCATATTCTTTCTGTGCCTTTTGTCTTTCGATTTTTAATGACGTCGAACTGCCTCAGCTTGTGATTCCCACGGATTCTCTCCCTCTCTTTCACTCTCACCAGGCTCTACCTGATCAACTCCCCCGTGGTGCGAGCAGAAAACCTGCGCTTTAAAGAGGAAGGAGTGAGGGATGTGCTGAAAGACGTCTTCCTGCCGTGGTACAACGCCTACCGCTTCCTAGTGCAGAACGTCCAGAGGCTTCACAAGGTGTGATATCTGGGGCTCTCTTTGGAGCTTTCTATGAATAGCTGCAATGCTTGAAGGTCAGCACTTCAGACTGGCACTCTGAGATGCAGGAGAAAACCTCACAAACATAGTAATGCACCAGCAATCACCAACCCTCCTCCTGGACTTATATGCCTTTATGCAGAGCTTTCCTGCTCTCTCCAAATGTCATTAACTAAGACATGTTTGGTCTCTGAAGCTTGGCGGGTTTAGCACTGGAGTGACAAAGCTAATGTAGCTAAGAAGTAATGGGAGCATGGTGCTAACTGCATTTCTGAGTCATCACACACTTGCCTCAAACTGTGGGGGGTTCTTCAGTAATCTCAAAGGCTTTCTTCACACAGCAGGTAAAAGGCTACATACACATTACTAGATTTTTTTGCTCTAATGTGACTCTGATCTGATGTTTTCAGAGCAGCGCGGACATGCAAATCTGACCTGAGCCACTTTCATATGTGGTCCTAGATCGGATACGTATCCAATTTGTGGCCATGCAACCTTAATGTGAACGCTTAGATTGGAGTTCATGTGCTCTATTGTCCACTGCGCCCGCGCCATCATTCCTTTACTATGACAGCCGCGCCGAACAGAAGTTAAAGCCTGTAAACGGTGCAAAAGCAACACATCTCACCTTTTTGCCTTTGTCTAACTTTAATAATGAACAGCTGAGAGCTGATCAGAGTTAGTTATCTTCACAGCGAAGCTCGTCCTGCTCGTTAGTTTGTTTGTTGATTATGCACATGATTCATTCATGTGACGTGACTGAGTAGGATATGCGCATGCGGATCATTTCAGGCCGTCAGTTCGTTCACAATAATGACAGATTTGAATTGCTTACCTAAACGAGTGTGAACCATTGTGTCAGAGAGATCGGATTTGAGCAAAAAATCAGATGTGAGTGATGAGGCATGTAATGTTAACATGACTAAAGTGGCCCAATGTGAAGCATTGATGTTTTGCGCATGCGGGTCAGTTTGGGAGCATAATAGTGTGTTTAGACTGTTGTATATAGGTCACATTTAAAAGATATTCTGAGCAGCCAAAAATTAGATCAGATAGAATCAGATTTGGGCCACTTTTACCTGCTGTGTGAACGTAGCCTATTAGACTTGTCTGTGTGGTTTCTGACACTGTACGACACACAGATATCTATAAATGTGGATAAAAAGTGCAACTAAAATCAGACTTCAAGGATGGCTGTAACTGTTTAGCTGTACAGTTTACTTCAGTCTGTTTATAGACAACAGTATGTCATAAGTAAATTTGAGCATATTATGAACAACTATATTTCAGATTACTTAATTCAATGTGGCAAGTCTTCCGCTGCACACTTTAAGATGTTTTTTCAAGGGTTCATTAGTAAAGAAAATGGTTCTATATAGAACCATAAACACTCAAAGAACCCTTTGCATGATTAAAGGGTTCTTTGCAATTTTGAAAGGGTTCTTCAGGTTGATGGAGAATGTGTTTTATAAGGTTGTATTGTAAAAGGTTGAACCTTTTTTAAGCTATGTAGCACTAAGAAGTGTTCTTGTATTGTTACAACCTTTTCAAAAAGGTTCTGTTTAAAACCATCTCCAGCACATTGTCCATCATCCTGAAGAAACATTTACCAATGCAAAGAATGCTTTAATCATGCGGTGTGTTCTTTGAGTGTTCATTTTCTTTACTAAAAAACCTTTTGGAAGAACTATGCTTAAAACAATGGAAAAGGCACAAATAGACTTGGAACAGTTCTGTCTCGTACCGGCCTCCATGAGCCATGTCTGCTGTTTGTCTTTTTTCTAATTAGGAAGAGGACATTCAGTTCCTGTATAATGAGAACACAGCCAAGCCAAGCGATAACATCATGGACAAGTGGATCCAGTCTTTCACCCAGTCCCTCATTCAGTTCTTCAAGGCGGAGATGGACGGTGAGCCACACTAACCATGTTAGCAAGCTAATACCTAATGAAATTATAGATGGGTGTTTTCAGTATTTATCAGTATTCATCAGTAATCAAATAGTAGCCAGCAATTAGATGCATATTAGTAACTCATCACTTCAGCATACTGAACAAAGACCACTAACAGCATGTAAATACCATAAAAATATATATTAAAAAACTTGTGGGGTGTCAGAGTAATTTGTAAGTAAATTGCAACCAGGTACTATTTGAGAATGAAAACATTATTTATATTAAGGCTGTTAAAATGATTGGAATTTTTGATCATGATTAATCGCTTTGTTTTGGGTAGTTAATCGCAACTAATTACATTATTTAATGAAATGACAAAAGATGTTTATCCTTTAAAAGGAATATATAGCTACATGAGTGTGAAAGCCTCAGCAGAATATAATTATCACTTTTAGTAATTCAGTAACATTATCGAACATGAAAATCATGTGATTTCTACCAAGTGAACACAGTTTCTAACTTTAATCACTGCTGTCCAGTAAGAAAAACAGTGGCTGTTTGTTCCAGCCAGTCACTGTATATATCATAAATGTCATATATGCAGTCAGTTCGACTCCTCGATGATTGTAGCCTCTCAGTCTTGTTCATGCAGCTTGTGGATTCTTGTTACAGTGGTGTCTGTAAAGGGGAACTGGAGCTCCACTTTGCTGTTGCTTTTGTTAGTTTGCTGCTCATTGATTTATCTATAGTTGTCCTGCGAGTGCTGTCCAGTGTGGTCCACTGAACGTGCTGAAGGTATCGCTTTAAAAGACATTTAAAAGCTGTTTTTGAACAAGAGCACTACAATAGCAGTTTCTATAACAGCAAAATACAGCATGCTACAGCTGGGCTTCAGCCTGCACTACACTGTTAGTGATAAAGGTGCTGTGCAGGTAAAGTTGGGTTCATCAAGGTACAAACAATGTAAATGTTCCTCAAAGGTACAACAGTGGACCAGTTGTGAACCTTAAATAAGTTTTTTCAGGTGAAAAGTTTGTATTTGTACCTTTTCATAACTGGATGTTTTAAAGCGAACAATAAAATAAAAGCCTGGAGATGAGACGGGGTGTGTGGAGTCAGTACAGCTTAGAAAATATAATTTTAGTTGATTATGGTACAATTATGTTCCCTGACTAAAGGTACCGAGATGTACCCTTGACACGTCCTTCACCAAGTTTTCAATAAAGGACAACCTAGTTACTAAACATTCTTCCAGATGTTGCATGCAATTACACATTTCCACCAGAGAGGTCTCCAAATCCCCAAACCTTACAAAGTGCAGCTTTAAGTTAACTTTAACAGCTCCAGCTACCGATTTCTGAAACTATGCCACAGCTTGACTTTTGCTCCAATCAAAATTCAAGCAGCAACTCTTTTAAAAATAACCCTTATTCTATCATCAGCTACACATGACTCAACGTCCTCGTCTATTTCGACTAATTAAAAAGATTTCTAATAGATTTTTCATGCCCATCCCTGATCAAACCCACCTGCAGGTGTTTTTGAGTCACATGCGGCCAATACTGAAGACCGCACTCTTCTTTCCACCTTCTTTTCTGTCAAATGAGAATTAGCCATTTGGAACCGTTTCTATCTTTTGAGCCCTTGAGAGTGATGCCAAGTTATTTGACAGTTTGAGACAGTTTTGTGTCAGGAAGGGATTCTTCTTGGCTGTAACGGGAACGTGTGTTGTCTTTTCTCAGCCTACAGGCTTTATACGGTGGTTCCCAAGCTTGTCAAGTTTGTGGACATGCTCACCAACTGGTACGTGAGGACGAACCGCAGGCGTCTGAAGGTAGGCCGGAGCATGACTCATCCACCGCTCGCCTGTAAACACAGCCCGCAGTGCGCTATTTATACCTGCTGCACTTGATTTGAGGCACGTTATGTAAGCTTTTTTGTAACACATCTTTATTAAAAGCGTAACACTTTCTTTAATGGTACGTTTAGCCTACACATAATAGACTTTAAAGCAACATGTAAGCAGTTTTTATGCTCATGATTTATTTATAGGAATCTTGCAGAGAGTGAAGTGTACTTCTTAGCAGCAGCTATTATTATTATTTTACTGTAGTTTATCATAACTTAGGTTGTATTATATTTTATAGTATCTTTTTATGTGCTACACTTCCTGGCCTAGAAATTAAGTTTTTAAACTGACTGCCCTGCTTTGCACACACTTCTTTCATTATCTCTCTGCTCCCTCAAACTCCAGCTGTGATGAGCTTTATGCATAACAGACTTGAAGTGCACCAAAATTTGGTTTGTTGGTGCCTCTGAATGCTGATGTCACTGTGTTACTATTATAGACAGTGCTGCACTTACAGCTGTTGAGCTGCAGTATTTGTGTTGTGTTTTAATACATTGATACCTCTGTCACTGCATGCTTTTTTTGGGCCCAACCAATATGAAGCTTTTCTGTTGAAAAGAGCAAAATATTCCAATAAACAATAATATCTGCAAGTACATTTTATATGGTTAGAAATAAGAATACACAGTGATATTATATCATCGAATTATATCATTTAAACATTCAAATGTTCGTTTATGTACCAGTTTGCTAAGTCTGGCTACAAAGTGCTTCACAACAGATAGAGTAAATAAAATACTAAAACAGTGAGTGTCTGTACACTCAGTAATCCGATCGTAATCAGATTTCTGCTTATCTGATTATTTGAATGGTCATGTAAACAGCACACTCTGATTTCTTAGGTCAGATTAAGGTCTAGAAATCTGATTAAGAAATCTGATAGAGAGCTGGATTTTAGCTCAGTAATCAGATTTCTCAGTGCATGTAAACTCTTACTCTGATTTCTTTCGGATTTCTCAGTCTGTGCTTGTGTAAAAACAGATGGCGGTACCACAAATAAGCAAGCACTTTTGGAGCAACGCTTAAACTGACTACACGCTTGACGAAATGAAGGATTTAAATTTTCTTCGTGTTCTAGATGAGGAATGTTCATATTTTCAGGTAAAGTGGCGCAATGTTTTAAAAACAAAAAAGCAGCATCATGACGTTTGACTTTTACATTACATTTATGTCACGTTTACATCGCATCTTCTTCTGTGAGTTTATTGGCTGGTTCCAAAGCAGAAATCTAATTACTGCCTGACTCATGTAGACCTGGAGTTTTACATTATCTGATTACTCAAGTGCATGTAAACGCGTTAATTGGATTACTGACTAAATCAGATTTTCAGCAGTTATCCGATTATCAAGTGCATATAAACGCACTCAGTGTAAAAGAAATAACATAAAACCAAAGACAGTACAGCTTCATCCACAAACAAGACAAACACAAAACATAGCTACATCCAACTATAAACCCTTTTTTAAACATCTCCTTAGACTCAGCAAGTCTAGTGTCTAAGGGCAGAGTATTCCAGAGCTTAGGAGCATATACTGAAAAAGCACAGTCTCCCTCCTGTTTTTGCTTTTTCCAGGGGACTACTAAAAGCTCTTGACTAGAGGACCTCCTAGCATTTGAAAATGGCACTAATAGCTCAGAGTACTCAACTCAACATCAGTCAACATCAGTAACTCAATATCAGTGTCAGCAGATATTTAAAAAAAAGTATGTTTGGATTTGATTGAAGTTTCCAACTGATATTTAATGATGTTTTGAATGATTTATTGAACTCCAGAGGAGCAGAATGTTTGGGTGCTGCTGGGTTGCTGTGCCAAAATATTCTGTATTCCGGACAAAATGCTTTATTTTTTTGTTGTTGCTGTTTTTTTTTTTTTTGTTAGAAAATGAGTTGTTCTTTGTATGTATTGAAATTTCATGATTAATGGACCAGTCAAAATGCTCCAAAATGACTTGAAAAAGTCTGTTCCATGATCTTCCATTCGAAGTTCAGAGCCAAAATGTTATGTCTCTAATGCTAATCTAGTTAAATCCTAATTTATACAATTTTACACAATTTATACAGTTTATGTATTGATATTGGCTCATAATTGTTATATCGGCACCTCCCTGGTCAGAAATTAAGTACTCCAATAGCCGAATAACTGGAATATGAGCAAGAAACCATTAAATGTTCAGAACTGAATGGCTTTCCTCACATCAGCTGTGAAACAAGCCACTAAAATTGGTCCAGGAGATTTGCCAATGTTCATACATTTGCTCAACCAAAATATAACCTGATATTATCAACCAACTTGTGTATCGGTCAGGTCCTAAAACATCTCAGTGTATATGTGCAAATGTATTTTTAGATTCTTTTACATTTTCTTTACTTGTACACTCTTAAAAATAAAGATGCATAAATGAAAGTATTCCAATGATGTCATAGTTGCATTGTCACCATTTTGGTAGGCAACTTCAAGTTAATTCAGCAGTGCTTTGGCTGTTTGTAATGAGAACAAAGCCATAACTGATCCAGCAAAGGCAGTAAAACATGTTTTTAAACACTTTTTAAAGTTGAAAGCACATTAATCTGTATATTTGAGTGTACTGACTTAATTTCATTTGATTTATGGTTGTACTGATGACAAACAAAAGCTAAAATGTAAACGGCTGATATTTCCCACTGTGTTATTTTCGTGTTCCAAACCGCACACTAGCACACTAAAAAGTATACAAAAATACCACATATGCAATTAGAACTGCACTTATTAGTGTAGTAGGTGAAGTACAGCAGTGAGTGGTTTGGGGTGCGGCATTAGATCAGCCAGTGAGACACGTTCAACAGCTCTAATGGCTGATTATAATGTCACTGTGCTGTTCGTTAGCTGCTCAGTAACAGTTAAACATCTCCAAGCATCTCCAAAAAAAAGGATCATTTATTGAGGTAAATTGATGCATTTATTGAGCTTCGTATTCACCAACTTTCAAAATTCGTTCCCCGTTTAAGACACCTCGGTGTAACTGCATCACCATTTAAGCTGGAACGTAAAATTCAAATAAGAAGCTGGTGAATAAGAAATTGACTTGATGTAAGCTTAAATATACGCTTGATATATATCGCTGCTGTCAGAGGAAAACCTCGTATCTCTGTTTTTGAGTTTTTGACATGATTTGAAAATGCTTGTTGTCCTTTCATGAAGAATGGACTAAAAGAAACGCCCCAAAATTACTTCTAAAAAAAGTCTGGTTCCATTGACTTACGTTAAAAGTAAAGTAGGTTTTTTTCTTCTCCTGTAAAGTTACCATCTTAGAGAGACAAGGTTTTCTTCCAGCAACAGCGACATGCATGAGTTTGTTATTTAAGAGCTTTGGCAGTTTTGATAACCATTTTTATTAGTTTTTATAAAGTATCACACACTGGAATTTCCTGAAGATGTGCAGGCTGTATGGATCCAGTCCACCAATCTAGCTAATCTTCTCGTAGCATTTTCTGGAGACGCATCTAAAGCATCTACGTCTTTAAATCTTTTTAGTGGTCATTCTGGTCTATTTTGCATTGTTTTTATCCACATGCAGGGTTGTAGCTCCAGTGAGGGTAATAAGACGAGCTCTATCAGAGCACAGTCAGAGTCACAGCTTTCCTACCAAAATGGTGACGTGGTCTTCTTTATGACGTAATCGAATTGAATGGGAACCGTTTAGGAACTTTCCTTTGTTACAGTGTAAGAGTTGATAACTACTTATTATTGTGCTCAAACGGGAGAGGCACAACTCTGCCTGTGCAGACTCTTCTCTTTTTCGGATCATGTTATTCAATCTCCAACAGTTTCCTTTCTGTTTAATTAGCGAACGCAGGGTTCAGCAGAGTCCCAGGAGCCGCGGGCCTGAGCTTGATGGCGTGTTGTGACAGTGCGGCGGGGCGAGAGCATGTTAGCGTGTTTTATGTGGTTCAACAGTGGCAGAGAGCGCAGCGCCAGAAGCGGTGCGTCACATTAGCGTGATTGTTTTATTTATTTATTTACTTACCCCTCTGTCTGTCTTTGGCAGGGCGAGAGTGGAACCGAAGATTGCCTGTGGGCCCTGGAGACGCTCTTCAGCGTGCTGTTCTCCATGTGCAGACTGATGGTGAGTCTCACGTGCGTGAGAGGGGAACGTGTGGCAGCTCAGCATGCGTGTGTGCGTTTAAATGCAGCTCTGTATCGTCATTAGGTCTTAAAGAGAGAGTTCAGCAAAAAATGAAATGCTCAGTTTCCTCACTTACCCCAAATGTAAACGGTCACGCGTCTTCTGTTTGGTGACTGAAGTCTACTTCTTTACTTTTCGCACTGGAGATGTGAGGCTAATGTAGATAAGAAGTAATGTAAGCTTATGTACTCCAGGTCTGCACGTTAAATCATATTTTTATTGTTATCACGATATGCGTTTCTGTAATAAACACATCGTGTTGTGATGACAGAACAGCTCTAATTGGGTCTCCTGGTAACATGACTTTGTGTGAGTTCATGCGAGCTCCGTTCGGTTCAGCCACAGCTTAAAAGTTGAGTAGTGTGTGATCCCAAATATTTCAGTTGCCCAAAACAATCTGCAAAAACCAGTCAGGTAGTGTGAGATACCCAGTCTTTTAATCTGTTAAGGCGTGTAGTGAACCCAAGGCTTAAGTTGAAACAGACCTACTCATGTGGTTTCTGACCAGGTATGGTATACTGCAGTGTATACACACAAAGTATGTATTTGAGATTAATTACAACCTGATGCAGTTTGAGGCACAAGTGTGATTAAGGCATACAGCTGATATGTATTGTTTAAGTGTCCATTATCTTTTATCTTTTATCCATTAGCTTTATTTAGCAAACTTTAAATTTAAATTTTCAGCACGTTCAGCTTTGCAGCTTTCAAATCTAGCCATGTCTGATCCACAGGCTCCTTTCACTCCCTTCATTACGGAGATGATGTACCAGAACCTGCGCCACCTGATAGACCCCACCTCAGTGGAGGAGAAGGACTCCAGCAGCATCCACTACCTGATGCTTCCTCAAGTTAGGTACTGTGCATTCCATACACTCATACAGTGCTTTATCATGTCATAAGGCCATAAGGACGTCTGAGTAGCAGGTTAAAATGATGTCAGATGAAGCTGACGGCTGAACCTGAGTCACTGCTTATGGTGGGGATTTAGATGCTAGTGGTCACCGAGTCACTTGTGCTGAGTGATCTCTACACTGAGAGCAGTGATACAGGGCTGGTGAATTGAAAGAGAGGCTTTAGCATCACCCCAATATGGCAAGCCAGATGTTGAACTCATTTTAAAAGCCTTATCCAGCAAAGTTTGACTTGATGTCTTGGTCCCTGCTCTGCACTGCGTGAGGCCCAATCCCATTTCACCCCTCGCCCCTACCACTTAGCCCTTTCCCTTCCATTTTGTGCATTCACGCCTAGGGGTAGGGTGTCCCGATTCTTGTTGAGATAGAAGGGTAGGGTGAAGTGTTAGGGCTACATGGACCTCCAAATGGAGGTTTTTCAGAGGCTCACTCCAAACAGTGTTATGAGAAGAAAAGAAAAACTGGCAAGATGGCTGCACAAGCAACCAAAGAAACCCACAAATGTGAGTAGAAACTCTGATAAAAAAATTACGATAATCATTGTGTTACCTTAGTTTAATGTCGTTTCAATGTATTATGGTCCTTTTCTTTATAACAAGCATAAAAAATCACTGCTGATGTCTCGTAGCTAGATAGCTAAATTTCCCGTTCCATCTTAAATGGTGCAGTAGTTACATTCTGGTGCCTCAGGCATCAGAATTACTGCACCATTTAAGGTGGAACGGGAAAGTTTTAACAAGACACTGAAGAATAGCTGACTTTAGCTTCATGACAGCCACAAATTGATGGTGGGCAATGATAAATAATAGTCATATCCTCCCTCTTTGAAGGCATATGACCTAGTAACCTGTTAATGAAATAATGTTCTTTTTTGTTTGAGGTTTGTCTCATTTAGTAGGGGAAGATTTCAACCACTTTCCCTTGCAACTTGAAGGAAAAAATAAGAAATGGGATTGGCTCTCAGCACAACTATTGTATTTGACACCGTTTTCCTCCCAAGAATCTGTTTGGTTGTTTTACAGTTCTCAGTCAAAGTGAATTTTAGTTTAAAAGCTTACACACGGAGCACAAAGGGTGCTTTGACTTGTAACAATAGTGGAACCCCTTTGGTGCTATAGAACCATTTTTAAATGTTCTCTAAAAAACATATACAACAGTTTCTACATCATAGAGAAGAATCATTTATCCATATATGTATTACTGATGTCTTTACTAAAAAACTCTTAAATAACCCTTTTTAAGGGTGTAGCTCTAAATGCTTGACATTTATTTCTAAGACTTTTCTAAACGGTGAGTTTGATTTTTCTGTCTGAATGTACTACAAAAAAATGAGCCTCTTTAAAAAAAAATAAATAAATAAAAATTAGCCTCTTTAACCCTGCAGCTCCCTCCACTGGCCATCAGAACTGAACCAGAATCAACACTGCTTTGATTCTACAATGATCCATACACTTTACATGGTCATACTGTTAGAAAGTGTTACAACTTAGCTTTCAATCTCTGGGCACCATATTATGATCCAGCTATTACAGCATAAATGTTTGTTAGTTTTGATTTGTGAGGCATGTTTTTCCTAAGAAAAAAGAACTTATTTTAGCCTTTAAATGCTGAAAACAGAAAAAGGGAGAGAGACTCTTGACTCAGCTGTGTGGTGGACCCCTTTCACAAAGCCTCTGCGAACACGACCCAAAAACGTTTGTCTTAAAATGTGCTTATATAGATAAACTTTAGTAAAACATTGAACTTTTATATAAAAATTCTCAGTAGAATTAAACCTACAGCCCGTTTTCGCTCATATTTTGTCGTTTCTCCAAAGTAAATCCACTCACAGTGTCAACTTTGGGCATCAGGGTCTTGCTGAGCCAGCCTTCCCGTTTGTCTGAATCAACAGCAGGCCAGCTGTTTTTAATTTCAGCCTGTCAGAGCCAAACAGGCTCTGACAAACCTGGTGGTGTTCAGACCACTTTAATGAACTGTGTCCTTTTGGAAAAGCATCTCAGGTGGTTCCTCATGAAGCTGCTTGAGAGAACGGCAGAGGAGTTTTCAAATAGTTTAGCAAATAATCTAAAATAGTAGATAGTTTTGATTTGTTTCACACTTTTTAGTCAAATCTGTTATTTCGTAGTTTGAATGGCTTCTCTATTATTCTAAAAGATGGGAAATAGTAAAAATCACAGTATAGCAGATTTGAGCCAGAGGGGCACTGCGGAGACGGAACTGACCACAATAAAAATGATACTTTTACAGTTTGGAAGGATGTGTTCACATTTCAAACAAGTCTAGCATATTTTATTATTACAGAGTAATGCATTTCAGCTATTAACAAAAAAAGGGTGCAGTTACTCTTTTAATGGTGTTTCTTATTCTTAATGTCTATGTAGTATGATTTGTGTCCTCCAGTGAAAAGCTTTACACGTAATTGATGCTACAAAAGTCACAAACAAGTGAGCTAAAAAGGCCCGAAGGAGTCGGCCTCATGTAAGAAGTCTGTCCCTGATTGGTCAGAAGCTCACCCTGATTGGCCCAAGAGCAGTTTATGATCTAAAATCCTGAACTTACTCTAGAGCAGGTTAGGTGTGCAGGATAAATTGCTATGGTGATGTAGCCTGGTAAAAAACCGCCATCATGAGGCAGAAAATCCAGGAATTAGGATTGAAGTTAACTGGCTATGCAAGAAATCCTGTTTTTTGAGACAGGCTCAAATCCTAGCATCTCCATTAAGAGTGCTCAGCTTTGCTCTACAGCTGGGACACTGAACAAACTGACACTTCTTATGTCTCTTTTGCTTTGTTGGCTCACAGAACAGAGTGAACCATTTGCATTCAGAGCCAGATCCCTTTAGTGGATACAGTGTACTCAGGAAATAAAGTTTGTTTTAATTTTTTTATGACAGGTTAGATTGTCCTTGTGCATCTCTGGAATGATTTCAAATGTCCTTTCTCGTCCGGCCGTAAGCGCATTTACCTCAATGCTATTAATGGACGTCGGCTAGTTTGTATGCCGCTGTGCCGAGCCAGAGACTCTGAAGGTCTTTTTCCCAGTCAGTCCAGCCTCATGTTTTTTTTTGGGAAATTCGTGTAGTGGCCCACATTAGAGTGGTCCGGGCGCATCATTAAGGACTCCTGTCAGAGTCTTACGAGCTCCGCAGAGGTGACCCACTGTCAGCACAGAGGCCAGCCAGACGGAGCTGGACTCATTAACTGATTGGCCGTCCTCTACTTCTTTTATAGTTTTCCTCTGTATTACTCCCTCCCACATCTGTATGCTTGTTACAGCAGTACATCTTTTAGACATGATGTATCAAACAACAAAAAGTAGAAATAACTGTTTTTGACTATTTTTATGACTTATGAAAGCAACACGTATAGAAAGGATTACACTAATAATAATGACCAATAATGCTAAGGTTGTCTGTCATAACAGTTGTTTTTAGAAGGTTCCTACCCTGAACAAGGTGATAAAAGAAGGAACTTTTGTTTTGCCCATTAAATAATGAACAAAATTATATAGAGGATTTAATTTTTTTAAAAATCTATGCTGTGCAAAACATGCAGCTATAACGCTTTGTATCTCCACACTGAGGTGCATCACGTTTTAAACTTTGGTCTTTAATACACGTTTTACAAAATGCTCTTGACAGCTTTATTTGTCATATAGTAACAAAATGTTCTGCTTTGTGGGCCATTGAAAATAAATAATACAAAAAATTATGACAAAATCAAGCCTGCATTTCAGATGGATATTGCTTATATCTGGCCACAAGTAAAATACAGTGTATGGACAAAAGTAATAGGACACCTACATGTTATACCCACCGGAACTTTTATGACATCCTATCCTAAATCCATAGGCATTAATATGGAGTTGGTCCCCCTTTGCAGCTGTAACAGCTTCCACTCTTCTGGGAAGCTTTCTACAAGATTTTGGAGTGTCTGTGGGAATATTTGCTTATTCATCCAGAAGAGCATTTGTGAGGTCAGACACTGATGTTGGATGAGAGGGTCTGGCTCACAATCTCTGTACTAGTTCATCCCAAAGGTGTTTGATGGGGTTGAGGTCAGGGCTCTTTGAGGGCCAGTCAAGTTCTTCCACACCAAACTCACCTAGTCATGCCTTTATGGACCTTGCTTTGTGCACTGGGGCTCAGGGGAACAGAAAAGGGTTCTTCCCTAAACTGTTCTCACAAAGTTGGAAGCATAGAATTGTCCAAAATGTCTTGGTTTGCTGAAGCATTAGGATTTTCCCTTCACTGGAACTAAGTGGTCTAGGCCGACCCCGGGAAAAACAACCCCATATCATTATCCCTCCTCCACCAAACTTTACAGTCGGCACAGTGCAGTCTTGCAGGTATCGTTCTCCTGGCATTCGCCAAACCCAGACTCATCCATTGGACTGCCAGATAGAGAAGCGTGATTAGTCACTCCAATACGCTTCCACTGCTTCAGAGTCCTGTGACAGTGTGCTTTACACCACTCCGTCCGATGCTTGGCATTGTGCATTTTGATCTTAGGCTTGTGTGTGGCTGCTCGGCCATGGAAACCCGTTTTGTGAAAGCTCCTAACGCACAGTTCTTGTGCTGATGTTGCTTCCAGAGGCAATTTGGGACTCTTTTGTGAGTGAATCGAGGATTGGCACTGTGTGCTGCAGCACTTGACGGCCCCTCTCTGTGAAATTGTGTGGTCTACCGCTTCGTAGCTGGGCTGTTGTTGCTCCTAGATGTTTCCATTTCACAATAATAGCACTTACAGTTGTCAGGGGCAGATCTAGCAGGACAGAAATTTCACAAACTAACTTGTGGCAGAGGTGGCATCCTATGACAGTGCTTATGTGACATGTTTAAAGTCACAGAGCTCATAAGTACGACCCATTCTACTGCCAGTGTTTGTCTATCGAGACTGCAAGCCTATGTGCTTAATTTTCTCCACCTGTTATCAATGTGTGTGGCTGAAACACCTGAATGCAATAATTATGAAGGGTGTCCCAATAGTTTTGTCCATATAATGTAATTTATACCATTTGAGAAAAGTACTTCTGAGGATGCCATCAGTGATTTCACATGGATTGAGCCCACAAAGTTGGCTTTGTGAAGGCAGGCTCCTCGTATTTAGACTGTTCTGCTGCATGAGATCATTTCTGAGCCTGTTATGAAGAGGAACATTGATAAACGTTTGATTGTCAGCGTGGCTGTGAACCTCCTCCTGGAGATCTCCTTTCCTGCAGAGTTTAATTCCTGCATCTAACACCAATATATCTGATGCAGCCAATCAAGAACCTCTGACAAAGTTAATTATTTGGAGCAGGTGTTCAGGTTGTGATCGGAACTAGACCCCACAGGAAGGTAGATCTTCAGGACAGAGGCTAGTGACCACTGAATTAACAGAACAGTGTTGCTATCCTCCCTGATCTCCACCCTTTGCTTTACTTGCAGAGAGTCGCTGATTGACAAGCGCATCGAGAGTGCTGTGTCCCAAATGCAGTCGGTCATCGAGCTGGGCCGAGTGATCCGAGACAGGAAAACTCTGCCCGTCAAGGTAGGGCCATGTTCATCACTTCTCTGTCTCACAGTGTGGATGTTTGCACAAGACGTATAGTTTTCTGAATAGTTGGCAAGTTAGCAAAATCTTGGTGACATAAATGGTAGTTTTTACTAACTAATGCAATTCTGATGTGTTTATAGGGCTAATTCAGCAAAAAATCAGGAAACTCTTGGATGTTCAATTGCGTGAACCCCTTACCTCTAGATAAAGTCAGTTGGCCAAGATACGAGGCTAATGTCGCTAATAGGTAATAAAAGCTTATACTCCACCAGTTAGCACTCAAGTGATCTCGACTACACTATGACAGACTTGGGGATTTGGAGACCTCTCTGGTGGAAATGTGTAATTGCGCACAATGTGCAGAAGAACATTTTGTGCTCTGGACCCCTACCCCAAGCAGATGAATCTGATGATTGAAAGAGAATTTGACCTTCACCAAGTCAAAACTTGGTGAAGGACGCGTCTTCTGAGGATGTGAGGGGAATTATCTACTATTGTTATGTTTTCATCAGTAAAATGTTGATTTTTTTTTTTTATTATGCCTTGTGAGACCTGAACATGGAGCCCTGCTTATTTCTTAGCCTTTGCTCGTGTTGTAAAAACATACGACAAATTCCTAAGCCAACTCCTCTGTTTTTTAATGATAATTTCAGGCTTTACTTGGCAACATGCGATATTTTAGATGTTTTTTTTTTTTTCATTTGTCTTACCGTTCAATTTAAATTTAATTGCATGGTAAGTCGATTTAATATATATCACTGCTGCTGGAAGAAAACCTCTGTTTCAGTTTTTGACATAATTTGAAAATGCATATATGCCAGTAAGCATTGTGAAAGCTGTATAACCAATTACATACAGACCTCAGACTGGCGTGTGTATAAAGAAAACAGCATGTCATACAGAGCTACAAACCATATAAAGTCTGTTTGACTCTGCTTGAGGCAAATATATGTCAATTTAAGCGTGAACTTTGCGTGATGTTAATAATGGCTTTAAGCTTTTGTTACTTCTTATCTGCATTAGCCTCACAGCTCCTGGGCAAAACTAAAGAAGCAAAATGTGGAGACCGAACATATTTTGGCTGGTCCGTTACATTTTGGGGTCAAGGGGAAAATTGAGTGAATTACATTTTTCTCTGGACTGTTCCTTTAAATTTTAGAAGTCAGTTATTATACCAGTAACATTATACAGATCAGAATGCTTTGTAACTGTATAATGATATCATTGTATTGCTCAGCTCTGTGTCATGCGAGTCCACATTCTCAGACCTACTGGTAGATACAAGTGGGATGCTTGACGTTTCTGGGTATTCTTAGTATCCCCTTAGGGAGGTGGTGGTCATCCATCAGGATCCCAGAGGCTCTGAGAGACATCCAGTCCCTGCAGAAGTACATTCTGGAGGTAAGCTCCGCCCCAACTGAACTATCCCCATTTAGTCCCTACACATCTCTGTATGTTTTAATCCTTTATCTTCAGTCAGTGCAGAATTATATCGCATGAACGCGTCCATACAGTCATATCATCATTGCATGTTTGAATTTATGTACAGTGCATATTTTCTGCAGTTACTGTGTTTTTAGGTCCGTATAAAGTGTACAATGTTATTAGTCAGTGTATTTTAGTGCATATTTTATTCTGGTTCACATATTTGGTCCATACCGTGTTATATGCCATTGTGTGTTAGCACATTATTAGCATAGAGTGCGTATTTTCTTCTGTTGTTTTAGATGTTAAAGGGGCAATGTCACATTTTTCCAAACTTCTGCGTAACTAAATAGTTAAGATGTAAACAAAGTCATTCAGAGTGGTTTGGTGTGAAATGCGCAGTTCTAGAGAAACTTACCGAGTCAGAATTACTGAGTCAGTGGTGGTGATGGGAACCAGACGTCCACCTCTAAAAGCTCCCTCACAGAAAGTTACTTATAAAGTTACTGATTAAATTAAAAAGTGGTTAAGAATGTGCTGCCTGATGCCTCAGACTTTGTTTTATAATAGATTTGAGGAGGTTTCGGCCTAAAACATATTCTCTGAAGTGTATTTTTCCTAGAGAGGAGCGAGCAGGGTGTTCTAAAGCAAAATAGTCCCCAAAGAAAAAAATTTGTTTTTTTCAGATTTACCACTATTTTACCTTTTACAACATTACAAATAAAACTCAGACATATGTAGGTTTATTGGTCGTTCTGGAAATCTAAAATCTGGAGTCAGTAGGTTTCTCTACAGTGAGCAATTTCACATCAAAGCACTCTAAATGACACTCTTAATATCTCTATAACTGCAGAAATGTTAAAATCCCCCTTTAAAAGCTAAAACAGAAATATGAATGTAAAGACACGCATCACATGATAGTGATAGAAATAATGTGATAGTTATTTCATTTCAGACTGTTGAACCGTATCACTGAAATATTTGGTTGTTGTTGAATTGAAGAGTTTAGTCTCAGGGAGCTCAAAGTTGTTGAACTTGGCCAAAATTGTGACTTCTTGGTTGGATTGTTATTGATTTAAAATGTGGTGTATTTATAGGTGTATGTACGTATGTGTGTGTGTGTGTGTGTGTGTGTGTGTATATATATATATACATATATATATATATATATATATATATACATACACATACAGGGATTATGACAGCACCTTGGCAACTTTCAGTACTAACCATGGCCACCTGTGGTCGTTTGATGATTTTTCTGTGTTTCACAAGCCCTCAGGGCCCTACAGTATATCTTTTGCTTATTTTTATCGCGGCATTAGCTTTTGCAGCACTGATATTCCAGAAGGCTGTAATGTGGGAAAAAAACTATTAAATCAAATCACTCATCATTTTTAATTGTGTGCTGTGAGCATCCTGACCAACCTTAGATGTTCCAGAAGAGGTATATTGATTGTTTTGAAAAATCCAGACATTCTTGTGGTTTCGGCATTTTGTAAATAATTAAATATTTTACTGCTCTAGGTGGCGCCATTCATTCGCTAGATGAGTAGGAAGAAGTCTAGCCTTTCACTAACTACACAACAAACTAGCAGGACAGATAGTTAGCCAGCTAATTTCAGTTTTAGTTATAGAGGGTAAAAAAAAAGGAGAGAGAGAATGTTTATAGAGAGAGTTTGATGAAGGTATCTGTAGGAGGTTTTATTCTTTTTATTTCATTTTTTTTGATAGGAGAGTTCTGAAGAGATTGCAGGCTGTGTTGAATACAGTTGAATGCAAATTACACGTTTAGTGATTTTCTAAATTAGTTAGTGCACCTATTTTATGTTCCATCTTTGAGTAATTTTGTTTATCACAGCAAAATACAGCTGTTTAGGGTTCAAAATACTGTTCACATGTAAGTTTGAGCATTAGGAAGTCTATATAATTATCAGTCTTGTTGAATGGGGAGAAATATAATGTGGTAAGATTTTTTGACGTTTAGTCAGCTCTATCCTCCTCTGTGTCTTTGCTGGCTGATGGATCGCAGGATGCAGTTAGTTACAGTGAGGCCGCAGTGCTGAACCAAAGGCGCCAAACCTGTTGTCCTTCATCTCCTGGCCAGTGGTGGCATGATTGATAGGGGGGCTGGACTGTGGAGCTAAAATTAGCTGCGCTGTCGCTGCATCTGCCCTGGTCGATTCTCTCTCAATCTCTCTCTCTCTCTCTTTCCCTCTTTCTCTCTCTCTGTCCCCTCCTCTCACTGACAGAGCACTGGGGCGCACTGTGCCGTACAACCAACATTGATCTGCTCCAAACCAAAAACACACTGAGTGTTCTGGACGTCATAGTTTCCCCTCAAAGCACATAAACGTCACATTGATGCTCACCTTGTATTTTATGGACATTTAAAGGAGAATTCTAATTCTAATTCTTGAAAATTTCTGCATAATTCAGTGATTGAGATGTAAACAGTCATTCAGAGTGGTTTGATGTGAAATGGTTCATTTTAGAGAAACTTACTGACTCTGATTTCTTTACAGTGGTGGTGACAGGAACCAGGGGTCACAAATATAGCCATTTTATTTACTACCCAAAACCACCAGTGAACTTACACATGACTTCAGAGTTTTATATGGAATGTTGATGGTAAAATAGTCATAAATCTGTCATAAATTTGTGGACTATTTGTCTCACAACGCCCTGCATGTATCCCTCCACTGTGAATTGATTAAAAAAATTCTGCTTTAGGCCGGTTGCATGGCTGAATTCTAAGGATTACTCCGTCTAACCTAGTCTTTTTCCACATTTAATATCAGTAGCATTCGATCAGTTACCCTTGCCATTGTACATAGAAAAGAACGTTGGCGTCTTTTTATAAATTTGGTTTGGTTGAAAGGTTTCTATTCACAGTTGTACTAAGGCCTTGTTCACATATATCTGGATGTTTTCAGAAGTGTAGCTTTTCACCTGCACTTTGGCCCCCTGTTCACAAGAAAAACAACGTTTACCCTCAGTGGAAACAGGTTTTTGAAAACACTCTCCAAGGTGGAGATGGGTATTCTCGTGTTTCTTGTGACATCACACTGTATAGTCGCCAGCATTTTGAGGACCGAATCAGGGAGCGACTGCGCTGTGCGATGCCTTTAATCTTTGTGAATGATTCACCTGCAAGACGTGACAGAAGCCGAGAATGACAAGAGATACACAGACCTTTAATTCAGTGTTTTCAAACTCCAGGCTTGGAGCCCCTGCACTGTATAGTTTAGTTTTACTCTGCTGTTCACACCTCGTTCAGCTCAAGAAGGGATTATTTAGCTAATAATAATATCAGCTATTTTAACCGGGTAAACCAAAATTATGCAGTGCAGGGGTTGCAGGACTGGAGTTGTCGAACTGAGCAGTTTTCCAACCCACGACATTCAGTCCTATATTTGACATTCATGGTTCTCCGTTCAAACGTCATTTAAATCTCCAGAAACAGAGAAGTAATGTTACACCCGGCTGTTTGCTGCTCCGTTAGGGGGACAACTGTTGATCTCTCGGCTGTTAACATTAACAAACGTTATCTAAAGGCTAGCATTGTTCACATCTGTGTTCATTAGCTGATGTCGTCTTACTTTTCCTATGATCACAGAGTTTTTTCACCACTTAAAAAAGCATTTCCAATGTATGTCGGCTGTTTTTCTTTCAAAAACTCATTATAGCCACAATGGTTACAAAAAGAAACTTTTCAATTGAATTCTTCTGAGCTCAGTTCTTTTAAATAGGGTGTCATATGGATTGCAAATGTTAAACTTGCCTCATTGATTTAAGATGTTTCACTTGATTGTTAAGTCAGATAAAAAAAAATCCTGATTCTATAAGTCAAATGGAGTGAAAAGCTAGAAAAACACTTCTCTGCTTTTATTTTTCTGGCAGAAATCGGACTTTGAATCTCTATGAAACGTTGAGTGACTGCAGTCTGACGGCCTGCAAATCAAAGCCTACATTCAAAAAAGGTTCATCAAGGGTTCTTTAGTAAATAACATGGCTCTGTATAGAACTGTGAACACTCGAAGAACCCCTTGCATGATTAAAGTGTTCTTTGCATCGTGAAATGGTTCTTCAGATTGAAGAAGAATGTGTTCTATAGAAAACCTTTTTGAATAGGGTTCTATGTAGCGCCAAAAAGGGTTCTTCTATTATTACGATGTCAAGCTTGTTACAATAGCAGAACCCTTTTTGGTGCTATATATAACTCTTTTCTAAAAGGTTCCATATAGAATCATCTTCAGCACATTCTCTAACAATCTGAATGAACCATTTCACCATGCAAAGAACACTTTGCGTGTTCTTGATTTCAAAGAACCATTTTCTTTAGTAAAGAACCCTTGAAGAGCCATCTTTTTAAGTGTGTGCTTTAACACCCTCACTTTGTTAGAAAATCTTCATTGTTATTCCTGAGTTTGACATCAGTTTTTATGGGGTCTTATTGCTCTACTGCAGTGACAGTGTGAACATTTTTAAGTGGTTTTTGCATTTTCACGTCGCGGGAGGGATTCACATTTTCACGTTTTTGAAAATGTTTTTAAAAATAACTGGATTTATGTGGATGAGGCCTGAGTGTACATCAAAATGGTTGCCTGTAATAATCGATTCTATGCTGCCGACTCAGCAGATAAAGGTTAGGTCAAACAATTAAGTTAAAGTGAACTTTTGCTTAAACTCAACTTTTTCCTTAACCTTAACCTCAATCTCAACTCAAAACTAAACCCTAATCTTCAGCCCAAAGCTGCTCATAATCATTTCACCAATTTGGCATTTGTAAATTGGCTATAAGGGGCCATCAAAATAATGAGTAGGTTTACATACACTTAACAATTCTATAACTGCAGAAAATCAGATTTTGTCAGTAATCCAATCAACATGTTTACAAGCACTTGAGTAATCAGTTAATGGGAAACTCCAGGTCTACATGAGCCAGGCAGTAATCAGATTTCTGCTTTGCAACC